TCTGATAGCCTACTTATTTTGTCGCCTCAGCAGACATATCATCTGATAGCCTACTTATTTTGTCGCCTCAGCAGACATATCATCTGATAGCCTACTTATTTTGTCGCCTCAGCAGACATATCATCTGATAGCCTACTTATTTTGTCGCCTCAGCAGACATATCATCTGATAGCCTACTTATTTTGTCGCCTCAGCAGACATATCATCTGATAGCCTACTTATTTTGTCGCCTCAGCAGACATATCATCTGATAGCCTACTTATTTTGTCGGCTCAGCAGATGTGTCATCTGATAGCCTACTTATTTTGTCGGCTCAGCAGACATATCATCTGATAGCCTACTTATCTTGTCGGCTCAGCAGACGTGTCAACTGATAGCCTACTCATTTTTTTTCGCATCTGCGTGCGTCATTGGGACAGGGTCGTCTCGGCGATCTTGCTCTTCTTTGACTGTCGCAAACTGGTCTATTTGTAAACTGTGTAAACAAGTCTATGAGAGTGACTGGGTGGGTCATTTACTATAATTTCTATAAATTTGCTTTTTTTTTAAAAAATACAATGTTTTATTGAAATTTAATTTAATTTGTTTTTCCTTATTCAATGTCATAGAAATATGTGATTAAATGGGAAAGGGGGGGGGGCGCAAAATAGCATAGCTACGCCACTGCATCTCCCTTAAAAATGGCTTACATATTATTTATATTAATTTATACATGTTTGTTTTTTTGGATCATGCCCATTGCATCTTATTAGTCATTGGTGTCTCATGCTTCCGCCCCCCCCCCCCAATTGTTTTATTTTTTATCCGCCACTGTAAATAAAACCGTGGCTGGATCACTGTGAAGCTTACCCGTCTTCTCCTGTGACAGTAAATCCATGGATGACATCCACAGCTAAACGGCTAGTGATCATTATTGATCATTAAATAATTGTATTATATAATATTTCCATATCAACCGTCATTGTAAGCAAAATGTCCATTCACATTCATGAGAGTTTAGAAAGTCACGTGACAATTTTATGTTTTTTTGAGAGAGGGATATGTACAAGTTTGACTTACATTTTAGAAATGTAGAAACGAAACAAGCAGTGATTATTTCAGAAATTTTCCCCCGAAATATGCTCCGGGGGGGGGGGCATTTGGGTTTCCCCGGGGGGGTCAGTGCCCCCCCCCCCCCCGGGTGATAAAGCTGAAAGAAGCCCTCCCCCCCCGCGGTTGATAAAGCTGAAAGAAGCCCTGCAAACAAGACAGGAATGTGGTAGGGCCCATAGAAGCAGAGATTTTAATTCTGTGGTATCACCTGCACAGTCTACATTTTTAAATGAAAAGAGACCGATTTTATTTTATGTTCATTTACTTTTTTTGAGTGTTGCATAAATCAGTATTTAATTTTAATTTTTTTCACTTGTGATTGAAATTGAAACAATAAAATATTGCTCTATGACATTTTATTTGCTGGCTTTTAAAAAATAATAATTTCATGGTTTATGCCGGTATTATAAGGATATGTGAATAATTGTGACTTGTTTACTTGGAACGATAGCTAATACTAAAACACGTGCCGGATCTGGGTACGCTAGATGCGATCTAGGCGGCTGCCTTGTGCAGTAATTTCCGGAGGTGGGGTGGTGCGGTTTGCACACAAATGTGTTAATTTAGGGGCTGAAGCGGTGGTTTATTAATGATGCCAGTTTTGAAATGGTGGCGAAGTCTTAAAGCAAAATTAGTTACGGGAAGATGGTGAAGCTTCACCCCCAATGCCGTAACATAACTGGTCATAAGTTGATTTTTTTTTTTAAATAGTAAGGCATCGAAATTTTACATAACGTTTAAAATAACAATAATATAGAAATAATATAAAGGCCCAAGATAATAGATAGGCCCAGTATATGTTTGTTTGCTTATAGCAACACACTTTTAACGTAAAGCGGTGGTTTATAAATGGACAAGATATAATAATAAAAATGTTAAAAGAAAAGAAAGTACACAAATCTTGCACGCTTTTTGAACACACTGTAAAATGAATTAAATATTCACTCTCATTGTGTGTGGTCCGGGGGATGACACCCTCCCCTCCCCCCCTCCCGACACGCCTCAGCATNCCCAGGGGGCGTAGCTAGGGTTAGATGTATAATTGTTTTACAATCGTTAGCCATTATGAGCACCCCAGGGGGCGTAGCTAGGGTTAGTGTCGCCCGGTGTGGGACAAGCTTTTTTTTTTTTTTACCTCCACTTTGCAAGAAAACATTCTACAATTGGCCGAAAATGCCGCCCCTTATATAAATAAAAATATGCCACCCCGGGCGAACCACCACATCCAATGCCATGCGCATACATTGCATTTGGTGATTAAATGATGCTGCGAACAATCGCTTGGAAGCAGCTATGTATTAATCAAATCTATATGGGGGGGGAGGGGGGCAATAAAACCAAGTTGCCAGTCGCGCGTGTAAAATACTGGAAGATGAACATAGTCTATACTTGCAGTCATTCCAGATGGCGCTCCGTGTATCCACTGATGCTTCATTGTATTGACTCTATATAGAGTTGGTAGCTGGTAGTGGCGGGTATTAATGCTGTTTCCGATGGTTTGTAAGTTGTCAGTTAGGGTTGCCAGCTCTGCTTTCAAACCATAGAGGACAAGCGAGGGGTTGGGNGGTGTTGTGTTTTAAGTAATTGTAAATTATATATTTTCTTGGGTGGGGACTAAGTGGGGAGGGGGTTAAGTAGTATTAAATTATTTATTTTCTTATGGGGGGGGGTAAGTAGTAGTAAATTATATATTATATATTAATTATATATTTTCTTACAAACATTTTTACACGTATTAAAAATAATCACTTCAAAATGTTACTTAAAATTCAAAACATTCTAACTAATGAAAAAAAAAAAAAAGACAAAACGCGATTCTCCTATCCGTAATCTCTTAGTGTACAGCTTTCATCATAAAGCTTTTGAGTAAAACAAATGTCCACTATTTTATGAAAAAAAAAAAAATAGTGAACATCCCGCTCAAATAGTGGACACCTGGCAACCTTATTGTCAATGAGCGTACGAGACCAATAAGAAGAGTGGGAAATCAATTACCATCATAACCCGTGAATACCTCCTTGTGACCAATGTTCCTTCTAAGGTTTGCTGGTTCATGTGCAAAATCCTACAGTTGTGTGCAAAGTTTTACGGAATCAATTTTTTTTTTTTTTGCAAAATTTTACAGCCCACAAACACACACCTACAGGGAAATTTGCTGCGCGGATTCTCAAAACTGCTGCGCGACGTCTGTGAGATAGCTGCGCGGCCGCCCAGCCTAAAGGGAACATTGCTTGTAACTGTTCAATACCTACAATTAAGCGTACGAAATCAATACCGTAAGTCAATACAAGTCAGAGTAAACTAAATACCCTTTATGTCAGTAAGCGTACGAAATGTAGAGCAAGAAAAGTCGTTTTTCCAGCTTGTAATAAGTTTGTTTTATGTTTTTAAATAAAAAATTAAAATGAGCCAATATTTCAAGGGATTTAATAAGATTTAACAACTGTTACAAATTATTTTGCTCCTTACCTCCCTTGAGACGGTAAAGCCCAACTCGGGAATTATTGTTATTAAATAATGCTTTATTAGAATATTTAAGTACCTGTAAAGTTAATGATGTAAAAGTAATACGAAACCTAGATTTTGAATACAATGCTATAGTTTTCATTGACGAGAAAGTTTCATGTTGGAACTCTTGTCAAGTGAGAAGCCAAGGGAAATGCACACAAAATAATCGAATCCTGTATTTTGAGTTCAGTTGTTCATTAGTGAATTCGCATTATATCTTATTTGAGATCTATATGAATATGTCTAGCAACAATAATTCAAGAGAACTATATTGATAACTTATTCATTGAAAAATGGAATGCAACATAAACTATGCTCCAGAATTACAGAACCGAGAAAAGCTTTGCTAAAGCTAAATAAGAACATGGTCTTGAATGCAATTTTTTTGCTTCCAGAAAATACAACCAAGAACTCTGCGAATAATTTCGACATAGAAGTTCAAGATAATCTAATAATAAACCACAAAATAATTTTAGAGTATTTTGTTCACGAGGTTTTGAATACCGCAATTTATTGAGTCAATTTTCACACGTCCGCAAGCTTACATTGCCAGTCTGCACAAAATGAATCTATATAGTCGAATGAATAAAATTTAAAATTCTGGCACTGGATCCTGGTGCAATTTCAAAACTTATCCACTGGTCCGCCAAACTTAGATATTGGGAAATGTTGCTTTAGACCACGGGGATGTAAGGGTGCACCAGACCGGGACTACAACAATGAACTATCACTGTCTTCTATGGACCAGGCCTACTTCAATGAACTATCACTGTCTTCTATGGACCAGGCTTACTTCAATGAACTATCACTGTCTTCTATGGACCAGGCCTACTTCAATGAACTATCACTGTTTATGGACCAGGAATCTATGGACAATGCATCAGTTATGTCTCCAGTGCTGGCTTTAGGTATAGGCAATTGAGGCCCTTAGCTGCATTTTTTCAATGGTTTCAGTTTCACTGGTTTTCTTTGCAAGTTTCCTTCTCACCCAGTTCCAGAAGATGCTTCTCACCCAATTCCAGAAGATGCTTCTCACCCACTTGCAAAAGATGCTTCTCACCCAATTCCAGAAGATGCATACCCAATGTCCTTACCCTTATCACTGATTTTTATCTGCCTCATTTTTGTTTTTATAATTTTAAGCTTTTTTAGTTTTACAGCTGTAATACCCTAATTGATAATACAATTCAGATTTAGATAAATTTAAACTGCATGCAATATATGTTTATATATATATATATTTATTATAATTGAACATTATTTCAGTAAGTTTCAACAATCTTTTAAGTGGTTAGCCCTTTGATAGATTCCATTGGTTAAAGTAGGTAACCAATCTTTGTCTACTTCTACAGAAGCACTTCTTCATCCAGAACACGTGCCAACCAATGAGACAAAAATCAGGCACGAAGATTGTATTTGTATCTTTTTTATTTGTTAACATTTATATACTGGCGACAATATATTTAACAGGTTTGATGGTCTATAGATAATTTAAACATGAACGTACCCGAGTGTTTACATTGGTTATAAAAATATAGAAACTGGTGTAATGACAGTTAAAACAGTTATTTGTTGTTTCAGAATATCTCGTCTTTAATTCATCAAATGGTGGGGTAAAAACAAAATAAAATCAACCACAGACATGGTTTTAAATTTTAAAGAATAACAGGATTTAACAATAATATAATTGCTCAAGGATTCGAAGTAAAAACAAAAATATTTGAGAAATTTTTAAAAAAAAATATGTTAACAAATATTCCAGAAAGCTAGAGTAACCAGAGGACCACATACTTTTTCAGACTATTTCCTATTATTACAAGTTACAAGAAAAATTAATTTAAAAAAATATATTTTAAAGTATTAATTTAAAAAAAAAAAAAAAAAAAAAAAACAATGAAAAAAATAAAAAAAAGTTAAAACAAAATAAAAATAAACCCTTTTTTAATATTTTATTAACCAGAGGACCACATATTTTTTCAAAATATTTCCTATTATTAAAAATTACAAAAAAAATTAATTTAAAAAAATATATTTTAAAGTATTAATTTAAAAAAAAAAAAAAAAAGATAACTCACTGAAATATATAAAAAAAAGTTAAAACAAGATAGAATTAAACCCTTTTTTAATATTTGATATCTTTAGGGTAAATGTGAAAATTTATTTCACAGCTTTCAAATAAAACAACCCTAAACCACCAATTGTTAAGATATAGCCGCACAAAGCTAATAAATGAAAATGTAAATGCATGTCTCATGTACAAAACGATAACACTGTGGACCATGGTCGTTTTATCCTCCCCTTCTAGATCCATTCAATGCACTCATTATTGAAACCCCAAGCCCTCACATAAAAATTCATTTATTGACGCCTGTGTGTTCCACCAAAGTACTGTGCTTGTACTTGCTGACCTTTACAAAACAACAAAAACAAAAGGGCCTGTCCAGACTGTTGGTGATCCTTTAGTACATGTTCTGGGCATTTGCTGATCTTGGTACTTTGATTTTGTCGATATTTTTCATGATGATATCATGAAGTGAAGCCTGTAAGAGATCAGAAGTTATCAAATGTTCGTAAAATGTAAAAAATCAAAGACATTATAAATAAAAATAAAAGTAGTCAGGGGAATTTCTTATCACAGGTTTAACATGCAACTGCCATTTGCAGAGACTATTTAATCATGAGTTTAAAAAAAAAAATCTGAATCGTTGTAATATTGTAAAGGTCTAACAAAAAAGTAAAAGTGTCCAAATGATTAAGCACAGCACACTGCTAATAAAACTTACATAATGATTGCGCATTTCCAAAATAGCATTTTGAAGATTCAACATCTGCCTTTCATCGAATTCTTTAATGGACTGTCTGTAGTCTTCCTATAGTTTGTTTAGATCATAAGAATAATGATAGAGCGAATGCAGAATCACATTTTTGAAAAACTGGATTACATAAATCAAAACTGTAAGCTGAGTTAACCAGATAACCGGTCAGAATAGAATCAATGTCTGATGGATAAAATGTCCATTTGAGCTGTTGTAAAACTTCTTGACCTCATGTTAAGGTCTGGATACCTATCCTCTTACCATCCATGGATATTTAGATACCCTGAGAGTGTAGGGCAGGACACTAAAGATTGTCCAAAAAAAAAACACAGCCTTGAAAAATGTATGTTATCCTTAATACTTAATATGATATGAGGCAACAACTAATTTCAAAAAATTTCTGAACTAATTTCAATGTATTTCCTAAACTATCTCATTATAAGTAATACAAGAATATTTAGTTGGAAAGTAATGTAGACTTTGATAATAAAATTTTACCTCATATCTTAGAATCACAAAAAATACCAGAGAAATTTATGTATTTACATTTTGAGCAAACAACATGCTTTTGTATTTTATCTGCATCATAAAATTATAACAGTAATTATAAAGTAATGTTCAAATGACTGCTGCCAAATTCTTACAATATGAGGGTATTTAGCAATCTTGGAGATAATGCGTGCTCTCTGAAGGTAATAACGAGAAATCTGGTCCAAATAACTGGCAGCCTCACTCTCAACTTGTCTTGCCTCTGCAACAACATCTTCCTGTGTATATGAATATATTGATACGAGATTCATGAGGGAAGTGATTTCTTTTTTATTTAGTTAAAACATTTAAATGTAGCAAAATAAAATTAAAAATTAGCAATGGATTATTTCAAAATAAATTTTTTTTTAATGCTCCTAAGTTCCAAAATTAATAAATTTTTTCTCCCTCAAAATGGTTGAAAATTAAAATGATAGAGTGACAGTTTTTAGTTAAAAGTTTCAACAATGTCTGTGTCTGATCTCTATTAAATATGCTAATTTAATCACTGTAACTTAAACTTAATTGTGAAATACTTTTTAGTATTATTCTTCAAAGATATGTGCATCCATTTATGAGCCGGTACTGGAAAATCTATAAAATCTGTTCACATATGGGTTGTTTTAAAAAAAATTAATGACACAACTTGAATGAACTATTTACCCAGAACAGTGTCACCATTACTGCTAAAGGGAATTTATTGGGTAAGCCAGCTTTAAGCTAAGAAATTATTCCAAACAGCGATGATTGTAATAAATATAGTTATGTATTTGATGTATATTGGAATTTAATTATTTGCATTACTACCATCATGCATATACCAAGTATATACCAACAAGGCTAGTGTTTGATCAGACAAAAGTTAAATTCTAAATTAATTTAACACAGTGCTATGTATTGGTAGAATAATGAGCCTGTCACACTTTTTACCAATGTTCGACTCCCTGTCCAATCAACTTTGTTTCTTTATCTTCTATTTTCTTCTATTATTTTCCTATTTATCGTTTTTAAAATTTCATTTATAAGTTGTCGTATTAATTGAAATTATAAAAAAAATAATAAAAAGCAAAAAATCTCTGACATTATAAAAACAAATTGAAAAACCGTGTGTGGCTCACATTTTCCCAACTTCAATTTGGTGGCCATTCCCTTAACCCACGAACTGTGGCATGTATCACTCTGTGGTGTGGAGCTTTTTGGAGCCTTTTGAGTGCCATTTGAAATTGCATTAAATGAAATAGAAATATTGATAGAAGACCCCTATAAGTATATTTTTAGAAAGGTAAATGGATGGGGATAACGTTGGCCACCCTGTAAAAAAATTTTGCTCAGTATCCTTGACCTTGAAGTTCTCAAGAAAAAAAAATTCAACAAAATGTCTTGCTTTCAAGTGCTCATAACATCATTAATTTTTATAGATACACTTAAAACACAAATCTAAATGTTGTAGCCAATTCATTTATCTTTCAGAAAATGTATTGTTTGCTGAGGTTTTGATTGCAATTAAACCTCTGAAAGCAATTTTAGTAATTTTAGGTCATTTATATAAGAAACTGCTAAAACCAAGTACAAAATCTCAGGCTAAATAGTTATTATTGACTATTATACATTTAAAAAAGAACTGTGGAACAGATTTAGGTTGTTTTACTATAAAATTTATTAAGTTCTGAATTATAATCTGTAGCTTCTGTGACTAAAATTCAGTCAGACCTTGCCCAACCTCCAGGCCAGGCTCGAAGTCTAACAGTAGCCTCAATAGGTCTACTTTAGTATCACTAAGACGAGTATAAAATTTATGAGAAGAATAATCTCAACTGACATCGACATGGGGAATGTTAAAATCATCACCAGTATCACTTAAAACCTCACCTAAAAAGCTTTCAAACATATTTCTATTAGTTCTTGCACTGAAGGCCCAGCCATGGCTTCAACCATTTTAGCTTTAAAAAAAACAGTGATATAAAACTCTGATTAAAAAGTATTTATTTTCAAGTCATCACGAAGCAGCTTGAACCGGAAGATGATTTAATTATTAATAAAAGGAAGTGGCTATAATTCTGGTTTAATATTGGATTGGAAGTTGCTATCAGACCGTGTTTTTTAATCTGTCACAGTACAGAACGAGAAAGTCTGCCGATTTTTCCGACTACAGTTCGTGGGTTAATTAACAGTATTATAATTTTTATAAGTAATATACAATTTTGTAGATAAATTAATATTCATTAAAATAAATCTAAAGCAAATTTTTGTGATAAATTATTATTTACAAGAGAAAAGCATTAAATTATTATGTACACTTCTAATAATTTATGTAATCACCTCTACACCAAATTAGAAAAGGTTTCCAAGTTTAGACAAATCCACAATTGAATTGACATTTCACCAACTTATTTACAGTATGTTTGATTTGGTAACTTTATAGCCAGTTGCCATGAAAACATATCACTAGTTGCTATGAAAAAAAAACTTGCTAAATATCCTCAAATACGATAAATATGACCAAAAAATAAATTTTTTTGTTTACATTCTAGCAATCGCATGTAGTTGCTTAATTAACTTCCTGTTGGTAAATTAAGATCTTGAACCAAAACAAAAGTAAGAATGTAAATATAATACTAGTTTTACTATAAGACAGGCCATGATGCTCACAGCAGCACCTGGCCACGACAGTAGGAATGTTTAGCGCTACCAGCGGCTTGTGGTACTTCACCAGTTAAACAATAAATTTGTTTAAATATAAAAAAAAACTACCTGTATTGAAACCCCGAAGTTGTTTCCATCTTCAATTTTAGGGATCAGGAAATTTATCCACATTCTGACCTTGAAAAAAAAATTTTTAAATCCAGCAGTTAATAAAATTTGAAATTGTTTATTTTTTTCAATTTTATAACAGTATAAATTTTTATTCATATTATTTTTGTATTCTTCAATCTTAAAATCCATTGGTAGACCCACCATATTTGCATGCTCCATAAGCCCACGCATCAATGGCTTTGCTTTTTCACAGTAGTTATGAACAAATTTGTTGTATGGAATTGCACCACCAGGAAATACAAGCACTCGTGTACCTACAGATATTTCAATAATTGATAGTGATATTTTATTTATATAAGTAATTCATACAATTAATAGCATCAGCAAAATAACATATTATAATGATATATATAGAAACTGATTACAAAATGTATTACCTAAAACATTTGAGCTGTGATTATTGACATCCACCTCAACTTTCCTTTTTTTGGAGTTAGGCTGGAAAAGAAGAAAATATAGATTGATACTTTCAGATTTTTTAAAGCATAATAATAATATTACTAAATAACAAATTTAAATAAATTCCAGGGGGGGGGGTGCAGTTTTCTGATATGTTTGTGTTTTATTCAATATCATTTCTGTATTAAATATTTGGGCATTTTTTAATTTTTCCATACTTCATTTTTTAATGTAATGAAAATTCTAAAACTTATTGTATATATTTAGGTATAAGTCACACCCGTGGATAGTTCACCCCTTTAGTTTGGTGTTGCCAAAGTTGTTATTTGAAGTTGACAAGCATATAGGTTGCCCCGTAAGTTTTTGGAATTTAAATTTTAACGTAAACATAACTAATATTTGTTTAACTATTTTTTCACAAATGTTTCAATAACAACTTGAAACCTGAAAAGATCATCATCATCATAAAATATTTGATCTTTAATAAATGACTAACCCACCTTGAAAAAAAAAGTAAGTGAAATTAATGTCAAGTAAATTGGTTGCACCCCTGTTTTTTTTTTAAATAAAAGTTTAGGTAAAATGTGCGATCTATACACAGGTATATATGGTAAGTACTTTTGTATCACTTTTAGTTAACATCCTAATGGCTGAAAGAGTAAATTGTGCTTTCATTTCAATAAGCAGATTTCAGTACCTCTGATGAATTATTCTCAGTACCAGCATCCTCAAGAGGTACAGGATAAGGAATGTCTGCTTGCTGTTCTACATCTTTTGGATCTTCAGCTTTAACTTGCTAAAATAAATTAATAACACACACAGTATTTTTACTGTTCATTACACAGCATGTAAAGTAAGCCATTTATTTGAAAGATATGTTTTATTTATCCAATTCATTACATAGTTTTACATCGTCATCAAGGAAAAACAACAATTAAAAGAAAAGAGTAAAAATAGGTCATATTTCTGTTTAGTTAATATACATGTGTCGGTGGAGAAAGTGAAGCAGATTAATATGTTATGCTATGTAAGGAATTTTAAAAATAATTTAAAAATTGAAAATGGAAACAATCAAATGTTTTTAAAAATCACCTTGAACAGAGCATCTATCTCTAAAACCTTGTGTGGGAAAGTCTCACGTACAAGTTGTTCTGACTGAGGAAGCAAGAAACCTGAATATTTAAAATTTTAGATAGTGGAACATTTTTTAAAACTTCAAATAATTTAATTAACACTAGTAGGCCTAAAGATTTTTTTTTCAATCTTTGAAGCCTTAGTAGTAATAGATAACTAAAGGAAAATAATCATTACAATGTTTAACAATTATACTTACCTCTTTTTTGAACTGTTCAATGAATTCAGAAACCTGTGATGCAAATATTATTTTTTTTTTATTAGATAACTTATACAGATTGATCAATCTGTTGCATTTTCAAATATGTTTTCTTATTTAATGTGTCATTATTTATTATTTTACATTTTTAAATTTTCTTATCTAAATCTAAAGAGTATGAAAAAGCAAATTAAGAAATGGAGAAATACTGTATTTATTAGCGTATAACATGCTCCCACGTATAACACGCACCTCAATTTATGAAGGAAATTTCAGGAAAAAAAACTTAACATTACATCGGCGTATAACATGCACACATGATTTGCCCCCTATTTTCGGGGAGAAAAAGTGTGTGTTATACGCCAATAAATACGGTATTTAACTTAAAAAATTAGATCTATGTCTAAAATTACTTTAAAAAGGAATTTTAAAATTCAAAGGCAAAGGCATTCGAAAAAATATTTGTGCATGCTCTGCCTCTGTTGCTTCATTATTTATCCTTTGTTCGGTGACTCAAGATCATTTTCATATGTGCATATGCCATATTCCCCATATCAGCCATATGGCATGGTCATGGATTGGAAAAATTAGGAATTAATCATTAGAAACTGGACTTGTAAGTGGTCATGGGCATGTTTTGGAATTACAGAGGAAATGATTCAAATTATTACTAGAGAGCCTCTGCAATGGAATCCACAATCACTGAACAATATAAAGTTATGAAAGCAAGCAATACTACAGTACACTTCCCAATTCAATCCAGACCCTAGCAAGCAGAATGGATCTTGAATGATATCAATATCAAGACTAAGAGGTGGAAAGAATAGCTAAGATCAGATATAAAGGGACAAAATTTGGAAATGTCATGAGTCATGATGCAACTTACTGTATCATGTACTCAGTTGACTTAATTTAGGAATGTAAATTTACTGTAAATTGGTAAAAAAATCAAGCAGCAAATGAGCCAGATTGAGATGTGTAGTTGACAGGGACTAATCATCTTCTCTTCAGAAATTTTTTTATAAAAGGTTAATGTTTAATTAACTGAAATAAACGTTTAGCTTTTATCTTTTTATTACAGATTCCGCCTCAGTCTCTTGTTTTGTTGTTGTTTTTTTTTTATATTCTCAGTTCTGTCATTCATCACACTGCACACTAAAAAACATATTTTTATAATTTTTCACACATCTAAATTGTATAAAGAGAATATTAATGAGTATTACTGATTGCAAAATGTAACAGAAGAGTGTTTCCTCTTTCATTTTTTGTATAATTTACCTTCTTTGAATCAAGTTTAGATCTGGTAGTCATAATAATAATTTTATTGTATTTTTCCACTTAAAATTAAATAGACAAAAGCTCTTCACGTTGAGATTGGCTCCACAAGGGAAATTACTTTATTCAAAACTTCCGGTAGTTATAGATTTTCTAAAATACGCAATATGTGTAATATCACAAGACAACTTATACAGCTAACAAACCAGAATACTGATACGAATTTGAATCAGGCTTTTGTTATTTCTGATAATGTTTGAAATTAAAAGAAAATACAATAAGAAAATGCATCACAAAAACTTTTTATTCTGGATAATTTTCTTTATTTATATAATATTATCATCTTCTGATACTACACGATTTCTGAGATCGAAGTGGTTATGCGCAGCCCCCAGATTGCTCCCTGTTGGATTAAACTTTGAAATTAAAAATACCAAACCATTTTATCAAATGTTAATCAACCCTGCCCTTTAAGTAGTATTAATACCTTTCCTGGTGCTCTTTTAAAAAATTTCTTTGAAATATCTAAATAGAGTATCAAATGGTAGTTTGGAAGAAATCATTCTTCAGAGATATGAAGAAAAACGGTATGTAAAAAAAAAATGTTTAATGACAATACACATCAAATAATTCAAATGAACTTGATAATTTAAATAATATCGTCTTAAAAAAAGGATAAAATGAATTAATTCCATTTATATTTTGTGAATATTAGATAATCTAAATAATCTATTATTGAAGGAATGCAAAACTAATATGGAGTTTAAAGGTTTATTTCTTAAAGTTTGGGCTTCTTAAACTCATTTCAGACTTTTGCTTAACAATCATATTATTTATTAGCTACTTATCTATTAGTAAAGCTAAGCAGGGGAAATGAAGCAACTAGTAGCAAGACCTCTCAAGTAGCCTTAAAAATTTAAGAAATTATAGTTTAATTCATATTATAATATATTGTAAATAAATTAATTTTATCCCGAGATTTCCCGGGGTCGAGAGTGCATTTTGTTCCGTTTTCCCGAGAAAATACGTAGTACCATTCTTCTCTGATGTCTTTTAACTTTAAAATATAAAGCACAGAGTGGTTTGAGTCAAAAGGTTAGACTCACTCAACCAAGACAAAAGGAGGGGGGGAAAAGGATATAAAGAAAGGAAAATGAAAAGAGCATGGATTATTTTAACATCTTTATTTGTGAAACCATAATAAGCAAAATTGTATCCAATTAAAGATTAGTTAATAAAGCGTCAGCAGCGATAAATTAATTAAAGTACCATAAGCCCGAATCAACCATTTGGGAATACATGTACTTTCTTATGGTATCACGACAGGAGAAAGATGGCACATCAAAGATAATCACAGAAGAAAAGTCTGCATAATTTTTAGACAAACAAATATGTTATCATCTGAAAGTGCAATGTATTTTCAGAGGAGCAAAGCCAAAGTTAAGGCTAACCAAGAGGACATTAATTTCTACTAGCATTATTTCTGTGGCTCTCCTATTATTTGTAGAACGGTGCGAAACTAAATTCAGGTATGCACCGAAATGAATTGATGCATTTTTAATTTATCTTAAAAAATATGTGGGGGCCCTTGCTTCAGCGTTAAATAAAAAAAAGTTTGTTGCTATGTTGCTGAGAAATTTGAAAGTTTCGTACGAGCAGGGCCGGCCCTACCAATTGCGGGGCCCTATGTGAAACGGATTTGGCGGGGCCCAGTCTGGGTAGGGATAAGGATAATAAGTGAAAATTACGATTTTGTATTAGAAAATAAATTCGTCTTTGCATTTTATTCATTCTTTACTAAGTACAAAATCACGATCAAATTAACTTTACTTTACGAGCCTTGCGTGTAGCGAAGTCATACAGTATATATCAAAATTCTGTTTCCTACATAGATAACGCTCAATAGCAAGAATTGCCAAATTGTTCAATCCATCTTCGTGAATTGTTGAACTCAAGTAATTCTTGATTAGTTTGATCCATCTTCGTGAATTGTTGAACTCAAGTAATTCTTGATTAGTTTGAGTGAGGCGCCAGAAGCTTCTTTCACCAGATGCCACAGTTACGGGTATTGTTAAAAATATTCTGAGTGCAACAAAGTAGTTTGAGAAAGCAGTGTATCTTTCATTAGTGGACAGATAAGCCAAAATTTCGGCCGGGGTTTTGGCGGTATTTGGTAGAATATTCCTTAAAGATTCCATTTCATCTGCTAATTCTATTTCATCTGCAAATTCTCGCCCACATATATCTGCTGACTGGTCTGTTGATGATGTCAATGCTTGCTCGAGGCTCGCTGTAAACTTTCGTATGTCATCACGCTGAAGGTTCTTGAAGCTGACAAGAAATCCAAATAGATTGTGGTTTGATTTCAGCTGTTCAAATCTCGGCTGCAAGGACTGAATTGCAGTGTCCACAATTCTGTTGAAGCAATTTTTCCTGTAGTCATTTTCAGCATTTCCAGGTGTGAAGTTTTCCACCGATTTATCATACTGCCTTTTCCTTTGACATTTGGCTGGAAAGATTCCATGTTTTTAGCCAATTCCTTTGCTGTAACAAGAATCAGAACAAACCCATCAACTCTCAGTTTCCTTAGCCAAGTCATCAAGTTGTTGTACGAATCGATTGCAGATCTCAAATCTACTGTTTCACCTTGCAGTTCTTTACTCACAATATTGACTTGGAAGAGCACGTCGTACCATAACACAAGTGACACTAAGAATTTTACTGCGTCAATGTTTCATACAGTGTTTCTGCTTCACTTTTAACTATCGCATCATTAGTCTCTTCAGCTAATTCATCGAGTGCGTCACATATTTCAGGCAATTGATAACGACATTCCCACTTTTTTCCGCACAGAGGTTTTACAGACAGATTGGAAACATGCTTTCTGAATAATGATCATCTCTTTGTAGATGCTGAAAAGATAGTGTACACGCATTGTATAGTTCCAAAAAGGTTAACGCAACAGGGAATGTTTTGACCATGTCTGATACCACCAGATTGTAATTATGACACGCACATGGAGTAAAAAATGCTCTGCTGTTAATATTTAAAAGCCGTGTTTGAACTCCAGAATGGACGCCTTTCATGTTCGCACCATTATCATAACTTTGTCCACGAATATTTTTAACATTTAATTCAAGCTTCTCCAGCCCATTCACTAGTAAATCGCATACGTCCTGTCCAGTAGTACTTTCCACAGGAAGAAACTTAATAAAACGTTCATGTACAACCACAGGCTCTTTCACATTAACCCCATCCGATACATACCGGATAGTTAATGACATCTGCTCTTTGTGACTTATGCCTGGAGCACAATCCAATATCAAGGAAAAATACTTTGCATTCTTGATGTCTCGAAGGATAGCATTCACAACAGCATCAGCTACTACAGTAATGAGTTCGTTTTGAATCTTCTTTCCCAGGTAATGATCATGAATTTCCGCATTGGTAACACGTCGAAGATGTTCCCCCATTACTGGAGCAAATTTTGCGAGTAATTCTACTAGACCCAGGAAATTCCCATTACTTGGCTCTTCAACTCTTTTATTTACTTGTCGCAATCACTTGAAACAACGGCGTAATATATTAAAAACACTGTAAAAACATAAAATCAGAATAAACACGCTGACCTATACATGATTATAAGTTATAATGGTTTAATTAAATAATTTACACCTAGAATTAGCGCGGGGCCTATGAAAGTTCCATCAAGTTCACCAAAATTCAATGGATCTCAATACATGGCATTCCTCCAGCTATTTTCTATTTCCCGTAAAACTTTTGCGAAAACTATTCAACACTAAAAACCTGATCATTAATACCAGAAAGATATTTTTGAATAGGATCAAACAATGTTTCATAATTTGCAATTTCTTCATCTAAGACTTTTCGCCTTCTAGAACGCTCTCTGGAACGCTTTCTATAACACACACGCGGTAACTCAGTTCTATATATCAAACCTCTTGTTTTTCATTTAACTGGGCATTTCGTGAAATGTTGTGTGTCTTTTTTTTTTTTACTTTCTGGAATTCATGTGAAATTGCATTAAATGTTTAATCGTCTTTTCAGTCATCCTCTGGATTGTGACAAATAAAATTCTTTTGTTATATTTAATTGTACTAGTTTTTAAAAAAAAGATTAATGTAGTAAATGTAATTGTTATTACATTTAAAAAAAGAACTATTTAAATTGTTGGCTTGGAAAAGTCCTTCCTCATTTGAATTTTTTGCTTTCCTTTCTGCCTGCAGCAATTCTTAGTTCAAGGAGAGTGTCATACTAATTATTATAAGCTTAAAAACGAATATTGAAAATAGAGGTAGCATGTTAATACTTTATGATTTGAATCCCCCCACCCCCCCACCCCAAAAAAAAAATAAAAATTGTGTCTTTTGTCCTTGAACTTTTATTATCCGTTGCAAAATAAATACTTTTTGGGCGTATATTTGTTCGAAACGGCTAGTGGTCGTTGCGTCAGCCCCAAAAGCTATTGGCCCATGACGATAAGCCCTGTTTGTCCCACTTATGAACGCAATTACTGTAAATTGTAAATAATTTTTGATGAGTTTTGTTTTGGGAGTGCTTCTCTCCAAATTTTCTCATTTTTTGGAATGTTTATCTCAAACTTTTTTTCTGGATAATTGGATATTGTTTAATAGCTAAACTTTTCAACCAGTGTATCGCGGATAAATAAATATGACCACATCACCCAGTTCTACGAGATCTCCATCAGCTGCATAGAAGGCTCTGCACCGGAATATCTTAAAGAACTGATTTATAAACATGTATCCAGAACCTGTGATCTACAACACAGTCTTTACTGAAAATTCCTAGTGTGGATGAACACAGAAAAAAAGTCTTACGGAGTGCGCTTTTTTGAAGCGATAGCGCCTAAATTCAGGAACAGCTTGCATCAATCTTTAAGGCAATTAGAAAATGATAAAAAATCATCTAAGAAACATTTAAATACTTTTTTGTTTTAATTAAATAGATTTAAGAACACCAGAGCGCAGTGAGCATGCTAAAGTAGCATGGATACCAGCGCTATATAGATATCCAATCAATCAATCCCATAAACCAGCCAATACGCAGTTTTATTCATTTACTTAATTTTTTTTTCAATATTCATTTGTGAAGTATTTATTTTTAAAAATAGCAGAGATTTGAATTTAGTAGATAAAAAATTGTAGAGACATTGAATATCCTACCTAGTTCATTTATTTTTATAAAATTAAATGTCCTAATGCTATGTCGGCGAAGTTCTTTGTGGGCGTTATTTATGATTTTATTAGTTTATTTATGAAGCAATTATAAATACTCCCCGATTGACTGTGGTATCTAAATATCAATATATCTTCATTATTTTATATAAAATGTTTTATTGAAATTAAAATGTTTTGGTAGGTTATGTGGCACTAAGATAGATAAATAAGTATGAAAAAAATGTTTAAAAGAATATAGAAAACATAAAGGCCTTTTGAAAAAACGTTTAAAAATCTGGCCACACGGAAGACTTTTTCGGTTTGCAGGTAACTCATAACATTCAGTACTCATGTTAAGGCAAGGACCATTTTGATGCTTTTGATTTGAGCAAACAAGTGTAACATTAATATATAATAATGGCGGGGATTCATGAGGGTCCTGAATTTGGGATCGGTGATTTTGTTTTGCTTCCAGAACTTACGCTTAATGCTTTCATGGATAATTTGAAATTCAGGTAAGACTTTTACTTTACTTTTATTTATTATTTATTTATAGTATAGTATACGTGTAGTATAGTACTTAACTACTACACTACACTTACACTACTTAATAACTTGTAACTTAATAATAATGAATGCAACTTAATAATTTAAGAAAGTGCTTAGGCTTAGACTTAGACTAAGCCTAGAACTTAAACTTAAGGCTAAATAAGGACTTAACTTAAGGCAGGCAGTCCAAGTAAGGCAGTTTCAGTTAAAGTTAAGACTTACTTAAACTACTTATAAACTAAACTTAAGGTAAGAACTAACTTTTTAGTCCTAACTGCTAAGCCAAAGTTTTAACTAAAAACTAAAGAAATTTACCTGACCATAGTATATATTAAGTTTGGCATTATTAATCATTCATTATAAAATTATAGTTATAGTTTATAAATTTCTACTCTTAATTTAATCAGAGAGATAGCCAGAAGTGGAAGAGATGCTAGCTAGAGTCAGTGGTACGTGACGATGTAGATGTCACTTGATCTGGTTTTGTTCATTATATTATTTTAAAGACAAATTTATATTTAGTTGTTACCTTACTCCCTTCTCATATGCCTACAGTGTAGGATATATGCCATATATATTCATATTCACCTGAGGAAAACCACCCTATTTTACTACATCAATTCAAGGCATTAATAGGCCTATGTATATAAATGATGGACCACCTCAGTAAATGACCGGCCAAAGTGCCAAATGACCAATGCCGATAAGTGCATTAGTCCAATATTTCCTTGATTTTGCAATTTTGCCAGTCAGTTTGAGAAATGGCATGAGGCAACTGACCAGGTTCATAGGTACTATATACACTTGTCAATTCAAATACACCAGATCTTGGCCACACTTCTATGCCAATTTTTTTCTTTGGCAGGCCATTTCACAAATTAGGTGACTAATACTTCATGCCTAACCTATTGTACTATTAAGTAGCTAATACTTAGGCCTAACTATTAAATATTTAATTTAAATTAGATCAACTGACTAATAAATGTTTTGGGGGGGGGGGGGGGTGGTGTTTCCACTATTATTTTATGATGTATTATGAGAGCTAATACTTAGGCCTAACTATTAAATATTTAATTTAAATTAGATCAACTGACTAATAAATGTATTGCGGGGGGGGGGGGTGGTGTTTCCACTATTATTTTATGATGTATTATGAGGGTGTCTAAATTTTGTGAAGATTGGAGTGAAAAAAAAGGAGTGGGGATAAAATGGGCCCAAAGTAGCATGACCTCATTCATGGATGGCCCCATACACTACACACAGTATGCTTTAAACATAAAGTCTAGGAGGCCCTATATAGACTGATCTCATATCATATCTCTGTTGTAATAGAAACAGGACATCTACTTTTTGGAAGGTTTTATGTGTTTAATTTTAAATGCATAAAAAAATATTGAAATGATCCTGGTGATATGCCACAAATGTATATGAAATTTAAAGATTTTTATGCTATAGGGCCACTTTTCTAAGATTTTACCAGTAACTTCTTGCTAGGATATTTTAAACACATGTTCCCAGCAGCATATTAATTACAGCAAAAGCTGCTTTGCCTTAGATCAGTGGTTCTCAACCTTCCCAATGCCACAACCCTTTAATAAAGTTCCTCATGTTGTGGCGACCCCAAGCCACAAAATTATGGTCTTTGCTACTTAATAACTGTAGAGCATATGTGTTTTCTGATGGTCTTAGGCGACCCTTAGAAAAGGGCAGTGGGACCCCCAAAGGGGGTCGCGACCCACAGGTTGAGAACCGCTGCCTTAGATCAAAAAAGAGATGGTCACACCTTTTTATGGATAAAGCTGAAGATTTATCTGATTGGTACATTTTTTTTTACTTATTCTCATTTCTCTTGTTGAGGATAGTTAAAAACAATATCATGTCTTCTTATTGAAATGGGGACCATGCCAGCTGTCATATTTTAAAGTTTTATAAATTTTTTTTTTATAATCCAAATCACTAGGTTTGAAAAAGGTAAAATCTACACATACATTGGGGAAGTGGTTGTGTCTGTGAATCCTTATAAGCAGTTGGATATCTATAACAGCAGCTATATTCAGGAGTACAAAGACAGGGAGATATATGAACGGCCTCCACACATTTTCGCATTGGCTGACAATGCACATAAAACGATGAAGCGTCAATCTCAGGACACATGCATTGTGATATCTGGTAAGTTCGTTAGACAGACAAGTACATGTATTGTTGAATATTGTAATTAAGGTTGATTATGATTTAGCAAGTGGTCTGATGAAAGAAGACATACATCAGTTTGGAACAATCTTATCCTACTTAGGTAAATTTAATTTTCGTTAAGGCAACAGCAATCATGACCAAATATTCAAGGTTTTTTAACAATGAAGTTGAAATCTTCCCAGTCCACCTCATTTATTTGCTGAAATATAACCTTTTAAAAAAAACAACCTCTCTGTAAATATAAAGTTGTGTTTGTGTTAAGAAAGAATTAAAGTATAAGAAGCAACTTATGGCATAGATCAATGTCTTACTAAGTAATTAGCCAATGTAAACTCATAAATAATTATACCCAATTTATTCATAGCGGACATGCAGAACAAATTAAACATTTATTAAAAAAAAACGTATTCATCTATGTTACAAGATATGGAGCACAGGAACATTTGTCTTTATAATAAAAAAAAAAAAAAAGGAGAGGGTAAACATTGAATGCTGACACTTTTTTTTTTTTTTTTTTTTTTTTTTTTTTTTTTTTTTGTATTTCTAGAAAATATTATGATAAATACTTAAGGCATAAGAACTGAAGTATTTTAAAAAAAAAAAAAAGATCAGGGGAGTTTTCAAGTATTTTGGCCCTTGGTATTTGGTCTTCAGTTGTTAAGTGGGTTTGTTATATGTTGGTGGATTGGTGTTATCAAAACAAACATCATATGTCTCCTAGTTCAAACAGAGAGTTATGGTGTGCCAAGGCTAATCATGTATTTTTAATGTAATTTGCCTTTGCTGATAAGATAAAAGGTGGCATAAATCATGGTGGAGAACCATAAATTTGTTTTAATCACAATGTGACGGTGGGGCGGGGGAGATAGTGTAGTGAATATCCTTGTATACATAACACAGCCACATATAATGGCATACTCAGTCATACTTTTTTTTTTGCAACCGAGGCAATATTAAGGTTGGGGGGGGGGGGCGGCTCTTTTGAAAACACAGTATGTTATGTAAAAAGTGGACAGCATAGCATTTGTAAATGGGTGTATTTTTAAAATAATATTGCTGAAAAACGTAGGGATTTTATTAGTTTGTTGAATACCCGCACTGTTCACGGCTGGGGAGTGGGGATCAGTTTGTATGACTCCCACGTATGACGTCACGTTACGTAAGTGGTGTCAGTGTTTGGGCTGATGATTGAGATGTCAAAGTCATGTCAATTTTGGAAATAGTTACTGGTGTTAGTGTTTGGGCTGATGATTGAGATGTCAAAGTCATGTCAATGTTGGAAATAGTTACTGGTGTTAGTGTTTGGGCTGATGATTGAGATGTCAAAGTCATGTCAATGTTGGATATAGTTACTGGATTTTTCTTTTTACATATTTTTTGTTTTTGTTTAAATGGTTACTTCCATTTACGCAAGCCTTCATTTTGGATAAGTCATTCAAATAAGTCTGCCGTTCGTCGCTATTTGTTTCATTTCTTGAATTTTTCTGTCTTTACATTTCTTGTAATTTCTTGTAATCTTCTGCACATATCTAGCTGCTGTTACGTCATTGTATCGCGGCGCTACAATGACAGTGGCGCGTTGGTTGGCCTCATTAATTAAGCAGTTGTTAACTGCGCCTAGCGAGTACGTTTCCGGTGAAGTCATTATGACTAATTATATTTTGGACTTGAGCCTAAAGTACCTATGGAAGTTCCGTTAAGCCACGTGACCTAATGTAATTAAAGCACGCGTCTGTCCGAAACAATAAGTTAAAGCTGTTTATTATTTTTAAAAAAGCTGAGGTCAAGGTGTATGTATCTATAGTTAGAATGATGACTAACTCCTTGGTCAGCCCACCTGTGTTCACGAGTGAGGCGTGTACCGTGTAGAGTTTTCCCCATTTTAAAAACATAAAAAAAAAAGAGCATTCAATTTATGTGTCAACATTTTCATCTCGGAGAATGTACACACCGCAACACGCCGGCGTCGCCACAAGTCGTGCTTATCTTGCTGTGGTGAAGAGAGCTTAGCCAGATCTCATTAGTTTAGTGTTGATTTTTGAGCTGAGGATGTGGGGAGAGGAATGTTAAGCGTCTTCTTTTTTTTTTTTTTTTTTTTTCCTTTTTTTGCTGTCGGGAGTTTCTTTCTTTTTCGGGCAAGAATAGCTCTCACAATCTACATCATCAGGGATTCATAACCCATTTTTAGCGTTGTACCCCTCTTGATTTTAAGACGCGTCCCGCACCACTACCTAACTGGATTTCAATCAAATATTTCCAGCACTCCTACTCCACGATAAAAATGCTAATAAATCCGATTTTTCTTGGTCTTCCCGCACGCCCTGACACTGCCTCCCCACCCCCAGTGGTTGCGGAACACCCCAGGTTAAGAGCCCGTGATATACATTCTGCTTATGTCGGGTCTTAGAAAGTTCACCTCGTACCTTGTTGTGAGATCTGAGTACATTAATAAATCATCTTCAAAAAAGGGTTGGGAGGTGGGGCTGATGAGGGACGATCGTCGGAGGTCCCACATTTTAATAACGGCTTTTGAAAAGGGTAAAAAAAAAAAAAAAACTTCTAAGAAATGATATCGGTTTAGAATAATTGTTAAATAGATATGATGTATTAATAGGTCATTTATTTTAAGCGAAAGCTGTTTCTCAGTCATACTTTTTTTTTTGCAACCGAGGCAATATTAAGGTTGGGGGGGGGGCGGCTCTTTTGAAAACACAGTATGTTATGTAAAAAGTGGACAGCATAGCATTTGTAAATGGGTGTATTTTTAAAATAATATTGCTGAAAAACGTAGGGATTTTATTAGTTTGTTGAATACCCGCACTGTTCACGGCTGGGGAGTGGGGATCAGTTTGTATGACTCCCACGTATGACGTCACGTTACGTAAGTGGTGTCAGTGTTTGGGCTGATGATTGAGATGTCAAAGTCATGTCAATGTTGGAAATAGTTACTGGTGTCAGTGTTTGGGCTGATGATTGAGATGTCAAAGGCATGTCAATGTTGGAAATAGTTACTGGTGTTAGTGTTTGGGCTGATGATTGAGATGTCAAAGTCATGTCAATGTTGGAAATAGTTACTGGTGTCAGTGTTTGGGCTGATGATTGAGATGTCAAAGTCATGTCAATGTTGGAAATAGTTACTGGTGTTAGTGTTTGGGCTGATGATTGAGATGTCAAAGTCATGTCAATTTTGGAAATAGTTACTGGTGTTAGTGTTTGGGCTGATGATTGAGATGTCAAAGTCATGTCAATGTTGGAAATAGTTACTGGTGTTAGTGTTTGGGCTGATGATTGAGATGTCAAAGTCATGTCAATGTTGGATATAGTTACTGGATTTTTCTTTTTACATATTTTTTGTTTTTGTTTAAATGGTTACTTCCATTTACGCAAGCCTTCATTTTGGATAAGTCATTCAAATAAGTCTGCCGTTCGTCGCTATTTGTTTCATTTCTTGAATTTTTCTGTCTTTACATTTCTTGTAATTTCTTGTAATCTTCTGCACATATCTAGCTGCTGTTACGTCATTGTATCGCGGCGCTACAATGACAGTGGCGCGTTGGTTGGCCTCATTAATTAAGCAGTTGTTAACTGCGCCTAGCGAGTACGTTTCCGGTGAAGTCATTATGACTAATTATATTTTGGACTTGAGCCTAAAGTACCTATGGAAGTTCCGTTAAGCCACGTGACCTAATGTAATTAAAGCACGCGTCTGTCCGAAACAATAAGTTAAAGCTGTTTATTATTTTTAAAAAAGCTGAGGTCAAGGTGTATGTATCTATAGTTAGAATGATGACTAACTCCTTGGTCAGCCCACCTGTGTTCACGAGTGAGGCGTGTACCGTGTAGAGTTTTCCCCATTTTAAAAACATAAAAAAAAAAGAGCATTCAATTTATGTGTCAACATTTTCATCTCGGAGAATGTACACACCGCAACACGCCGGCGTCGCCACAAGTCGTGCTTATCTTGCTGTGGTGAAGAGAGCTTAGCCAGATCTCATTAGTTTAGTGTTGATTTTTGAGCTGAGGATGTGGGTGGAGAGGAATGTTAAGCGTCTTCTTTTTTTTTTTTTTTTTTTTTCCTTTTTTTGCTGTCGGGAGTTTCTTTCTTTATCGGGCAAGAATAGCTCTCACAATCTACATCATCAGGGATTCATAACCCATTTTTAGCGTTGTACCCCTCTTGATTTTAAGACGCGTCCCGCACCACTACCTAACTGGATTTCAATCAAATATTTCCAGCACTCCTACTCCACGATAAAAATGCTAATAAATCCGATTTTTCTTGGTCTTCCCGCACGCCCTGACACTGCCTCCCCACCCCCAGTGGTTGCGGAACACCCCAGGTTAAGAGCCCGTGATATACATTCTGCTTATGTCGGGTCTTAGAAAGTTCACCTCGTACCTTGTTGTGAGATCTGAGTACATTAATAAATCATCTTCAAAAAAGGGTTGGGAGGTGGGGCTGATGAGGGACGATCGTCGGAGGTCCCACATTTTAATAACGGCTTTTGAAAAGGGTAAAAAAAAAAAAAAACTTCTAAGAAATGATATCGGTTTAGAATAATTGTTAAATAGATATGATGTATTAATAGGTCATTTATTTTAAGCAAAAGCTGTTGCTCAGCAACGAGGTAATATCGTCTAGCTTTCTCTCAAATGCACCTTGCACAACGCTTATGGCCGGGGGCGTCGAGCCGGGGTAAATTACCCCAAATGGATATCGTGGGGGATAGGGACCCGGTAGTCATACACACAAAAATATTTTCAAAATACCACATTCCGGTCAGCTTAATAGAGAAACCAATATTTTGTGGTTAGTACTGACCCGGCAGCTACTTTAAGCTTTTGGTTTTAGCACCTTGTTGTTCATAGTAACGGTTGATTTCCTTCCTTCCTATCGAGATTTAAGCACCTTTTTGGTATGGAATGCCGTTCAACCATGGCCAGTACGCATTTCCTTTGAAATATTTTATCAAGAAATGTTAATCTATTATTGTGTCTGTGTCTCTGTCTATCCACAAAAAAAAGTGAGCATCATGGGGTAAAATAAAAAACAATTGTTGCTCAAAGCAATATCGTGGAAAGCCTCGGGCCACTGGCCGATGGTTCCAGCGTCGCCCATACTGGTGTGTTGTTAGATCATACGAACGATCTGGTTTGGTGACACAATACTCTGCAGGCAACCTGCGTAGGTGATACAATGCTCCAGTGACAACTAGCTTAGGTGACACAATGCTCCGGTGGCAACCTGCTTAGGTGACACAATGCTCTGATGACAACCAGCTTAGGTGACACAATGTTCTGATAACAACCAGCTTAGGTGACACAATGCTCTGATGACAACCAGCTTAGGTGACACAATGCATTGGTTACAACCAGCTTAGGTGACACAATGCATTGGTTACAACCAGCTTAGGTGACACAATGCATTGGTTACAACCAGCTTAGGTGACACAATGCATTGGTTACAACCAGCTTAGGTGACACAATGCATTGGTTACAACCAGCTTAGGTGACACAATGCATTGGTTACAACCAGCTTAGGTGACACAATGCATTGGTTACAACCAGCTTAGGTGACACAACGCATTGGTTACAACCAGCTTAGGTGACACAATGCATTGGTTACAACCAGCTTAGGTGACACAACGCATTGGTTACAACCAGCTTAGGTGACACAATGCATTGGTTACAATCAACAGCGGGATCCAAATAAGTAAATAATTTATGTTAGTTAAACATTGAGTAGAACTGTCAATATAAACTGACACTAAATGTCAACAATATATGTTTAAAAACTTGTTACATTTAATTCTTCATTGCAATCATTTTGCTGCATTCATCATTCCACTGTGTATTTATCAAGTGGGTGGGGGCTATATGAAAGGATCATTAACAAGGGGGTAACTTATTTTTTTGTCGAAATCCGTTCGAAGTATTCAATGTTGTTATTGTTAAGAGCAAGGGATCTCATACTTTCTTTTTATTTAGGAACTGGGTTTGAAATTTGATATACACCATGAATTACAAAATGTTTGTGTTTATAACCGTACTCACACTAATGGGGTCAGTGTTAATTGCTGTTTCTATTAATACAACGATCCTGTGGTTCGTTTGTGTAAGAGTACATGGGAGGAGTTTAACTGGGTCAACACAATGTCTATACCTATGTGATGCAGCTAGGCGCCTGGCGCTGCTTTAACCGTTTCCCAAAATACCTTTGTTTAGAGTGGCAGAAGGATTCACATTAAGTTCTAAGATAAGTTTATTCATTTGAAAGGCTCATAGTAGTATGTGTGAATTGGACAAGGGAGTTTAAAGGGTGGTGCCAGACGGCAAGCCTTGTTCATAACAATGCGGCGTAAAGATCTACTGCGTACCGTAATGTTAATGAGCTAAAAGACCAGAACCATTTTCTCCACTTCCCATGGATACTGCAGTCTTAAAAAGTTAAGTTGATTCAGGCTGGGACAGCGGAAAGGTGGGTGGGGGTGGAGGGGGGCGGACCTCTTCAGGCTGGATTTTTCTCCCCTCCCTTTATTGTAGGACTGAAATTTTCGGCCAGCTGCAGAAGAGTAATTTCGTGGGTGGGGCGGCAAAAATCTTGACCCGCCCCGGAGGCAATAATCCAAACGTCTCCTGGGCTGCGGGGAGCAGTTCACTGTCCTGGCATTGGCCGTTTCTTGGTTCTTAAGATATATGTTTCATCTATATTTTGGTGTCGGTTGGGATATGTCGAAATATTCTGCTCATTTATTTTGTAATTATTATTATTATTATTATATATATATATATATATATATATAAAATTAAGTTTAACTTAAACAGGATTGATGCCAGTGTATTGGTTAGGGCGTTGTATTAACACATTAGACACAAGGTTTTAAAGCATCTACTAATTTCATTCCATTAGATCAGAAGGGTTGTGGTTTTTTTAACCGTAATGCGCCGAGACAATTTCTTCAGCATATATTATCAATCCACCCGAGAAAATCTAGCTATGCCATCGTCACAACGTGTCAGGATCAGAATGAAAGCCGTCGCTTGAGGTTTGGAGGCCCCCTAGCATTGGTCGGTTATGTGCCCCCCTGCACTCTAAGCTGAAAGTTTACATATTTTTCGATATCACATCTTTGGGCTCCTTAAATATATGAGACCCGCTGCAGCTGCAAGGCTCACGTGACGGCTCTGATCACAATAACCGGTTTATAAACTGTACAGTCGGTAATTACAAAAAAAAAACGAATCGATTCACTAGGCACAACTCCTTTGGCGCATTCATCCGTGACATTTAGACTGCAATTGAATAATATCTTAATTGTATTGATTGTCGGTATTTTTAAACAAGTAATTGGGAATAATGTGCCACCCTCACACACCTGAATAGAAATATACTCCCATTGTATTTCCAATGATTTTCTCGTGTTTTATAAGTTTATTCAACCGGTACCTAAATGTCTAGCTGTAAGTAAAACTGCTGTACCAGGCAATTCTTTGATCAGAATGTAGTGGTCAATGAATTGATCGGTTTGACATCATCCTCTGGTGTGTTCGACGTGTTGACCAAACGTTCCCCGCATGGCTGCTGCAGATTAAACAAGTCGTGCAGATTTAGGATTAACCCACCACCCCCCCCCCCCTCGTTAGATCGATAGCATCCCACAAATCAGCTCGCACTCTATCAAACAAAGCCCAGTGCTATACCTCTGGGAGACTGCAGGAGGCGGAATGAGTAGAAAAAAAGAAAACGCCAATATAATATGCGCGCACTTTAACTGATTGTGCGGTAGAGAAATCCATTGAAAGACTCGCGGGCAAGCTACGTGTTGCTGATGTTCCCGCCTGGGCTCGCTGAGTAATACAGTCTCAGCTGACGTTAATGGTGTGGGCTGGGATGGAGTGTGGGGGATACCCCCGCCCCGCCCTTAATGGCCTGGAAAACCAAAACATCTGGATCATTCAATTAAAACATGAGTCCCGGTGTCGTTTCTTTGAATGGTTTTGATGAGCAGCCACAGTAATCAAGCGAGTCCCACCTCGAACCACAATGTGAAATATCTTTTTACGTATCAATTACGGGGATTTATGATTATTATTATTATTATAGGTTGTTTTTTTTCATACATTTTTTTTGGCTGGGGGTGGATTATGTAAGGGCCCGGGGACCATCCTCAAATGACGTCACGCATTTAGGAAGGAGGAGGTCATGAATTTGTGAAGATTGGGATGCAGGGGGCAAATGCGTCATTTATGGATGTTCACTCTAGCAATATCAAATTTAAAATACCAACACCGCATGATTTTTAATTATTAGTTAATATGTTATTTAAAATTGTGTCGTTGTAGTTTAAGGTTAATTTTGGACTAAATTTTGTCTTTTAACGTCTTAAACCAGATCAGATATTGTATTTGAGACCTGCTGAACTTCTGTTTAAAATGTTGGGGATCGACCAGCGCCTCCTTGCGACATTTTTCAATGGCATAACTTTAGCATTGGAGACTGGAGGGCAGGGACAGCGTGACCTATTTTGTTTGTCAGCACTTTTAAGTATTTACCGGGGTGGATTTCACAGTAGTGCTTTGTATAGAGTTTTACAGAGGTTCTCAAACTCAACATATTTTTTCCATAAGATTAGGTCGAGAATATTTATAAAAAAAAATAAAAAAAATAAATAAAAATAAATAAAGGAAATGTTTGAAAATGAAACATGGAATGATCGATTGACAACACAGGATATTGGAGATGACATTTCAGCATGGAACGTCTGGAATGTATGTGTGTGTGGCGGGGGGGGGGTTACTTGGCAAAGACGTATGAGAGACATTCAAGTACATATCCTTGTGAATTGTTTGTCTTCGTTTATTTGGTGTGTATGCGTATTATAAATCATCTACTCCGTTTATAAAAGAATCTTATCTTATTGTATTTGTATGAGCATTAGAACTGTCCCTATCTCATTTATTTTGTGTTATTATTACTTCCCCTATTTCATTTCTTTTGTGTTATTATACTTCCCCTATTTCATTTATTTAGTGTTAATGATTACTTCCCCTACACCCGCTCTCGTCTTGCTGTGGGCGGATGTGGGTGATATGGGAACGTTTTCTAATGAATACAAGAAGATCAAGACTGTTACCCTTTATCCGGTTGTAACAGCTATGACAGCCGAATGTACTAAGCAGTGTGGCTTACGGTGGTTAGAGATTAAATGACCAACCAAACCTTACATTGCTGGGAATACTCACTAGATTTGACACTTGACGAAAACGGATGTAGTTTAAAACAGTGGTCCCCAAATGGCGGTCCGTGGACCTTTAACGGTCCGCATGCCTAACGCTGCAGGTCCACATAACATAAATATTTATTGTCAAATAGAAGTAAAAGTATAAGAATAAATCATTCACCGGTCCCTGGTAAAATTTCGAAACTTGTTCACCGGTCCGCCAAACTTAAAAGTTTGGGAACCTCTGGTTTAAAACATAAACTGAGGCGTTCAGACATGAACGCACACACACACACACACACGGACTTACATAATTTATAGTGGGGAGATGGTAGCCACTTGTAATGATGACAGTTAGTGTGCGGTTGAGTCATAAGATGGGTGGATGGGGACGAGATAACACATGTGAACAAAAATTAATGACGCGTAATATATTTCCTCCTGGGTCTACGTATATGGAGTTTTGGGTTTTTTCTGATCTGTTTACTTTACGAACCATCAAAGAAGTTAACTTTGTCATGCTGGGTCTTCATATATATATGGTGGTGTGGGATATTCTCCTTTACTTTACGAACCATCAAAGAAGTTAACTTTGTCATGCTGGGTCTACATCTATGGAGGTGTGGGCTATCCTCTTTACTTTACGAACCATCAAAGAAGTTAACTTTGTCATGCTGGGTCCACATCTATGGAGGTGTGGGCTATTCTCCTTTACTTTACTAACCATCAAAGAAGTTAACTTTGTCATGCTTCGTGTTGGCCGACCTTCTGTGTTGTCAATATTTACTTCTTTTTTTTAGAGGGCCCTGAGCACATGTTCGGCCCTGCAATGGATCACGGTCAACAACCTGACAAGGATATTAACCATGGACTAGGTTAAACAAGACCGTGACCGATGCATTGCGATTGGTGTATAATTAGAAATATAAATATAACTCCATGCACTGCATTCAACAAAAATAGAGTTTTGCTATTTAGAATTTTCAAGGCGCGGTTTAAAACACAAAGGTTTTCGCGCCGCACCGTTTGAGAGTCATGACATGCACCGTTTGAGAGTCATGACACAGATGGCATCCTATAGCAGCACATTATTAGTTTTCATCTTCACCTGCAACTATAGATTAGTAGCAATCGTTACCCTTACTCTATATATTGTTATATTCTCTCTGAGTAGTGTTGTATGTTCAATGTTACCAGACAGCCCATGCCTTAACAAACATGGCAACTATCTAAGATGACATGCCCTACAACTAATGTGTTCCCATTTGTAGTTTACTATAAACCCCACAATAGATGAGTGATGTCCTATATAATATTGTGCCCCTCAATAAATGAGTGATGTGGTATGCAGTACTATATACCACACAATACCTGAGTAATATTATATGCAGTACTATATACCACACAATACGTGCGTGATATTTTATGAAGTACAATATACCCCACAATACATGAGTGATGTACTATGTAGTAATATATACCCCACAATACATTAGTGATGTACTATGTAGTAATATATACCCCACAATACATGAGTGATGTACTATGTTGTACTATACATACCACGATAGATGAGGGATGTGCTAGTTAGTACCGGTACTATATACCCCACGATAGAGAAATGCTAAGTGTCACGCAGTACATGAGTGATATGCTATGCAGTTCTGTATACCCCACGATAGGTGAGGGGTGTGCTATGCATTAATAAGTGCCCCTCAATAAAAGACAAGCCATATTGACAGTTACTTGAACTTAACCATGGGGGGGGGGGTATTTTTTTTCCGGCTGTCATGTGAAGAGGGCTGTCAGCCCTCCCAAAACAGCCCTCCCAACAGCAGAAGAGTAATGACTGTTAATAGTCATGCTTTGAACGTGTTCGTCTTGGTTTACGTGACCTACAGTTTTTATGTTTTATTTATTTATTTATTATTTTATCTTTATTTTTTTGCTGTTGCTCGGTGGCAGCACAAATATAGAAGGAAGTATGTGGAAAGATTAAATAGACATTCAAATATTTAAAAACCCAGCTTATCCCTAAGATAACACTGACGTTCGTTTCAATAATTCTACGTTCAATCTTCGTGCAAGCGAATATTCCTCGTATTGGTTTACATCCGGGTAACTCTCAGGCCTACGAGGCGCGTAGGTCATTTCCTCTAGAAGTAGAAGTGACCACTTAATGTCATTGGCGCCTAGGTGTTAAACCAATTAAAAGCATTTCATGAAAAGCCAAGTTAATTGAAAGCACCGGTTTTGTATGCATTGTTATATTTTAGAAACTGGCTACAACAGCTCAAACTGAGAAATATTGGACGAATGTCGTTTTTGTTTTTTTTTAAAAGTGGAGTTGGGGTTGCATTGAAGACAGTGGTGGACACTTCATAGTCGGGAGGGGGGGGCACAATCTCACCATCTTAGTCTGCAAGTACTTAACTAAAGGTACATAACAGTTTTCAAGTTAAGTATTGCCCTTGTAGATAATTGTATGATGGTTTAGATTAGTACAACTGTTTGAGGGTTGAACTCTGAAGTCATTTGTGTATGGCAGTCGTGTGTTGAACTCCTTATAAGGGTGACTACTGAATCTCTGAAGTCATTTGTGTATGTCAGTCGTGTGTTGAACTCCTTATAAGGGTGACTACTGAATCTCTGAAGTCATTTGTGTATGGCAGGCGTGTGTTGAACTCCTCATAAGTGTGACTACTGAAACTCTGAAGTCATTTGTGTATGGCAGTCGTGTGTTGAACTCCTCATAAGTGTGACTACTGAATCTCTGAAGTCTTTTGTGTATGGCAGTCGTGTGTTGAACTCCTCATAAGTGTGACTACTGAATCTCTGAAGTCATTTGTGTATGGCAGTCGTGTGTTGAACTCCTCATAAGTGTGACTACTGAATCTCTGAAGTCTTTTGTGTATGGCAGGCGTGTGTTTAACTGGTAGCTCGTCGATCCGGTTCCTAAACGATATAAGCGCGGCACACCTACAATATGTGGATACTGCTAACACTTTACTAATTATTTATTGAAAGGGGGGGGGGTTGTTTGGGGTGGGGGGCGCAAGTGCAATTGGTTCAATAGCTTTTTATGATAGTGTGTTGGAATGTTTGTGAATTCGCCTTGGGGGGATTTGATGCAAGGAATCGATCATACAGCTGTGCCAATATTAGGCGTGCAGTAGTAGTAGTAGTACGTGGAAATGTATCGGCATTTGCATGGTGGAATAAATTGCAGACGTTACATTGCTTCACAAGTCACTTTGAAGATGTCGGCATCATTCAGGCAGAACTTAGAAATCTGGGCGTTTCTGATAGTTAGTTTTAGGGGAGGTCAGGAGTGAACTTAGAACTGTCCCCCCCCCCCCAAACTTCGGATTCGAGAGTAGAGTTGACCTTGGGTGACGTTCGATTGCTTTCTGCAGCGAAATGCTGGCGATTGTTTTCTCCCGTCGTCATTCCACGCTCCCCGCCCTGCTCCTGTTTTCTGTGGGCTATGATCTGTACTTCCGACTGAAGCCCAATTTGGTGGGGCTTTATTGACTTGACTGGCCACGAACCTTGGGACACGGCAAGCACGTCCTATCGCTGGCGGGGGTGATCCGATTTGATCTTTGGCTTGTGTGGCCTTCGCCGGTGTTTCCCCCAGTTCGCTTGGAGGTTAGACAATGCGAAATACCTTACTCCAAGTTCCCCGACATTTGCCGTACACGCTTGAATAGTTAATGTTTGTTGAATAAAAGTCTTGATTGACAAACAATGACCCACAATCGCCTCCGCTAATGACTGTATGCTGTTTTAACCCCTTTTAAAAAAAAACCCAACTATGTGTAATGTTTGCTCTGGTTTACTTACAAGCACGGATCTGACTGAATAGGGTGTCCGTCATGTTAATGTCAAGTAGAATGACCTGACCACTTGGTTTGGTAGAAGTCATCCATTAGCCGCGGGCAGACAAGTCGCCTCTGTTTTTCCTTACTATGTACAAGAACGGGACATGTACACAGAGTACGAGCCATGTACACACGGGAGGGAACATGGGTTCGAGCTTTGCCACCAAGGTTAAGCGCTGGTCATAAGGTCATCGTGGTGTGGAATATCCCGCCATCAAGACTCGTTTCATGACATGCCAGACGAGCCTCAAGCTCACATCACAGGTGCATCCTCAACAAAAATTAACGGCAATGGCATACTACAGGTGAAGATTGCAAAGTAGCATATGGGCTGGGGACAATGTGGGGGAAGGGGCACGTAAACATCTTACATTAAGGGCCACCCTTAAAAGACAAGCGTCTTGGGTGGGGAGGGGGTGGTACATAAACATCCTAAATTAGGGGCCATGCTTAAGAGACAAGCGTCGGCCGAAAAGAGGGGGGGGGGAGGCGACGAAAATTTTTTTGAGAATGCATGATGGGGATTTTTATTTTAAAAAAAAATTATGTTAATGGGAAGGGGGATCAAAAATAGGCCAAAATNTTGGGTGGGGAGGGGGTGGTACATAAACATCCTAAATTAGGGGCCATGCTTAAGAGACAAGCGTCGGCCGAAAAGAGGGGGGGGGGGAGGCGACGAAAATTTTTTTGAGAATGCATGATGGGGATTTTTATTTTAAAAAAAAATTATGTTAATGGGAAGGGGGATCAAAAATCGGCCAAAATGACGAGGCGTCATTAAGGGATGGCCCCTTAGCACCAAAACCAGTTTGGGACTTCATGCAAGCCTGTTGGTGTTAAGTACCACGTGAAAATACTCCCCGTCCTACCTCTTGTCTTGTTTGAAAAACAAAATAGACCATAATTGGAAATTTAAGTTTAAAGCAGTCGTGATATAGTTAAAAACATTTATATGGAAATTTCTACATCAAATGTCGGTAGCCTGAATATTCTTGTGATCTAATTTTCAAATTCCTTTTACAAAGTCTATTTGGGCATTAAGACGTTTGGTTAATTAGATGGTGGTGGAGGGAAATTTTATCATGATAAATCATCGCTAATGCAGGGATGCTATACCTATCTCTAATGCAGAGATGCTATACCTATCTCTAGTGCGGATACTATACCTATTTACTGGATCAGATTTATCAAAAAACAGATATTCTTGTTACAGGTGAAAGTGGCTCTGGAAAGACTGAAGCCTCCAAGATCATCATGCGATACATTGCTGCTGTCACCAATGTCAGTGGACAGAAAGAAGTGGAAAGGTATTCTTATAACAATGCTAATAGAACTAATGAGCTGGTTGGTTGCTAATAGAACTAATGAGCTGGTTGGTTGCTAATAGAACTAATGAGCTGGTTGGTTGCTAATAGAACTAATGAGCTGGTTGGTTGCTAATAGAACTAATGAGCTGGTTGGTTGCTAATAGAACTAATGAGCTGGTTGGTTGCTAATAGAACTAATGAGCTGGTTGGTTGCTAATAGAACTAATGAGCTGGTTGGTTGCTAATAGAACTAATGAGCTGGTTGGTTGCTAATAGAACTAATGAGCTGGTTGGTTGCTAATAGAACTAATGAGCTGGTTGGTTGCTAATAGAACTAATGAGCTGGTTGGTTGCTAATAGAGACTGTGAACTTCTCAAATCTTTTATATTTGAAGTCAAATCTGAGTCTTGGCTAGACTGAAGTGTCTTATCTTTTTGAACAGAAATATATATTAATTGAACAAAATGTGTGATGAAAGATTTTCTCATCAATTTATGTATTAACCAGTACGTGTCATTCATAGGGTGAAAGATGTGCTGATCAAATCCAACAATATCCTTGAAGCCTTTGGCAACGCCAAGACAAATCGTAACGACAATTCAAGTCGTTTCGGCAAATACATGGACATCAACTTTGATTTCAAGGGAGATCCTATTGGAGGCCACATTAGCAATTACCTGCTAGAAAAGGTATTGAGATCATAGGTCCTACTTAAGTGAATGTTTCTTGAACGATGAGGTTAACAATCAGGTTAATGCCATCTTCTAATTTCCACCAATGCCAGTTCGATAACTATATTTGACAAAATGGCCTGAAGAATTTTTTTTACTTTTAATAAATTGTTGTCCTTTATTTATCTTTACAGAGCCGAGTTGTTTACCAGCAGGATGGGGAGAGAAATTTTCATTCATTTTATCAGGTAACAATCATGACTGAGTGAGGGATACTGTGTCATTGTAGAATAATCTTAACTAATAAAATGAGCCTTCAGCAACATCCCACTATGTTTACATGACTTATGTGTCTATCATGTTTTTAGGTTGTGTCTGTCCTTTGATGTGTACATTTCAAACTTATTTTTGTGAGTATCCTTCCCCCATTCCACTCCACTTTCCCCAAATCAGCTGCTTAGTGGGGCACAAGATGGGATGCTGAGTGATTTCAAGCTGACTAGAGATCCCAAGAAATACAACTTCATCAACCAGGGAGGAGATCCAAGGGTGAGACATTATCATTGCTTTCTTTAAAAAAAAAAATAAATAAAAAAAAAAGTGTCATCACATATCAACATGCACTAGTAGAATTACAAAAAAAGGTAGAGATAACTGCACTGACCTGCCCTGGGTGGTCAAAAACATGTTTTTTACCCAACTTTTATTTCTAAATGGTTCTTTGTGTCCAGGTGGCATCTATAAATGACAAACAAGACTTTCGTGGAGTGATGGATGCCATGAAAGCCACAGGTTTTACTCCAGAGGAAATCTCGACATCGTGGAAACTCATAGCTGCAGTCCTGCACCTGGCAAGCTACTTTATTTACAATTATGTTGCATGGTTGCATTACAATTTTGATCCAATTTACCCTTTCAAGCTTTTTTTTGTTTTAAATGTCTTTGCAATGAGAAAATATGTTAAAAATTTGTTGTAAGGAGATTTGAGTTATAATATTCTCATTTAGGGCAACATTGAATTTGCTGGAGAGGACCAGTCTGAGATAAGCAACCAGGAAGAACCGACCATTGTTAGCTTGTTACTTGGCGTCACCAAAGACAACCTGGAGAAGGCTCTGTGTTCCAGAGTCATAGCAGCAGGTGGAAATGTTGTGGATAAGCATTTAAATGTACCCGAGGCACATTACGCCAGGAAAGCATTTGCAAAGGTATTTTTATGGTTAGGTGGGCTTTTGAAAAAATCAGATGTTTTTTTTTTTTTTTCCTTTTCAATTTTATGATGCCAACTTCTTTTGAGCTAATTTTTTTAGGTCTTTTTTTGTTTTATTTGTACTGTTTTTTTTCTTGTTGTGTTCTATGATGCAGACTTTCGGATATTTTCTTTGAGTTGTATTATTTTTTTTCTTAAGTTTCATAAATCCCTTTATACCTTTTGATTTTTTTTTCCTGATTAAAATTCATCCTTCCATGAATATGTTTAATATGCAGAATTTCTAAAGAGCCACTTTTAGATAATTGAGTTATATAAACATAAAGTACTCGTCTATGTTTCAGGCCATGTATGATAGATTATTTACTTGGATTGTTGGTCGTATCAATGATGCCATCGACCCTAAACAACATGGGAGGACAGTGGGCAAGAACACAGTCATAGGAGTACTTGATATCTATGGCTTTGAGATCTTTGATAACAACAGGTCATTATTATTGATAAATGGATTATGTTATTATGTCATTTCACTAGAATCATATTGTGCTTTAAACTATGTGCAACGTAACTCATAAAATATTTCCTATACAACAGCACACACTCTCGTATCAAGTATAAAAAGCATTTATTAATCTTCCCCCCAAAAAATTAACAAATGTCTGTCACAATGTGAGTTTTTAAAGATGTTGCTTGTTTCTGTGAAAGTTTAGCTAAATATCGAAGTTTCTGATTTAAGAATGCACCCCATTTAATTGACAGCGTTTTGTTTGTCTCTTTCTCCTCTTACAGTTTTGAACAATTCTGCATCAACTACTGTAATGAGAAACTGCAGCAGCTTTTCATAGAACTAGTGCTGAAACAAGAACAAGAGGAGTATATGAGAGAAGGCATCCAATGGCAGCATGTGAGTCATTAGTTTCAAGTTGTCGGATATAGATATGTGATCACTCTAGATTTGAGTTAGCTAAGAGCAAAGGAAGCACAATATTTAAGTAGATAAGATTATATATAATGTGTGGGGATTGTAGTAATTTACTGAACTAATGGACAATTTCTTATCTCTAGACCCAGTGGGCTTAATTTTAAGGCAGCATTAAGTCGTCTTAGCTCGAATAGATTCAGTCAGTCTGAAATCATAGATCAGATGATATATTAACTTGGGCTATATGTACTTTAAAACGATGTAAAAAAATTAATAAGTCTGTTATGGTAACTAAAATAGAAGAAAATCACTACCATTTATAGAAGATTGTGCATCCATTAACACACTATCAATATGCTCATGACCACAACAATAATTAGATCACAGTGAACAAACATCTTACTCATCTATTAGTAAAATACTATTTCCTGATTTTGTTGTGTTGCGCTGAATCTTTTTATAGGTGGATTATTTTAACAACAAAGTCATTTGTGATCTCGTGGAAGTTCCACATCATGGCATCTTTGCCATTTTGGATGAGGCATGCCTTAATGTTGGGAAGATAACAGATGAGGTAAGTTTTAAAATGGATTGTTTTGTAAATATTGCATTATGATAAATAAGATTACGTTTGGATTATATTAAATACCATTAACAAAATCATAATATATTTCATCATTAAAAAGCTGTCCACAAGTAATTATTGTAGTTGTGCAAAGTTAATGGGCTAATCATGGTTGACTTTTGGACTTACAGAATGGTCTAAAAATAACATTGCTAACATTTTTCTTTAAGCCTAATCTAATTCATATTAAGGTATTTCTAAAAGGTCAGAAATCATAAATGAACCACAAGCAAAAGTTAATTATTTAAAAAAAAATAAATGATATTGCTGTATCACAATGAGTAAAGTTATATAATATAAATAAAATACTCTCTCACAGATGTACCTGGAGGCAATGGCAAAGAAGCTAGGGAAACATGACCGTTTCACCTGCAGACAGGTAAATGAGATCTACATGAATACGTTTCTTGTCAATCTAACACATTTTCACCATATCAAATTGAAGCAATTTTATGCTGAAATTGTATTTTTAGATTTTGTGTTTTTTTTTCCCTTTCAACTCAGCTTGAGCCAGCTGATAAAACTTTAGAGCATCATCGTGACTTCAGAATCAAGCATTACGCTGGAGATGTGACCTACAGTGTTGTTGGCTTCATTGATAAAAACAAAGACACTCTCTTCATGGACTTTAAAAGGCTTTTGTTTAACAGGTACACTGAAATCATGTCAGTTCACAACAAAACCACACTTTTATCTATTTTTTTATTTTTTTTTTAAATTTGCTACATGGACTGAGTTTAGTGATCCTTATGTTTTAGAGGATTGGTTCATATAGTTTGGATTATTGTTGTAAGTTTATGCAAAGCATTACCTTTGGGTTAATTGTCTGAATTGTTTGTCTTATATAACGCTATATTTCCTAAACAGTTCCAACAGCGTTATCAAGGTGATGTGGCCAGAAGGTGCCCAGAGTGTTACAGAGGTTGGTCAATTATATTTAAAAAACTATTAAATTGTTTAAATATTTTTTTTTCTTCTTTTTCTTTGCCTTTTCAAATCTCGGTGGAGCATAGGTCATAACCAGTTTCTTCCCGAGCCTTCCAGTCTCTAGCTGTCATCTCTTTATTTTTTCTCCCGATATAAATCAGAATTAACCCAAAAAATTAAATTATAATTTAAGGTTGCAGCGATTACATTTTTATTGAAAAATTAAATATAGTTTATTGCCCAAAAAACTCAAAGGTTTCATGGTCTTTCCTTCGACAGACCTAGGCTCTGCTACTGAAACACAAATGTGTCATCGCGACACAGTTTGGAGAGCTCTGACTAAATTTATCCTTAACTCTAATAATATTCTTACTTTACAGACAACCAAAAGGCCCATTACAGCTGGAACATCTTTTAAAAACTCCATGATTTCATTGGTAGAGAATCTTGCTAGCAAGGTGGGTATAGTAAACTATTGAAAAAAAAATTCAGTCCTTGATATCCATTTTTTTTTTGGTTTGTGTACTTATTTATCTGAGAACTCAACAATTTCTGAAGACAGCCATATTTGTTTTTAAAATCCTGTTTTTTAGCCTGTTGAAATTCTTTTAATGTGAGTGTGAAAGTTACAATCCTCATGTCCTGTAATCATTGATAACATTTTTCAACACTGATAATTTGTCTACAGGTCCCCTTCTATGTGCGGTGCATCAAACCAAATGAGGTCAAATCACCATTGCTTTTTGATGAAACAAGGTCACGTCACCAGGTCATGTACCTGGGTCTTTTGGAGAACGTCAGAGTACGAAGGGCTGGTTTTGCTTTCAGGATGGCATATAACAGATTTCTCAGAAGGTACATCACATTGTTATTTGCAATCATTTAATATCATTATTAAAGGGACCCCTAGTTAGCTGACTTTTTTGGAGCCACACAAAGAATTAACAATCAGGGAAAAGCTGCAAACATTTTCATTAGAGTATTCGACAAGCCATTTAGTTACCGGGGTGTTGAAATAATAAACATTTTGATTGTACTTGTGCATTCTCCCCCCCCCCCCCCCCCCCCCCCCCTCTCCCAAATATGTCTTTAATGCTCATTCAGTCTAATGCAGTGAAAGAGAATTGACCTTTCTTACAAACAAGACTGTACACACTCAAAATAGTTGTGTGCATGGTATTTATATTTGACCTTGTTAGTGAAGACAATTTTATGCTCGTGTAGAGTTGTCACTCAGAACTCTACTTTGCTGGTCAATTGTGGGCTCCATGTTGCATTTTGTATACATCTTAACTTATGGTAGCTACCAAGGGATCATTTTGTACATGATATCAAAGTTATGATACAGTGCTTTCTAACCCTCACACTTTGTGGGCCTTCTAGTTGTATTAATTAGAAATAGGAATTTAAATTGATTCTAATGGCAAAGATAAAAAAAAAAAGCAGAAAATGTTTCACTCAAATATTTCAGAAAATACAGCTAAATATCATTAATTTTTGTTGCTAGATACAAGATGATTTGTACCAAGACATGGCCCAACTTTCATGGCCAGGACTTGGATGGATGCAAAGCCATCATTGATTCTCAGGGCTTTTCTTCAGATGTCAAGTATGGCAAATCCAAGATTTTTATTAGGTCACCACAAACTCTCTTTGCTTTAGAACAGAGCAGAGGGGCCAAAATACCCAGCATTGTTCTCTTTTTACAGAAGGTATGTCCATCTTTTTAGTGTGTTGTACTGTTAATTTAAATAATAATCAATATCTAATATCCAAAATGCTATGAGTGGTTATTTTTTTACATCAGTCATCATTAGCAGTATGTTTGTATAAATGTGCATTTAATGCTGGACTGCATTCCTTCTTACTAGCCAAAATATTTTTTCAATTCACCTCCAGAAATAAGTATTTTATTTTATTTTTTTTTTTTAAATTCTTTTTTCCTGAGAAGGCTTTTGGGCAAAAAATTATATTGTCTAGAAAAACCTTAAATATTTGTAAAACGTTATCAGTCAACAACAGTTAATTGATCTGATCTACAAGATAAGTACCAGTATTTATCTATCTTTTCCAAATAAACCCTTTAAATTTCATGAGTGAATTTCCTCTAATTACAGCACACCCGTGGGGCTTTGACCAGAAAGAGAGTTAAACGTGTTAGAGCTGTATATTTGATCATGCATCATTACAAGAGATATAAACTACGATCATATGCACTTGCTTGTTTGGAAAGATTCCGCAATGCTAAAAAAATGAAAGACTATGGGTTAAGTGTACAGTGGCCCAAGCCCCCAAATTCCTTGAAGTCCACAGTGGAACTCCTAAAGAGAGCTCATGCTAGGTAAATAAATTATAATTTCTAGTCATTATTAAATCAAAGTGTGCTATGGAATGATCTTTTGACAATATTATTCCTAAATTTCTAAATAAAGTCTTCAAAACATGCAACTTATTCCCATTGATTGGAACAATGTCCTTAAAGTCAAAAAAGGCAATAGAGGATAAATATTAACTCTTTATCATTAGGTGGCGAGCATTCATGATACTGTCCAAGATCCAAGTCAATGATAGGCCATTGATGAGACTGAAAGTGATGGCTGGAGATGTCCTAGTTGGCAAGCGTGCAGACTGGGGCGTGAAACGCAACTGGGAGGGAAATTACCTGGCATCTGTGAGGAAACTTTTTCTGATTTCTAGTTCAGTATCTCTTTAAGAAAAATTTTTTTTTTAGAAATTTAAAGCTAGGCTAAGTAATTTTAACAATTAGTGGAGGCCTAGAAAAAAATCCTGCAGTTTTAAAAATCTCTTAAAAACAATAAATGAATACTGCAATGAGTGATGAGTAAATGCTCATTATCTTTATTGAAAAAAATAATTGCCACCCAAAGTATTATTAGAAAGCTTTTGCCCTGAAAGCCAATAAATGTTGTTTTGAATTACAAACGGGTATGGCCAATGGCTGGCCAAAAATTTTTTAATGAATACATGCTACCTTGCAATTACTAAATATTAAGTAAATAGAGGAGCGTGTGACATTATATATCCAGAACTTTGAAGTAAGCACAGTTACAATAGTAATTAAAAGTGTTGGGGGCCATTTCATTTTAAAAAATAGTATGGGGAACATTAGGATCACATTGTAAAAGGGGAATAAAATCATAAGACAAGGGAACACTCAAATGATGAAGACAACACAAAGCAAACGTGTCTGCCAAAAAGTCTTATTCGGCAAACTATGAAATAAATTAACTTTGCTCATAGGTTTGGACGCTATGTCAAGGAAACTTAACTGTAATGAGCTTTCTTAATGTTTAAGGATAATGTTGACTGATACTGATACAAAATAAACACCAGGTTTTCTAGCTTCATCTAATTTTTTAAAAATTATTGCTATAAGATTGACTTTGTGTTTCAGTTTAGATTGGTGGATTATTTTTTAATGCTGTAATTCTCATTTTCAGTCTAAAGACAACAGCAACACTTCAGATTTTGTGTCCCAGATGAACACCTTGAAGAGCAGAGATGGTTTCACCAAAATTTTATTTTCATCTTATGTTAAAAAGGTAAGCCAGGCAGCATTATAATTTGTAAATGGAGAAATAACAATATGATCCTAATTTAACTTTGCCGATTTTTAATAAATTTTTTTGATTTTGAATGAAAAATATATTTGGATTCATAATTTAGTTTTTTTAGCATTTAAATCATTTATCAGTTTGATTCCATAATTTAAATTGAAACAATAAACATTAATGCTCAAATGTATTATCATTTTTAAGGCTAACAAGTTCAACAAAACAGCAGAAAGAGGCATCGTCATAACAGATAAGTTGATTTACAAGCTGGATATAAAGAAAAAGTTTAAACCTATGACTAAGGGAAACTCTCTCACAGAAGTAAGTTAGCTTTCCTCATTTTTCTATAAGGCTTTAAAAAAATAGGACAATATTAATAATAGGCCTTCCATTTTTCACTTATGCTTTTCTTTCATTGATGCTGGCTGGAGAAATACAGAAATATCAGTATCGGGTACCGTAATATAAAGAAGTAATGTTTTTCTACATCTATTGATTTACTTTTATTTTTTTGTGTGTTGTGTGGAGTAACGATTATTAATGAGTGGATGGAACTTATTAACCTTGGATGGCAACTCATCTAAGAGAAGACAAACTCTGAAATCTAACCTGGAGATGGAGTCCAGTAGGCAGTGTGACACTGACACAATGAAAATTCAGACAAAAAACACTGCTGGTCATCTACTGCATCCTGGTCTATTTCCAGTATTTGACTAAGTCTTGCCATTGGATCAAATAGGCATGGACGAGATGGTGAGGCTGATGAGTGAGCAACTCTCCCTCATTTTAAAACAAAATACAACTCAAATCATTGCTACTACTCAAGTCAAATACTGCCTTAATCATCTTGACACATGAAGGACGAACAATATAATAATGATTATGTGTAGCTGCTTGATGTTTGAGCATTTAACTCCTCATACATCAATGATATCTCATAATAATAATGTAATGTTTCATTATATGACTTTGAGAAGAATCATGTAAACTTTATGATTTAACTTCTTGTAAAGTTACTTCAAATGTAACAAAGCTTTTTTTTTTTAAATCTATTTTCCATCACAGGTAACCGGATTAAGTGTCACACCTGGGAAGGATCAGCTGGTCATAATTCACCTCAGTGGGGGCAATGATCTGGTCTTGTGTTTGGAAAATCCTGCCCATGAGGAGAGAGTTGGTGAACTGGTGGGCGTGTTGACCTCACACATGCACAAGTAAGACATCCATAATGCATTATATTTTAAGCTGAAGGTTTTTTAAAACAGCAACAGCTGAGGTCAGCTTACACTGTTTTAGGGTTGACGTAAGAGAGGTCACACCTTTTGAATTAAAAGATAGCCTAGCTGGCAATAGTTTTAGAAAGTTCAAAATTGATCTTCACTTAAGTGTACTAAATGGTATAAATATTTCTTCTTTGAGTAAAACAAAATATGTAAGGACCTTTTCTTTGAATTGATTCACTCAAGAGTCTTTTAAAAAAATTTTTTTTATTACTTTGTATATTTATCTTCAACACATTTTCTTTTATCAAACTAAAGAATTTTAAAACGAGACCTGAAAGTAAACATCACTAAAAGTTTGAACTGCATGCTGGGACACAAGCCCCGTACTGTGGTAGTCAAAGAGACGGCGGCGAATGGTGGCACTGTTTTCAAGAAAGAAGGTGACGGACTTGCACTGTTTTGGCCCACATCATAAGATCTCACACAAAATAAAATTTTAAAAAATATATTTTAGCTTTTACTTTTAATCTGAAGAAAAATGTCAGCATCTTTGCTTTGTAGCGACATGGAGGCCATGATGTACTTCATGAATATTTCTTTACACATTTTAAAGTATGGCATGAAAAATTCAGTTAACAGATAATGCATTTGAATTCATGGATAATTTAAAATTGACAATTTTATGTCATGACTTTCAAACAACTTGTACATTGTTTGCTGGTTTAAGTCTTAGGACCAGAAATGTGCTATCTTCTTACTCATGGCTTTACTTGATCTTTTACATGCAGTGCTTTAGAAGGGGAGGGTATTTGAAATAAACAAAACAGGATGAATGTAAGTTATTGATGAGATAAAAAATGATTCATATATCAAGCATAGCATTTTATAAATATATTGAGCAAGAAATTTTTATATGTGGGTTTTGGGTTGGCATTTTGCTTTTTTTTCTATACTTGAGGTGAGCAAACATTGACCCTTTGAATAGCATTGACACAGTTTGCTCACTGTGTTTAATTGTGATGGAGTTTCAAATGATTTGAAATGGAAAAATGTAATCCTGTCCAGAGGTTGTTGGTACATTTACTTTATAAAAGTAGACTCGTCTCTGGTTGGCTACGAAAATGTTTTATCTGTACATAACTGTTTGTAAATACATGATTCTTATATTTTTGAGGGTGATTTTGTTAGAACTGTGATATATTAGACAAATTTGTTAAATTTTGGGGGGGAAAAGAATGTTGGCAAAATGTTTTCTAATAACTGATTGAAAATCATTAAAATTTGTTAAAAACTAGTTTTTACTAGTTGTGCCCTTTTTTGATAGAATCAGTTATATTTTAAATCACAGAAAGTCTTGAACTAATTTAAATTTGTGTCCTTCTAAACCATCACATTTTTTTTACATATCTTATGTTGATCATGGTTGAATGTAAATTATTTGTAACATTTGAAAGGTCTGCCCAATATCACAAACATAGCAATTCTGAGTTATGTTGATATCAAAGTTTATAATATGTGTATGCAAATTTATTGTTGACTAGAAAGAAAATCTGTCTGTAGCGTCAATCTGTAGAGGTAGATTTGTGATGAAAATGATTAACCTTTGTCAATGCATAATTAACCAAAATAAATAGCAATCAAAACTTATTTGATGCCAAGGTTATTTACTTAAAATGGAAAACCCATTTTGTATAGAGTAATTTTTAGACAGGACAGACATCTTTATAGAAATTTCAATACTGATGAGTCTTACTATGGAACTATTTTGATTAAAAAACATTATATATCAATTATAAAATTTGTACAATTTCCTACTTAAATAAATCACACTTTTTATGTTATCTAAACGGTATGCCAAAATATGTACTTTAAATAGAAAACTTTTACATGACAACACTTAATGTTATGTTTGTGTCCATATTTTTCTCTATGAATGTGTCCTGTTTAATGCATTAAGAACATCATGCAGTATTTCTCTTTGCGCCACTAATATTGTTCTCTTGTGTCAAGCCTTTAATTTATATTTTATTTATTTTTCACTTGTGTTAGCGAGAAAGAAAAAAAAGCAACTAACCTCAGCAGTAAAAATGGGGGCGGCAATAGAGAATCTGTCTAAACTTCTAATGTATTTCAACATTTTTGACACTTGAATTCCAAGTTTGGGAATAGTTTGTACATCATTCCATCCCCGTGGCACTAAATTACACACCATAAATGTAATGAGGGAGTCAGTATTGTCTACTTGCGCCCAGCATTGTCACTCCCGTAAACGTGTACTTTTCCTCACGTTAACCCCCCAACACTGGTCACTGTTATTTATGTTTGCAATGTAATGGTGCTATGGGCTACTTACAATAATGATTGAGCTTTTATCCACAGCACTTGCTATATTATTTTTTGTATACTTCAGATCTGTTATAAGAAATCTCCATAACGATATGTGTTTTTTTGAAGTCTATACATATTTATTATATTGCATTTGTAACATCCATATTCCTCTTTATTTCTTACTCTAAGACTCTTAAATTAAAATCCATTATTCTTTCTTTATCTCGTATTGACTTTGATCCACATGGGGGCTTAGTCAGGGCCACAACACAGTCTATAGTTGGAACATCTTTACAGTTATCCGGCAAACGTAAAAATAATTAATAAATAGAACTGTTGCTAGATTTTACTGCAAAGTTTAAGTGTTTTACAACCAAACTTCATCTTTTTGTGCTCACTATTTTGGCTAACTTAAATGCAGATATATGCCTCTGAAACCTGCCACCAGAGTCTTGACTTGTTTCATGACATGCCAGACAAGCCTCAAGCTTAAATCACAGGTGCATCTCCAACAAAAATTAACGGCATACACAGTTGAAGAGGGCAAAGTAGCATAAGGGTTGGAAAATGTGGGGAGAAGGGGCACATATACATCCTACATTAGGGGGCCATACTTAAAAGAAGAGCGCCTTGGGGGGCACATATGCAGCCTATATTAGGGGCCATACTTAAGACAAGTGTCTGGGGGGGAGGGGGCACAAATATCTTTCATACATTGGGGGCCATCCTTAAAGGGGAGGGGGGGGTGATTACGAATTATATATAATGTAAGATGAGGATGTCAATTTTTTTTTACAAATTTACAGGAAACCAAACCCAGGATGCTTTTATATTTATCTGCTGTCTAACTGCCATGCTCTTATCACTATACTATTTTGTGTGCTAGGAAAGCCCTGTGAGACATTTTATACTCACACAATTACCAGTTCATTTTACAATTATACTTTTTAAGTTTTTATTCCACTTAAAAATCCAAAAGGCTTGAATAGCTATAATCTGTTGTGGAGAAGTTAAGGATCCACAATACGGTAGTTCCTCTTTTTACAAACTTTTCCTATAGTAATGAACTTTAGTTAGAGATTTTAGAATAGTTCGTGTAGAATTGGTTGAGACTACTTTGCAAATATTGTGGTAAAGTTTTACTTGTGCTGCCTCTTGTGTTAAAATATGTGTATAAATATACCAATTTGTGCTGTAATATTCTTGTAAGTAAGTTGCTGTAATTTGTTAACATATTAATATTTGTAAAATATTAGCTCCACAGCAATCAATTAGACCAATACAGAAGATCAATGAAATTTTTGGAAGGATACTATTTCTGCTGTTGACTACTGGTAGTGATTTTTTACAATAACTATGCACATTAACATTCCCAATTGTTTTTGTTTTTTTCAATCAATTTGGTGACTGATTTTTCTTAAAAGTAAAATGGGGAAACTTCAAGACATCTGGTGATTTTTTGATATTTGTTTCTTTCAAATTGTGTTATAGTCATGTAAATTATGCTTGAAACTGACATGTGAGTTCTTTTCCTCAAAACGTTCACTGAAATAGTACACTTTTTTTTGAAAGAAGAGAACCAAAGAATGTTCCTAAAAGATAATTGGGGGGGGGGGGGAAAAATTTTCCAATCCCCAACTTATCATTTTTTTTTTTTAAACCCAACTTTAAAACCAAAACTGCTTGAAACTGACATGTGAGTTCTTTTCCTCAAAACGTTCACTGAAATAGTACACTTTTTTTTGAAAGAAGAGAACCAAAGAATGTTCCTAAAAGATAATTGGGGGGGGGGGGGAATACATTTCCAATGCCCAACTTATCAGTTTTTCTCTCTAGAACCAACCTTAAAACCAAAACCAATTGTGTGGAACCATTCTTATGATCAGTTGGGCAAAGTTGTGTTGTTTGTTGTTGTTTGAACTATTGTGATTCAAGACGACATCATTGACCATTGGAAGAACAGCCTTATATTCTAGTTGACCCTTTTGTATTGACCCTTTTTGTTTATATAAAGTAAAGAAGACCTCTCTAAGACAAAACATAAGTGCTTTATTTTACACACATTATCTGTGATACACAGATGTTTTTAAGATCATTTTGAGCTCTTTCCCATAAAAAACCTGGAAGCCTTATCAGCTTTTGGCATTTCTTAAAATACCCTGTGACCCTAAAAATATCTTATTGATTTTGGCTTAGGTAAATTCTTTCAAATTGTGTGAAACTTTTGCAAATTTGTGTATTTAATATTATATATAAATTTTGTATTCCTATTTACTTGATTAGTGCCATTATTTATATCCTTGTAATTTAAATCCATCTTATGTTGTAAATGTTGAGAGCTGCATTTTTTCCCCCTCTTAAACTTTTAGCCATGTGCCTAAATCCTGTTGAGTACCTGAAATGCAGATCACATAATGGTTTTTATCCTTGTAATAGTATATTAAACAAGTATGGCCTATATTTCTGATTTCAATTTAACCAAATCTTTCATGATCAAAGGCTTAATAAATTTTAATCTGTATTGTACTCTCCTTTAAAATATATCAGTTATAAGCTCTGTTCCACATTGCTTCATAAATTGACATTTATCCCTGTAGAGTTTAGTAGCTCTTACCTACTGCCTTGGTCTGCATTTTTGTTGTTATTCGTGTAAGTAAACTGTTATTGATGTCTTATATATCAAATAAAAAGATTGAAAAAAAAAATTAATCAGTGTTAAATCTACTTTTTATAAATCACATTTGACACGATCATTGGGCCTGAAATATAAAAATAGTAAAAAAAATTGAACATGTCACAAAAGGAAAAGCTGGACATGGAAACTTGTGACTTATTTAATTGACTTAATTACTGATTACTTGTTTGAAATTTCACTTAAAATACAGCCATTGCGCCCAAGAACAACCTCCACGCACTTTAACAACACTGGACACCACTAACAGCCTGCTGCTACTATAAGTAGGCCTAATCTAGTCTATATCTATAATCTAGGTTTTATTCACTAGCTCCCAATCACAAACGCCTACATCTGCTAAAAATTGTTAGGTCAGTTTAGTTTAGATATAAATATATTGTTAAAAATGTTAAAAATGCTAGCTTAAACTCATTAAAAAGTTGAAATTAGGGGCTTGTAGATCTAAATCTAATAAGAGAAGATAAGATTCTTTTATTGATCCCAACAAATGGAAATGTTTTTTGATTGCATTGTACATTTTCAGCACATAAATAAAATAGTTTGAACACTAGACATCTATATTAAATAATTTCACTAGTGGAAAAAAACAACAAAAAAAACAGCCATACAGTGAATTCTCTTAGCTAAATCAGGGACTTATTAGCTCTCATTAAGATTTGTGACTTTAGGGAGAGAACGCTGGTAAATTCGTACAGATTGGGGAACAAAATAATTTTTATTTCTTTCAGTCCTCGCCCTGACGGAAAGAATTCGTCCCAAAACGGGCCGATCCTAAGTATCCGTGATGAAGAGGGTGGGATATATCATCCAAAACGTGTTAGTTTTAAAATAACATATTTCATATTTCTTCAAATAGTTCAAGTAAAGGATGTTCAGTTTATGTTATGTTCCTAGCTTTCTTGATTAGTCGATTGCAGTGTTGAATATCAGACGATGAATTCCCACACCAGCAGGTAGAAGGCTTCAAATTGTTGCAATGTAGAATAAGTTAACGACTTGTTTATATATCTATAAAAATCTATTTTTAAAAAGTGTGCATCAACATTTATTGATAATAGACCAAGGCTAAAGAATCTAGTGCTGAATCCTATCAAAAGTTAACAGGTTATTTCTCTTTTGGAAATTTAAAAAAAAATATTTTCCCTTTGTACTTTGTATTTACCAGTGCCTCCATAGCTCAGTGGTTAGAGCACTGGTCTTGTAAACCAGGGGTCATGAGTTCAATCCTCATTGGAGGCTAGAACCAAATTTTTTTTAGTTTCTCCCCCCCCCCCCCCTTTCCGCTTTAGTGTTGACCTCATGACTTTCAGTACAGTAAAAACTATAGTCTATCTCTCTCACATTATCTCCACCCGCTCAAAGCATTTCCTAAACCCTTTGTCCCCATCCCCAATAATTTTAAATACCTCCGCACGGGCAGAGTCGTCGTCGCGGGCGCATCAAATACATTATACGGCCCCAAAGTTGTGATGTGGGTAAAAAAAAACACCTTTGAATGTGATGTGGGTAAAAAAAAACACCTTTGAATGCAGTGGGCACAAAACCAAACAGTGTCAGGAGGCCTCTAAAATCCATGCGACGGCTTTGCCTGTGGGGGCGTACGCCGCACATTGGTAAACTCTGGTATACTTTAGAGGCGCCCGCGGCATATAGGTAATGGTAACGCCTGATATTGCTAAATTATAAAATAGTATAAGAGCACACAAAACAAACTCTACATCAATGCAGCTCAATTAACTTATTAATTAAAGATTCATTTTTGTAGCTACTTTTTTTCTTTTTTTAAATTCCGTCCATACCATTGTGACGATTGTCTAAATCTCAAGGGTAAGACGTGCCACTCAGGACAAAATCACAAGGCCTGGGATTTTTCATTTAGAAGGATAAGCTGCTCCACTAGACAGCAAATCTTCTCTCTCCTCGCATCTGATCAATTCAAAAGAATATCACGTGCGGGTGATACAGCTTGACATTTGGAGCGTTGCACGGGTTCAATGGCGTAGGATAGGGGGTGGATGATTCAGCTTGAAACCCCGAGCGTTACATGGGTTCAATGGCGTAGGATAGGGGGTGGATGATTCAGCTTGACACCCCGAGCGTTACATGGGTTCAATGGCGTAGGATAGGGGATGGATGATTCAGCTTGACACCCCGAGCGTTACACGGGTTCAATGGCGTAGGATAGGGGGTGGATGATTCAGCTTGACATTTGGAGCGTTGCACGAGTTCAATGGCGTAGGATAGGGGGTGGATGATACAGCTTGACATTTGGAGCGTTGCACGAGTTCAATGGCGTAGGATAGGGGGTGGATGATTCAGCTTGACATTTGGAGCGTTGCACGAGTTCAATGGCGTAGGATAGGGGGTGGATGATTCAGCTTGACACCCCGAGCGTTACATGGGTTCAATGGCGTAGGATAGGGGATGGATGATTCAGCTTGACACCCGGAGCGTTACATGGGTTCAATGGCGTAGGATAGGGGGTGGATGATGCGAAGAGGGCGGTCCGCCCCAAGGGGCTCCCCCCCCCCTTTATAAGGAGGGGCGGCATTTTCGGAAAACTGCGGATTTTTTTTTTTCGCGGAAGGGGGCTGTAAATTTCTCGGCCCACCCTGGTTGGCACTAGCCCAACTACGCCACATCAGGAGGTGATGATGTCATACCGCCTCAGGGTTTGAATTCAGCGTTTTCCTTCTCTTAGTTCTTAGAATGTCTTATAAGAGTTGCCATCCAAGGGGAACGAATGCCACGCATTCGCGGTGCTGGGGATGTTTGAGTGCTGGCTACGTTTTCCACGAGGAATGTTTAATTATGAACTATGAAACTGTTATAACAACGTAGCAGTTACATTATCTTAAAAGTGTATAACAGTTTCATATTATATCCTAATGGTAATCTGAGTCCTCTAGTTTTTTTAATGGCACTTCTTACTATCCAACTAAGTCTCCCAGCCGAGGGCTGACAAAGGACCTACGACGAAATACAAGGCCTTTTCTTCTCGTAAGTTATGGATCAGTGTCGTAGCAAGGGTTAGTGCCGCCCGGGGCTGGCCAAGATTTGTCCACTCTCATTTTTACAGGTGGCTGAAAAAGTCACCCCTCAATATAAAGGTAAAAAGTGCCCCCCTCCCTTTTATTCCTACCCTACGCCACTGTTGTGGACTGACAGACTGCCATCTCCTTTTATATACAATGTCTGTCTCAGACAATGTGCTCCGAGCCGGGTGGGTGGGGGAGATTTCAGATGTTCGTATGGGCAGTGCCAGCGGCGTATGAAGTGGGGGCGGGGGCAGTCCGCCCCCAGGAGGGGGCCTTTTTCATTATATGGTACAAACGCCATTTTCGGCCTACTACTTGGTTTTTATCGTGTAGGGTGACTGCAAAAATTTTAGTCCACCTAGAGTGGAACCTACCCTAGCTACGCCACTGGGCGACTAGGATCACCTATAGCTCCACCCGCTTCGCCTTAAATAAACAAAATTAATTTTAGTTGAGCGTATGCTTTTTATCCCAGCTAAGTTTTCCCCCTGAATCTATGTAGCCCAACTATAGGTACAAAATAGGAAAGTAATATATTTTTCAATCAAGAAAATCAAAGCAGCTTCATTACTAACATTCAGTGTTGTTGCAGTTGTTGTTTTAAAGTTGCCAACACTGTCATTTTGAGTAGAGTAGTCGGGCATAAAATGAGGGCGCCGATGGCTTACGGACGATAATTGTGAGGGGTTTGAGGAGGGGTTAAACCCTTGCCAAGAAAATCTTATATTAATAAATTTTTTAATCAAGGTATTCAGTTCGGCATATACCTGATGGTTTACTTCTCATCTGACTGAAAGGACTCAGCGTATTGTTGTGAATCAAGCATCTTCCATGGACACTTCACTTACCCGCGGCGTGCCACATGAATCAGTTTTAGGACCTATCCTATTCTCCATGTACACCAGCCAGCTTGGCAGAATTATTTAGTTGTGGTATATCCCGCAAATTATTTGCGGATGACACGGAACTGTACAAGAGTTTCCACCCTGAACCATTCGACTGTGCACGCTGTAGAGGACTGCTGTCTTGTGGTGAAATCATGGATGGCATCCAACAGACTTAAATTAAATGACGATACGACAGTGGGAATATTTTGTGATTCTGATGCCAATATTCGGAAGGTTGCCATTTCATCGATAACAGTTGGTGCTCCTTGTCACGATTAGAGACATAGGCTTCCACACTGACAGCAAACTTACCATGATCCCTCATATCAGTTCTGTGGTCAGGGCTTGTTTCTGTCATTTTCGAGATCTGTGTCATCCGCGTCCTCAACTTAATAAGAAAAAGCCAATGCTGTAGCAGTAACTGTAATTCAATCAAGATAAGATTACTGTAACTTTTGTTTGTGGGATTTACCCCAAAACCAAATTCAGAGACTCCAGACGGTACAAAATACTACAGCACGCATTGTATCGCTTATAAAGAAATCTGACCACATCACCCCAGTTCTTAAAGATCTCCATTGGCTTCCGGTGAGTGAGGGCATTGACTACACAATTCTGTCCCTGGCGTATAGCTGTATATAAGACTCTGCACCTGTATATCTTCAAAAGCTGATTTCTAAAAATGTATCCATACGGAACCTGCGCTCTTCAACACAGTCCTTATTGAGAGTTCCCAGTGTGGGTGGACACAGAAAGAAGTCATACGGGGGTGCTCTCCTTGAAGCTATTGCGTCTAAATTGTGGAACAGTTTGCCTCAATCTTTGAGGGACATTGAAAATGATTAAAATTTATTTAAGATCATTTAAAGATTTTTTTTTCTTTAAATATATTTTAGGACACCGGAGTGCTGCGAGCATGCTAAAATAGCATGGACTCAAGCGCTATAATTAAAAGCACTCTATCATCATCATCTATCAGTATCAGCGTGAAAATTAGGCATTTTGGCACTCGCTGCCATGCATACATAACATAAAATCTCTATGGTTGTGGTGCGCCCAAGGATATTATTTTGGCCCAATCTTAGTTTCAAAATTCCCGATAACTGCGCTAAATGAGATTATTATTATTTTTTTTTTATATTATATCTCGCAAGTGCGTTTGGTGCGTAATATTTTCTGATCTTTCTCTGAAAGAGTTGGGAAATGAATCTGCGGTGTAAAAGCGGGTGGGACTTAAGGATATTTAATATAAAACTAAAATAATACAAAATGCATTTAAAGGGTGTGCACGAATAACTTTGTTTTTAGGGGAGGGATTGTTTCATTTAATTGTGCAGTGACGTCACAATTGTGGGTTTTTTTTTAATCCGAAAAATTTGGCTACTGTCTCTGGCGGTATATAATTGATTTATATTTATATGATTCGTTTTTATGTTGATTTGTTTTGAGAGAAACACACTTATTGGCAAAAGTGGATCTCTTGACGTTTTTAGCATACACAGTAGCGTCACAAGGAGAGCGGGGGAGGGGGGGGCGTGCGCGCTGCATCCGGGACACTCACGCAGGGGCAGACATCTTCGCATGGGTAGACACCCCCATAGGGGGGATACACTCTCACAGGGGGCTGACACCCTCACAAGGGATAGCAATAACACCAAATAAAATTTAGTAAATTTGCCAGAGCTCGTTTAAGTTGATTTCATGACATATCTAAGTTTGATACAATGGGGACAGGGTGCCCACTGTCAACACAGTAGGGTGCCATCCTGACAAGCTGGCATAAGAGCAGGGTGCCCACTGTCACCAGAGTAGGGTGCCTTCATGACAAGCTGGCATAAGGGCAGGGTGCCCACTGTCACCAGAGTAGGGTGCCTTCATGACAAGCTGACATAAGAGTAGGGTGCCCACTGTCACCAGAGTAGGGCGCCATCAGAACAAGCTGACATCAGAGTAGGGTGCCACCTGTCACTAGAACAGCGGGTACCACCAGAGCAGACTGACTCGGAGGATAAAATAGGCGACTATTACAAATGACGCATACAAGACGAGACATGAGCACTAGCTGCCTACCCACTAGTACTAGTAACTACCACAAGTTATTGGATGCCTCTTGCTATTAAAATTGCCAGATGCGGTGTCACTAAAATAAAATCTTTAAAAAAGCCAAAGCACACACACACACAAAAAACACGCTTTTTAACTACAATTTTATGTTTCCTAAGTCATCATTACTCCCAAGATTTCCATTTCTACCCCATTTGGGGCTTATTTACCCCATTTCGCTGACCATTGATGTAAGTCTTTTCACTAGGTTTAAAAACAAATACAAATAATAATAATACCGTTAAAAATATGTGAACAACATCAAATTTATTGAGAGTAGCGATTTTTCATTGGTTTCACCATTTCCCTCATCTAGTTAAAAGGTAGGTCTACATTACCAACCCCAACCCCCACACCAAAAAAAAAACCTCCTGAAATTAACACTGTTAGCAAACAATAATCATAATATAATATATTAGCAACGAGAAGTAGTGGTCCGGTTTATAATATGGAGCTGTCTTTTTTTCGAACAATGATACGGTATTTAGAATTGAATACTGTACAGATTCGCCTTCAATATATCGAATCATCAAATATAATTTGATAATAGCGATATTTGATTGGTTCCACTACTTCACTAAACTTATTATTTATTTAGGCATTTTTATATAGCACTTACCTTAAAGCTCTAAGCGCTTTACAATTATTAAAAACATGTAAACTAACTAAAATAAAAATGAGACATTAGGAACAATTAAAATGGCTATAAAACGAGGACACTTAAAATAGTTATAAAAATGACAATTTAGCATCTGAGAGATGCCTGAACGAAAAGCCGTAGGGGCCTAAATATATATTTAGAAAATATCCTAGGCGGCCACGCATTGATAGTTCTATTTTTGGAGGTGCCTGTACTTTGAGAATGAAATGTTTTAGCAGACCTAGGGCGTAGGGGCCACCCATAACTGACTTCACATATCTAGGGGGAAATTGGGGGGGGGGGTGGGGGGGGGGGGGGGGGTGTCTAAGAATGTGTGACGATGTGTTACTAAGTTGTTTCATTTTAGAGGCAAATGTGTGACGATAAGGGTTGGTAAACACATCGACACAAACAGCGTGACGTCATTTATCGATTTCACCCCCCCCTTTTTTTTCTCCTCCCGGTTGTTCTATGGATCTTTGACAATTATTTGAAATATTTACATAGATTTTGTTGTTGGCGTGTTGAGGTTAACTTTAAAAAAAATGAAACCTTGACCCACAATGAGGCCATTTCAAGATATCCGGAATATATTTTTTGGATGTCATTTCCCTCTTTTACCTATAGTCTATCTTTTTATTCAACCGTTAACCTTTTGAATTTGAAGCGTGCAAGGGTTTCTATAGATAAGGTTGCTGCAGAGTTACCGAAGAACGAAAAGTTATTTTTTCAGAGTACAGATAAGAATGAGCTATTGCCACTACTGGCCAGTTTGAAGTATAACTTCATGGCGTATAATATGATCGCGTGTATTTGTCAAGCATCATGTTCGTCGTAAAATGTTGACCTTACTTCTATTTCTAACAGACACAGAGGTGGAAACTGAAAGGAGTACAGGTAAAGAAAAAAACAGCAAAAAAAAAAAAATGGATGTAAGTTTATTTAATCCTAGCGCGACGTATGGTCAGCTTTTTGTTCAGTATCGTATTAGCGTAATTTAAAGCAATCATTTCACTTGCTGCAATACTAAATTCATGCAACTAAAGCTTCATACGTTGATATCTATTAATAGATTCGAAAAGATGCCGTTAACAGCGAATTATAAATACGTAGTTTAAAAAAAAAAAATTGTTATAATTTATTTTTTATTTTTACATATTGTGGAGAAATGATGCACTTTGTTAGAGTGTGAATGAAAGACATGGACAGACATGATACATTATGAGTCTGAACGAAAGACATGGACAGACATGATACATTATGAGTTTGAACTAAAAACATGGACAGACATGATACATTATGAGTCTGAGCGAAAGACATGGCCAGACATGATACATTATGAGTCTGAACGAAAGACATGGACAGACATGATACATTATGAGTCTGAACAAAAGACAAGGACAGACATGATACATTATGAGTCTGAAGGAAAGACACGGACAGACATGATACATTATGAGTCTGAACGAAAGACATGGCCAGACATGATACATTATGAGTCTGAACGAAAGACATAGACAGACATGGACGGTCATGAAACAATATGAATCTGAACGAAAGATACAGACAGACATGATACATTATGAGTCTGAACGAAAGACATGGACAGGCATGATACACTATGAGTCTGAACGAAAGACACGGACAGACATGATACATTATGAGTCTGAACGAAAGACATGGACAGACATGATACATTTTGTTAATCGAGTAAGAATACCGTGGATCCTTGGGAAAACTATGTCAATTCTAAACATCTAGAACTTGAAGATTTATGTAAAATTTACCTTTTAGGGGGGGGGGGGGGGGGGTGGGACAGGGAGAAAGGTGTTGTGTGAGGGGAGGGGGGGGGGGCACAGAAGGGGCAAAGAGAAAGTTGAAGAGACCGTTCGGGACCAGCCCGTGCCGTTATTTCGACAGGATTACGGAAGTTTGATGTTTGGTTGTTGATTGGAGACAGTCGAATGCATGTAGAAATTCTAATGGGTATTGCTCAAATGTATCTGATTTAATTATTTTGAGCGACATTGGCATAGACTACCTGTTTTTAGACCTAGTCAAAATGTAAAGTTATCTCAACCAGCTAGTTAGGTTCCATATTTGTTAAAAATTCGTAGACCGTATGCTTTGCCAGGACATTTCACTTCATTTATATATGTATATTTATGTATGTATATATGTATGTACGTATATATAAAAATTTATATAAATATATGTATGGCATCTTTCCGTCTGCGGGAGACGATAGATTACCTTTATTGCTTGCAGCTCTTGGTGTGGCTGGTGAGGCTAATCCTCGAATGGCAGTCTCTGTTACATTTCTCACACACGAATGAGGTGGAGCAGTATTTACCGGCCTTCCTCCTCGCTCTTTTTGCAGCTGTTTCCGCCCTGTTTTGCTCCTCGGCATGTAGTGATCCTACCTTCACGATGTCCCGCCATGAGGATCGATCCTCTGCCAGCTCCTCCCATGAGTTTGAGATGTCGATGTTGGCCGACTTCATGTCTCTTTTGCATATGTCTAAGTATCTGAGACGAGGCCGTCCAACTGACCTTTTCCCTGTCGCTGTATAGCATGTCCTTTGGTATGCGACCAGATTGCATTCGCTTGACGTGTCCAAGCCAGCGGAGGCGTCTTTGGATTAACATGGCTGGGACGCTACACATGTTTGTTTGGGACAGGACATCCGTGTTGGGGACTTTGTCTTGCCATTTAATGTCAAGGATGTGGCGCAGGCATCTGAGGTGGAAGCCATTGAGCCTTCTTTCGTGGTTAGAGTATGTGGTCCACGACTCGCATCCATACAGAAGTGTGCTCAGTACGCAGGCCTGGTACACCTGCAGCTTAGTTCTTGTTGTGAGTCTGGCGTTTGACCAGACTCTTTTCCGATATATTGATATATATATGTTACATATTTACTGGTTGGTAATGGTTAAATTAGAAATTATTCTGTTTGTAATTCACTTTGGAGTAGGCCAGAAATTGAAACGAACAGCATAGTGTAACTGTTTCCTATGAAATCAGACGTCTTAAACTTGGCACTTTTACTGAATATTTGTGTGCGATGCCCCGCAGGGACGTGGCGGGGGCGCTGTCAGTGCACACATTTTTCAAGTCCTCAAAAAATTTCATCAGAAAAAAAGCAAATACGTTAATGAAAGTGTTTTTTCCCCGACCACTCCGCCGACCACTCAGCCGACCACTCCACCGACCACTCCGCCGACCACTCCGCCGACCACCCCGCCGACCACTCCACCGACCACTCCGCCGACCACTGGCCTATAGGCCTACCGGTACCAGAGAACGAGAGTTTTAATTCAAGGTGTCCCCAGTTTAATAAGTGTTGCTATGGCGGCCAGCCTACGTTAGTAGGCAGATGGATTTTTCTTGTAAGCTTCTAGAAAACTTAGAAATCAATTTTTTGTGTAGAAAATGACATACGTTTGCAGCCCACAAAACATAAACAATAACAATTGCCTAAATAATAAGAGTCGAGTTATAAAACCCCGTGAATCAAGAAGCAAAAGTATGTCGAATCCACCGACCCTATGCCTTTTTTAATTTTTGAGACAGATATAGGGATCATGGTGAGGGCTGTGTGAAAAAAAAAAAGGGGGGGGGGGGGTCACTCGCCCCGAACGCTAACATCAGGGGGCATTAATATTGAATTGAACGATAATACACCATGCACTCAACTTAGACAAAGGGCGCTATGAGTTTCGGATTCTTTCATCCATCTCTGTGGCGCTACAGCCCATGTAGGGCTTTGGCCTGCCTCACCACTTCCTTCCACTCAGACCTAACTAATGCCTTTCTTTTCCATGCTTGGACTTTCAGCTGTTGTAGATCTTTTTCAACATCATACATCCACCTAAGCCTAGGTCTGCCTTTGAGCCTTTTTCCTCTGGGGTATTGGTGATGCACCCTCTTCGTTCCTCTGTCATTTGGCATTCTCTCTAGGTGTCCTGCCCAGCGTAGCCTGCCTCTTTTTATTTCTGCTACTATCGTGGGACCCTGATATAGACTGTACAATTCATGGTTGGTTCGTATTCTCCATCCATATTCATCCTTTGTTGGTCCATATATTTTCCTGAAAACTTTCCTCTCCCATGTGTTGAATAGGTTTTCTGTCTTTTTTGTTAGGGTCCAAGTTTCACTTGTATATGTTACTACTGGTCTGATTACAGTGTTATAAATAGTTTTCTTTGTTTCTCTTGTAATGTTTTTACTTTTGAGTATTTTCTGACTCCTGAAGTATGCCCTGTTTCCGGCTGATATTCTTTCTTTTATTTCTGTTAGTAATTCGTTTCTTTCATTTAACAAGGATCCTAGGTATTTGAATTGATTTACTTTTTCAAAAGTCTGGTTTCTAATTTTAATTGCTTCATCTGTTTGTTCCTCTCTTATCATGGTCATGTATTTTGTTTTTTGGTTGTTAACTTCCAGCCCTGCTTGTAATGATGCGTCTTCTAATTCAATGAAGGATTTTGATATGTCTTTAACACTTTTCCCTAGCAGTTCTATGTCATCAGCATATGCAACATACTGAAATGGTTGGTTGTAGAGTGTGCCCGTTGGTTGTGGGTCTTGAGTTTCCCTCAGAAAGTATACTGTTATCGTTCCTCGAGTGTCAATGTGTATGTTTCTCATAACTCTCTCTAATGTTAGGTTAAAAAGCATACACGACAGTGAGTCTCCTTATCTTAGGCCTCGTCTAATCTGAAATTCCCTTGAATATTCTCCTTGAATCTTGATTTTTGCTTTTAGAGTTGTTTTGTGTTACATGTATTAGTCTGTAAGTTTGTTGGGTATCCCAAACTCCTGCAGAGTCTCATATCGATATTTTCTTTTGACGCTGTCATAGGCCATTTTATAGTCCACATAGAGTTGATGTACTGGTATATTATATTCATAGCATTTTTCTAATAGACATCTGATGGTGAAAATCTGATCAGTCGTTGATCTGTTAGACCTGAATCCACATTGGTAATCACCTGGTATTTCTTCAGTGTAAGGTTGTAGTCTTTTGGCAATAAGCTTCGTCAGTATTTTGTATGTAACATTTAAAAGGGAGATTCCTCTGTAGTTTCTGCACTGAAGTTTGGAGCCTTTCTTGTGTATTGGGGTTATTAATGCTGTTTCCCATTCTGTTTGGATTTTCTCTTCTTGCCAAATTTTAGTTAAAAGTTTATATATTATATATCTGAGTGTGTAGTTCTTTTCCTCCATATTTAATAAGTTCTGCTGTGATGAGGTCTTGTCCGGGGGGTTTGTGGATTTTCATGTAATTAATTACCTCTTTGGTTTTCTCTAGGGTTGGGCATTGTATAAACGGGTCTGGTCCTCCCTGTGGGAGTTGATAATCTTCTTCTTGTCTATTGTCTGCATTCAGTATGTCCTCAAAATATTCAGCCAAGCTCACCAGTACTTTACTATTTTCCGTGATTAATTCTCCATTGGGGCTCTCACACATTTGCGGTCTGGCTTGGTATCCATTCTTTTCATCTTTTATCTTCATGTAAATTCCTCTTATATTTCCCTCTTTTGATAAATCTTCTATTTCCTTTAGTTTAGCTTTTCCCCATTTTGGATTCTTTACAGGGCTCTAATTCTAGCTTGAAATCGCTCAAGAAATGATTAAAAAGCACATGTTTCTAACAATAATTAATTTGTAACTAAAAAGGGGTTCGTTTTCAAAAAAAGGAATATTAATGCATGTTTGTCTTACTATGTATTGTTGACTTTTGGAAATAAAAGAAAACAACAATTCATAATAAAAAGATCGTTTGACACGTGAATATCTTGGGATAGTCGAGTTACAAAAGCATAGGTTTCCAGCCCCTTCAAATGGTGTCGCAAAGGGTTTCTTTGGGGTCGCCGGCTGACTCAACACGACTAAAAGAAGAAGCGATTTTTAAAGAGTTTCTTTTCAATGGTGTCTTAAATTTTGAGTTACAATTTCAATCATGACATTAAATATATCGCCAATTACATTATGCTAGAACATTACGTTTTAAGATGTTTTCATTTCCAAGAATTAACCCTATACAATTTTTAAAAAATAATAAAATAAAAGCAACAACCCTCCTTAACTAAATATTGTGGTTGGGACAGTTTGCTTCTCTGTGAACGTGGTCGTGACTTGACAACGCTTGGAAATGTAGGCCTACTAGAGCTACTCAGACCTACTAGAGCTACTCAGGCCTACGAGAGCTACTCAGGCCTACGAGAGCGACTCAGGCCTGCTAGAGCTACTGAGGCCTACTAGAGCCACTCAGGCCTACTAGAGCCACTCAGGTCTACTAGAGCCACACAGGCCTAATAGAGCTACCGAGGCCTACTAGAGCCACTCAGACCTACTAGAGCTACTGAGGCCTACTAGAGCCACTCAGGCCTACTAGAGCTACTCAGACCTACTAGAGCTACTCAAGCCTACGAGAGCTACTCAGGCCTACGAGAGCCACTCAGGCCTGCTAGAGCTACTGATGCCTACTAGAGCCACTCAGGTCTACTAGAGCCACTCAGGTCTACTAGAGCCACTCAGGTCTACTTGAGCCACTCAGGCCTACTAGAGCTACTCAGGCCTACTAGAGCCACTCAGGCCTACTAGAGCTACTCAGGCCTACTAGAGCTACTCAGGCCTACTAGAGCCACTCAGGCCTACGAGAGCTACTCAAGCCTACCAGAGCTACTCATCTCAGGCCTGCTAGAGCTACTGAGGCCTACTAGAGCCACTCAGGTCTACTAGAGCCACTGAGGTCTACTAGAGCCACTCAGGTCTACTTGAGCCACTCAGGCCTACTAGAGCTACTGAGGCCTACTAGAGCCACTCAGGCCTACTAGAGCCACTCAGGCCTACTAGAGCTACTGAGGCCTACTAGAGCCACTCAGGCCTACGAGAGCTCCTCAGGCCTACGAGAGCTACTCAGGCCTACGAGAGCTACTCAGGCCTACGAGAGCTACTCAAGCCTACTAGAGCTACTGAGGCCTACTAGAGCTACTCAGGCCTACTAGAGCCACTCAGGCCTACTAGAGCCACTCAGGCCTACTAAAGCTACTCAGGCCTACTAGATCTACTCAGGCCTACGAGAGCCACTCAGGCCTACCAGAGCTACTCAGGCCTACGAGAGCTACTCAGGCCTACTAGAGCTACTCAGGCTCAGTAGACTACTAAGATTAGTATTAACTAGATTTTACAGTTCTAGGCTTATTGTGACAATTTGTGACAGTCTGCCACTTACTGAAATTAATAGAAAAAAAAAAAAGAAGAAGAAAATTACACACTAAAAGTGTAGGCTACTGTTGACTAAAAATCGTTCGGGATCCAATCCAGGATCCATGGAGAGAAACCCTAGCGAGAAGTGACGGCTTGGGAAATATAATAAACAGTTGGAACCTAGATCCCATCTAGGGGCCGAAGCGTTTATCACGCCAGAAAATTTTCTTTAGGCCTATACCATATGACCATAAAATAGGGGCATCTTCCTCCAATTGCAGTAAAAAAGAGGGGGAGGGTGGCAAAATCTGGGCCCTCCCGGGGGGGGGGGAGGGGGGGCGAAACTTATTCTAGCTACGCCCATGCCTTCCAGTTTAAAGGTAACGATGATGGATTTAGTTTAGGGTTAGCTTGTGTTAGCTAGTTCGGCAACTAGATATTAAAGTTTGGGTTGCAGATAAACTTAAAGTCAAAGTAAGTTAAAGAGAGCGCATAGGCATAATACCCGAGAGTAACTTGAAGTTTTGTAAAAATAACAAGTCAAGGCCAATATAATAATATATTTTAACCAGGTGTTACTTAACTTAAATTGACTTGACTTAACTTTTAATCTTTCAGAATTCAGAAGTCAGAAGGAATGATGTCTCGTCTCGTGCTCTGTAAATTATAAAGTTAAGGACTGTAATATGACTTACAGTATACATATAGTATTGAATTAAATATATAAATTAGGACTTAGCTCAATAGAATTTAAATAAATGGCTGATATTATACACTGTCAAAACTAAGACCATCATTGATAATAATTAACATAGAAAATAACAACGTTGCCAAAATGGAACTGGGAATTCCCCTCTGACGTAGTACACAATAACACCTGCGAAACAGCTACCCTGTAAGTACACGGGGTAACATCATCAGGTCGGTACTAAACCATGGCCTAACATCTAGAAATAAACAGACGCGATAACATGTTTAAGTGAAGCCATACACCTACAAATGAGAGGTATGAGATAAAGTATTAATATTACCGTATTATAATTATGTGTTCTTTGAAGTGAGTGATTAATCACAACCGATTCATCGTTCAGTTGAAGTTGTATAGTTTTAAGTTGTATTAATTGTATAGTTGAAATTAAATTTTTAACACACATTTAATAAATAAATACATAATAATATAATTTACGGGTTGGAATGGAGGTCAAGATATAACATGTGACATAGTATATAGCAATTAAGTATTACTGAAGTAGGACAGGTGATTTTAATAGGTAACTTCAGGACATAAATAAGCCTTTTCTTTAATATAAGATTTTTAAGTTAAGATAACTTAGAATTATTAAGATGTGTCAGAGCAATATCATTGACTTTGACATTGTTTGTCATCATCACGGTAGCCCATATGATGGGCCTAAACTTTAACTTTAGTAAATTTACCATATCATTTAGCCTTAGTTGAAAGGTAAATAATATAAATATAAATCAATAAAGTAAAGCAAGATTTCCTGGGTGTGTAAAAAGTAAAAAACTGAGAAAGCAGCCGATGATAGATGCCCCTAGCCCTAGTACGTGATAATCTAGCCAGTAGTCCTGTAGCCTGTAGTTGTAGTCTATTCACTATTCATAATATTAATTCATAATCATCACACAAATAATGTGACTATAAATAATTGTCAAGTAAGAAATTGATTATAAATGTGTTTCCTGCTTATGCTGCCAAAATAATTATGCAGATAGTTAATTAAAATGTGGGGGAAAAAAAATGTTTTTCCCCATTTAAATAAAAATGTACAGTCTTAGTAGCAATAATCTATTCTATAGTAAAAATCACAATTTAAAAATGGACAAGGCAAGGCCTAGTCCTAGTAGTAGTAGCCTACAGACTACAGCTCTCTTGGTCTTAGCTTTAAATTAAAATTAAAGAGCTAGTCCATAAACAATATAATGATAATCAGGCCTATACTTATTCTAACATGTTTCGATTTATTTATTATTTAGGCTTAGGTCTTTAAAGCAAAGCCTACTGTTTCTAACAAATTAGGACTAGCTTACAGATACTGAAACTAATATATTTAATTTATAGTTTTAAAAATTATATTGATTGTCAACATTTAAGATTTTAGCAGGCTGAGTTAAAGGACTAACTATTAAAAAGTATTAAAAAACATGAATTAGATTGTCCATTTAAATTTAATCTTTGCTACTCCATTTAATATGCAAGTTGGTTCCAAATTTTTTTTTTTTTGGTTGCATGTGGGGGGTGGGTTTTGTTTTGGGCGGGGGTTGGTGATGGTTGTAATAAATTGTAAAGACAAAGATATTTGGTTTCACTTAATTAATGTAACTTAATGTACACCAGGGAATCTTAATATTTATTAGTCAGCCATTTTAAGGATCTTAGCTTATTAAATTGTATTATATTGTCACTCTATGAACTCCTAGGAGACAGAGGATCAGTTTTAAGAACTCTCAAAACAAAAGTGGAAGAAGACATTGAGTATGGTGAAACAAATTATTCAAATGCAGCAAGAGAAAAAAACGTTAAAAAAATAATCATAATGGCATATAAATAAAATTAATTAGATCTAAGCATGCTGAAAAAAATTTGCTAAGTATGTTTAAAAGATAAATATATTTTTGATCATTTAAAAAATATTTCAAAAAAAATGTTTCTTTAATTTATTAAATGAAATATTAAAATAAAATCAATTTCATTGAGCTCTTAAAATGTGATATTGTAAAATTATGGCTTTGCACACTTGCATGATGCTGAAAATCTCAGGGAAAGTTAGACTGGCCAGGTAAGATTTAGATTACAAGAGAATTTGGAAAATAATAAAAGAAGTCCAGCATATGCAGCTGGAAAGTTTTAAGTCCATTCTGAGAGTAAAATCTAATTTTTCATTGATGTTTCCATTGTTTTTGTAATTTTTCTTCCTAATTGCAGTGTTTTCGTTAATTTTTGTTTGTTCACCAATATCTAAATAACTTTTTAATTTAATATCCAAATCTCACCAAATTTTTAAAGTTTATACAGTGACCAATAATAAACATTTGTAAAACCTAGAATTAAAATAACTAACTTAGAAAAGAAAATTAATTCATCCCCCTATTTTTTTGCTCACAAAACAATGGGATAAGCTAACTTTTTGTGACCCTGTAGATTTATAATTATAACTAGTTATTACATAAAATAAGGCTTGGTATTCAAAGTTTTATTTTATGTTAAATAGTCTATGTTTTAAATCTTATGGAAAATTTTTAAAAGCCTTAGCGTTTACAAAAAAATAAAATAAAAATATAAATGGTAGAGGCTTTTATGGGTTACTAAGACAAAAAATGGATTTTATGTTTTAAAACCTGTTTTGTACCCCCATTACAATATCAAAGAAGGTGTGAGTAAAAAATTCCCTTTTAGAAGCCAAACGAAAATTTTAGATTTTTAAACCCACACACCCCCCCTTAAATTATGCATACTATGTAAAAGCTGAAGAATATGGGATTATAAGCATGAGCTATGCTGTTATTCTGAAGGCAACATATTTCTCACACTGTCATCAAATAGGCTACTTAATTCAAGTAGTGCTTATACAAAACAAAATTGACCAGGTGTAGCTTGAATATTGCCCAAATAATTGAATAAGTTTTAAATATGCTCAATATTTTTCCCATATATTAGGACTCAACGCCTGAACCTATATAAAATAATGAAACAAGCATACTATTTCTTCTACAGTAAATATGTCAAAAATCAGCTGGCTGACATCACACTGTCTTTTACTTATAAGCTTGGCAAGTATACAGATGTTTTAAAATACAATGGGAACAGAGGTGTTTCACAAACTTATCCTGTGGCTTCTTGAAACTTTGTACTTGACGCAGAAATGTTATTTCAAAACATTCAGTCCTTACCAAATTTTAAAATATAAAATTTTTATTCAAGACATCAACATTTTCTCTCATTAAAAATGTATGATTTAGAACAAAATAGAATAAGTAGCCTAAATTATGAGCTTTCAATTTAGTTTATTGTTTCATTTTTTCCCTTTAATATTTTATTATGGTATTTAAAAATCATAATATATATTAGTCTATTTTTTTTAAAGTTCATTACTTAAATTAGTGTTTGTAGTTAAATACATATTTAAGGTAAACAGTCAGTTAAAAATAACTATATTTTTTCTAGTTTGTTCATTCATTCTGCAAAAATGGATTGTGCAAAAAAATTTATAATTTATTACGTTGCAAATTATCTTTATGCCTTTATGGCAACATTTTTCTACTCACTTGGGATTGGGTAAACATGTTTTGGGTTTCTTACTTGCAAATTGAACATAAATGAATGAAATTTAGTTTAATTTTTTTGTCTTCTTTTTTTTTTCTCTTTAGCTTTTATCGTTAAAAGCATCAGATGTAACTGAGAGAAGCTTACTACTGTCTGGATTTGTTGTGAATGTCTCCAAAGGTTACAATGAAAATATAAGAACTTTGATAGTCAGCTGCAAAGATCATTATTATAAAAACAGAGATGGTAAATGTGAACCTTGTCGATTGTGTGTGCCACCTGAGGCGACACTGCTGTATTGTTCCTCCAATAGAGATACAATTTGTAGACAATTAAAATTAAAATGGACAAAATCAGGTACCTAACATTTATATAACTCACCTTTAGATAATTTTGCAGTATTTCTATAGTTTTATTACTTTATGATCGAATTTGATTATCATTTAGTTATAAATATAATCTCCTTACATGTTGGCCATATATTTGTATTATTAATCATTATTGCGAAATATTGGGTGAAATTTTTTTTCAAGTAATGCCTTACATTTTCAAACACATAACACTAACAGTTTATTAATTTGTTGAGTATGAGATTGATAGTTTCAGTTTTGATGAAAAGGAATCATAATGATTATTAAAAGTATTATTGCAGCCGTTCAATGCATTTAGCTCTCAATCTGAGTAAATAGAAAGCTGATTTTTCTCTATGTTTCAGAAAATTTTCTGGGGATATTAAATAAAATTCAAGTTGAAAAATTTCCCAACTGGAAGCCTGACACAACACAAATAAAAAGTCCACAGATCTACTTCAAGATGTTGGTAGGTGAACGTTTAAGTAGAAGTGGTGAAATTTATTTTGTATAATCTGACTGATACGAAAAATTCATTACACCATTTCAGATATTTATATTATTAAATTTTCTCAGTCAACAATTTATTAGTTTAAGCAAATTTACAAATACAGCCAGTGCTCGACCTTCGGCCACGATCAGTTCTGACAGACCGGTCGTAACACGATTTGATCATAAGTTGTGTACGCTATATGTACAGTTATGTGAAGTGATGTTATAAAAATATTTAAGTTAAATTATTTAATAAATTTCTTTTATTTTTGTTATAAATCATAATTTTCTATGGTAGATGGAAGCTCAAATTTTCAAACTCTGAAGAGCTCTCCAATCAACATGCTTTAGTTGTGCTTAAGGAAGTCAACTGACCTAGAGTTATTGAGTGTGACCGTGTTATTTCTTAGAAATTGATGACGCCGGCTAGCAGCATAGCATCATGCCTCCCTTTCCTTAGTTAATGACCACCGATGATTGCAGACAATACCATTGAACTGATAATTGAGGCAGAAATAAATTTACTGAATTTATATTGTTTACTTCAATATATTCTACATTTTTACTAAAAGAAATTTGTTTCTTCATTTATGTTATTATTAAAACCCTATTAATATAAAATACATTGAGCTTTCCAGAAGAAAATTAATATTTCTTTTGTAATGTGGACTTTTCAGGCTAAAAAAAGAAGGAAACGTCAAAATAATGGACACAACGATCATTTTAATGTGAGGCGTAAGAATGAAACCAAAAGTTTTGAATCAACAACAGTTACAGCAACTAGGTACAGAGCTAACTTTGAAAAGTAAATAATTATTTAAACTATTTCATTTGACTATTTCATGAGCTAAAAGAAATTATATTAACAATTTCATTATATTGTCTTGACATAATTTATTATTATTTATTTTTTGGCACTGTATTTATCTCTCAATGAATACAAATATCTTTCAAGGGTATTAGTATTTGAGGATACTTAACCTTGCCAGAGTTATGAATAGAAAAGTATCGTGACTATCTTTCAGTAAAATTTTGTGCTCTCTGAAAGTAATTAGGGCTGTAAGCCTAAAAAAGCGTTAGTAATTTATAAATTTTAAAAATGTAAATACTTAAACTTTAAATTTAAAATATTTAGTATATATGGTATAAAAATGTACTTTTTAACAATGATAAACTATTTTTATTTGGGTTTTAACATTAGCTTCTGCTTATAAATCTAACACTTAGTCATCACTGTAGGCATTAACATGCAATTGTAAACTGTAAGTGTTAACATGCAATTGTAAAAAATAATCCTTTAAAGAAAAATTAATAATTCTAATAATCTAGTCCTTAAAAGCTCTAATTGTGTCATGCTCAGAATTTTAAAAAATGTAGAAATAAAATGATTTGGGCTTTTAAATACAGTGAATTTTTTTTTTTGATGATGAATATACTAAAACCCCAACTTTTTCAATTACAATGCTCAATAATTTAAAGACTTTCTTTAAATCTAGAGATTTTATAATGTTGACATTTTGGCAGGCATTTTAATAAAACGTTTTAAAATCTATGTTCAACTGACTTACTGTAAGGACATTAAGAATCTATCATTTATAAGATATTCCGGGTATGATAGATTTGCACCTTTAAAAATAGACACAGCAAAAATGAGATTTAAAACTAAAGTATACTTCCTTTTGTTTCTAAAAGATGCTTTCGCTTAAGTATCTGTATTGACTTTGTGATGAATAGGATTAAAAAATATAAATTTTAGAAGGAAAAGTTGCAAGAAATCTAACTTTTCAGTGCAGATTCATAATGTTGTAAAAAATTAGAGCTGCGACAAAATGTCATGCTAGACTTGTAGTTTCCAATCTTATATTTTTGGCACCACCCTTATTTCTTAAAATAACATATTAACACTTATTGGAATAAATAAAAATAAAAGATCCCTTCCTTTAAAGTCAACGTTTATGTACTTGTGGGTCACAACCCTCTTGAGGGTCACCTGAAAATATGCCAGAGGTCGCTTGAGAATTTCAGAAATTTGATTTAAAAAATTTTAATATATTTATTACATTTTTTGTTGTTGCTTTGTTGTGAAATGATTATGCCCTTATTATTGACATAAATTTACATTATAATTATTAAGAAACCTTTAAATTATAAAATATTTACAAGTCAATTACTTCAGTCAATAACCACTCTCAATTTCTTTGAATAACCCTGGCTGTAGGTGGACACAACTTGGAAAATGTTATCATGCGGTCAGGGCACTAAAAATATTGATAACCACTGCATTAAACTAGTACACTGACCCAAGGGCTCTTCCACCATTTAGTTTCTTTGAAAATTCCAATGTAGACTAAGGGGGCTTAGAACTTGAATTTGAAAAAAAACTATCTTTGGTATATTTTAAAATACCTTGTATTCATATTACATTGGACACAGCAAATCAAATTTTTTTTTCAGCAGAGAAAAAAAACCGTAAGTAACTAGAGTCAATACAAATTCGGATTAATACATTTTTCATGTGATTACTAATGCTAGCTTGAAAATTTTTGTATTTGTTTGCCTACCAATTCTAGCATAATATTTTATATAAAAATTTTAACATTGTGTAAAAAATAAGCATATGTCCATGACACCTACTTAGAGGATTCTAAACAGTGTTTCTTTTTTTAATATTAACATTTGTGTTTCAAAGTCATCACTAAAAAATGAAAATCGTATTCTAATTATATATATTTAAATTAATTTTTGGCTAAAATAGAATATGTAATTATTTTAAAATAATGATCTTGGAAAGCTAATGTTCCTTATAAATGGCAGTAATTTAAAATACATACATATTATACTCTTAGCAGTATTTGAATTTTAAAAAAAATTAAGCTTTCTTACATTGGCTGGAGATATATTTTCAAAAATTATTTAAAACTATGTTATGCAAAAAATTCAGTAAACATTTTTGGCCACATTTTCCCCCCTCATACCCTTTGAAAAAAATATATTGTGACATAATTTTTACTTTCACTAAAAGATCATTTTGTGTTTTTTGGTTTTAAAATAGTTTCAGATTCATATTTTTTCACTGATGAATTAAAAACTGTTATGTAAATGATTGCAGCCCCATTCTTACTTTGTTTAGAATGTATAAAACTAAAGCATGTAACATGATCATAAAGTTGCATTAAGCAGTTAAGGAAGCGTTTTGCCCACTTTGTTTTGTTTAAATGTTTTTTCTGATTTATTGGAACAACTCCTGTAATCTTTTTTGTTACTTGTTTGAGCTAGCTTCCGTTACATTCCATAATACATATTAATGCTGGCTATAAACTCATTTTACATTAAGTATAATTTAATTATTAAAATGTAGCGAAGTATTTGGTGTGCACCTGAAAAGAAACAACTCTATTTTTCTAATAACTTTTTATTGGTGCTTTGCTCAGTATACTGGAAATATGCTTTTGTAAACAGCGTATAGGAACTTTATAAAACAAAATGGAAATCTTAGAGTTAGTAGGCATGTTATCTTTCCTCAGTTGTGCACAAAATAAATTTATTGTATTTGCAATATCTAATAGACTCAAAACTGTTTAATTTTTGTTTAACTTTAGTTTTGTGCATTAAAAAAAATGTAACCCCTTTCCTCTTTAATGGCTTCAGATCTAATTTTTAAAAGTCCCTGAATGGACCCATAAAAGACCCCCTCAGTTGAAGAAAATCAGTAAAAAGAAAATAAAAAAAAATAAAAAATAACAAAGCCATTTAATTTTGTGTATGTGTATTAATTGGTTTAAAATTTAAACATTTTGACCTATTATATCTCATTCTTAAATTAAATAAATGTTTGTTTTACTTTATTTTACAATTGATAGAAATATACATATTTAATATACATGTTTATTTCAGTGGTATTGAATTACCTGATACTGGCAAAGAGTCTACAGGTAATTATGTCATTTTCACAAGTTATTGAAAGGATCAAAGAAAAAATATTTATTTTAATGATTTTGATTATTTCAAATTTTAAAAAATTTTCTAATTTTCCATAAGTCTCAATTCCAATATGTTATCTGTATTTAAAAAAAAAAAATTCCTATTTTTATTGTACATATATACTATTTTTTTTACAGAGGAGAGCATTTCATATTGACACTTAAGGCTAAAAGAATGACTTCTATGTTTTTCATTTACAGATTCTGTATCACCATTATTCCATGCTTTTTTTTTTTTAAAAAAAGGTGGCTGGTAGAATGCAGTTATTATTTAAATAAGTCATTTAGAATAACTTAGATCAGAGGTGGCCCAAACCTGACTTACCACCGCTTGTACCCAATCTAGCTAAGAACAGTTGTCACATTTTTAATTCTTTTTTAAAATTAAAATTTTGTGCTGTATTGGAGCTGTGTGTGGCACTCCTATAGCTTTTTATACACATACTCCACACAGTTATTATTTGTCAGTGCTTCCACTTATTTTATTTTCCGATGTGTAGACCCTCCCCACCAGAAGTCAACTGTATCATTTAACCTCGTATCATCATAAACCTACAAATGAAACACCCCCACCAAATTTTTGGCAAGCACTAAGTTGTACTGAAGTCTAACCAGTGAATAAGCTTCAAAAGAAGTATTATTAAATGACACCTAGCAAGGTTAGAAATGCCTGCACATGGTACCAAAAGCACTTATCCCAGCACACCCTTAAACTTTTCATATAATTTTATCGTGTCAAATCTTAAGGTCAATTTGACTACCCTGGTAATTAGAGTTTTTTTGTTTCAGAAGCTATTAACAAAATTGAGTGGAATAATTTATAGCTTAAATAACTTATATGTTGTTTTAGAAAATGGAATAATTTAAAATGTATTTAGCTAAATATTTTTGTAACATTGACAGGTACATCATCATGGGTTTATATTACCATTGGTGTTGGACTGGTTGTTATGCTAGTGGTCATCTTTATGGCCACAATGTTGTATCGTAGACGAAAGAGGTCACAAAGAAATTCTGATAGAGCTGAAACAGTTTCTCCCCCCGAATCTTACATTGCTTGTCCCACGTAAGCTGAAATTTAAATTATCTCATGTGGAAATGATGTATTTTATTTTTGGTCATCTTCTGATGGCTTTTACTTGTCAACTAATATATATAGCACAAACTAAGAGAGCCAGACCATAGAATTTTTTATTTAAAAAAATTAGACCATCCTAATATATGTATTTATATTTATATGTGTACCAAATGATAACATATGTGAATAATAGGTTGAAGAATGTCTTTCCACTCATAGGGACTTTGTTTATCAAAAAAAACAAAAAAACTTTGGTCAGGGAATTGTATTGCCAGAAAATATTAAGCATAAAATAATTATTTTTTAATCCCAACTTAACAGGAACTGTCATATTTAAAAACCAGAAAGATTAAGATTTTATTGATATTAATCACATTTTATTAACTTTTTTCCCAATTGATTGCTTTTTATTTAGCAGAGATTGTTTTCTAGGTTTTGTGATACTTTTTCATCATAATTCCTTGTGCACTACAAGGATTATATTTCAAACTCAACACTTTAGAATTTAATGTTTATTTCTTTGATTAAATTAGTGGTGTAGCCATGGGTACCAAAATGGACCCTACTTCGGTTTGCCCTTTTATGCGTCACTTTGAATACATGGCAGAATGAATATACAGGCAGTATCATAGAATTTTACAAATGATACATTTGATGATAACATTGGCATCACTATCTTGGAAATAAGTGAATTCCAACAATTTATTGATTTTATTAACTCTATTCTCCATCTATTAAATTTACTTCCTAAATCTCTGGGGAATTTGTAAACTTTCTGGAAATTACCCTTGTCTTAAAAGAAAACGAATTATTCACCTCTGCCTTCTACAAACCTTTGCCAGTCTAATGAAGAATTTTCAGATAGGGCTAATTAAAGGGTTGAATTCTTCCACTCTAGATCTCATCCTAAAAATAACCTTGTTTTGGAACTCAATCGTGTTAGCACAATCACATGTAATGAGGCATTTAAATCTTAAGTAAAATTAGGATTGAACCAAACTCATCCTTACCTACCACCTTCACAGAACTCATCGTTTCCTACCACCCTCACAGAACTCATCCTTACATGCCACCTTCACAGAACTCATCCTTACATGCCACCTTCACAGAACTCATCCTTACATGCCACCTTCACAGAACTCATCCTTACCACCATTACAATGTGGTGACCAATGTTCCCTCAAGCTGCGCTGCAATCTCACAGACGCCGCGCAGCAGTTTTGAGTACCGCGCAGCAGTTTTGAGTACCGCGCAGCTAATTTCCACTTAAGTGTCTGTAGGCTGAAAATTTTGCGCACAAAAAATTGATGCTGTAAAAATTTGCACACAACTTTATGATTTTGCACACGAACCAACAAACCTTAGAGGGAACACTGGTGGTGACCAAAAAAAATATTCTTAAAGATATTGTCATATACTTCTTGTTTACCTTGAGACTAACAGGATATTCTCATCCCTTTCACAAATAGTCTTCAGACGTGATAAGAATCTATGTGATAAATTTGGTCCACAGTCACCTTTTGAGCCGACCAATTTTACATTGAGACTAAAGCATGTTCAAAAAGCCATTGTAGGACTTGCCCCTATGTACTGGAAACCAAACGCATTGGCTTTTACCATCAAACTGGGCTTCACATGTATTAGTCGAAATGGGATCTGTGTGGTTGTTTGCAGAAGATGCTGTGCCTGATATATATATGAAACAAGAAGAAGGCTATCTGATAGGTTCAGTTAACAACTCCGTGATATTGAACAAAACAGGCCATTCCTGGTCTCATCCCATCTCAATGGAACACAAGGGCAAATCAGATGTATCTATCACCGCACTGATGTTTTACAAGAATACACCAGCGAGAGTGCAGAATGAAAATAAATTAATTGAGATTTTTGACACCGTATCATCATATTGAACCAATCAAATACTCTCTTGCTAGTAGTCCTCAATTTCCCTACATTTCTACTCTCATTTTTTGTGTGTTTAAGTTACATTATTAATACTTAAATTCTTTTATCCCTTGTAATCATCTTGGCAGTACAGACCACAGAATTATGTAGTATGCACGTTGAACAACTTAACTCCCATCTCTAGCATAGCTTTCGAGTAGCTACATTTACTTCATTGAGATTTTCTAAAACATAAGTTTTGTATTTTTAATTTCTAATTATCTGTTGTTTCTTGTTATGTCTGCAGAAGAAGGCATCTTGCCCCAACTTCCTTTTAATTGTCCTGTCTTTTCTTTTCAAGCCTAAATGTATCTTATTCCACTATTTCCTTATTAAATGCAACTTTATTGTTTACTACTGTGTTGAGGTTTTTAAAATAAATATAATTTTCTACATAAATTACTTTAAAATCTCACTTTTAGGACAGTACAAACTGCAAATGAAAGAATATCGGAATGTAACATGCATAACACATATGAGGAAAATCGACGGGGACGTTCGTTCAAAGATTATCATGATTCTGGAGATGTATATGAATTGAAGAGTCTGACCAGTGACAGACCAAGGGTAGAAAGGTCTAGGAACATTGGCAGTATGGATGCTAATGCTTATACTTATGGTTAGAAAAACATTATTCCTTTATTTAAAAGTTATTTAAATATATGTTTTACCCCTGTAATTATGTTGCATATACAAAATGGCACAAAAATGTGAATCTGAATGGTATGAAAAAATAATAAACTCTTAATTGCCTACTTTTATTAGTATAGAAGCTGAAGTTATTTTATTTTATATCCCATGATACCATTGTGAAATGAAAAACAATTACTTTTTTTTTTTAGTCCCTGAAATTATTACTTTGTAAAAAAATTAATGGCTCATTAACCATGACTGAAAGAAACATTTTCTGAAAATGTTTTACCATGTATTATGTTCTCACATAGTATTTATAAATTGCTTTACACTTTATTAGTTAACAGTGTATGTTAGATATACTTAGGACTACTTTCTTAAATGTTTACCTCATGAGTCTAAACATATAGTTTTTATATTACATTTTTTTTTCCCTTGTGAATATGAGTGTAAAATCCTTTCTCACTGAGATCTGTAGAAGGAAATGAGAAAACTATGATATTTTTCAAACGCTAAGATTGAACAAAACAGGCCATTCCTGGTCTGATTGGGATTGAAAAAAATTGCGTACAAATCATGACCCAAGGGGTGGATTAAAAGGTTGTCCATTTTTTGTTTTTTTTTGTTGTTGTTTTCTAATTTGGGTGGACCTTTTTTTTTTAAAACTGTAATTTAAGTTCTCTTAGGCTTCATGATAATCATACATATCAGTAAGTAATCTTGGATTTAATTTTCTATATGACATCTCAGACTCATGGAACAGATCGATTTCGAAAAGCCGGGACAGTTCTGCAGAAATGGAAAAAAGTTTCAGACCAGATTTGAAGCAGTTCCAAGCACTCCCACGTGTTAAGATGATAAACAGTGCTAGCAGTACCCATTCTTCAGATACAACCTCATCCTTCCTCCTATCTTGTGTTGGGCACTCAGAGCCAGCAGAGCCTATTCGGAAGGGCCACATTTTTCGTCCTTGCAGTGATGACAAACTTAGAGGTGGAAATGTTGAATTTGATAGACGGTAAGTGATTTTTAAAAAAAAATGTATTATTGACCAAATAATGACATTTTTATAATGGAAAGTTGACAAAATAGTTTCAATGTTTTATTTGAATATCAGGCATTATTTCAGTTTTATAAATGTTTTTCAAGATTCAATGATGATTTTTTTTATTGTTTCCATAACTTTTTTTGAGCTAATCTGCCTTTCAGAGTATTAACTTGTTAATGACTGCCATGATTAAAATTTAAAAATTAAGTGTTTCACTTATAATTTAAGAATAGTTTTAGAAATATAAATTGTGAACTGGGACACATTTTAACTGCATGGAAAGTGATATGACTTATTAACCCTTTTGATACCAAGGCCCTTCACTCCAGAAATCCTAGTCATTATAATTATTGTTGGCTTTGGAATATTGTTGGTTATTATTAACTTTTAGGGGTCATAATTTAAGATGAACTGTAAATTAGACTTTTTTTTTATAGGTAGCCTAGTCATAACTGATTTAAAAAAAAAAAAACCCACATCATTCTGAACATTTAATTAGGTTGTAGAATATGCAAGGTCATCAAGGGTAGATGGAACAGGCTGACTTTATGAATGTATAATGCAGAAAGATAGGGACAAACTATTATTTTTGTTTACAGCTAAAATTAGTACAAAAATTATTTGTATGTAAATAAAACTTGTTTGCTTGAATAACTGTTACAGGAATGATAAGAGCACGGTATGTGACAGCTGAAATAATGATTCAAGATAATCAAAAGAACGTTTAGGCTGAAAGCCTTCAGTAAACACGAGAATTAAAATCAAAGTATAAGAAAAACAGAACTTAGCTTGCTACTGTAGCAAGGCTTGACAGGAAGTCGTTTAATCCAACATGAAAACGTTACAATCCTAGGCTGTATTACATACTTTATTCATACTGTATGCTCACTCACATGCGTGAAAGCAGTCTCTACTATATTATCCTTTACCTCTTACTGGGAGGTCTGCAAGTAATATAATTTAAAACATTTCCAAAAGTTCACAGAACAGGGTTAAGCTATGATGCAGCTAGTAATATGAAAAACAAATAAAAGATTTCAATACATTTTTTAACAGTAACTTAATAGTGGATCAAATGTTTATAAATAACATTGTTGTAAACTCAAAAAATGAAGTTCAGCTCATTTTTCACTGCAGCATCCAGTGAGCTAATGCATTTTCAGCTACCAATTTTACATGATGAAAAAATCATGTTTAATGAATGCATCAATTAAACTACATTAAGCAGATATCATCAGGTAATACAATGTCTAAGAAAATGTCCTCACTTTTATTTTTGGCAGCCTATTTGTAATTCTAGATATTGCTATTGTAATTGATTTTTACATTTATTAAGAAGATTTATTATATCCACAACAGCTATGAAGATGTCTTTGTCAACAATGACCTGAGATCAAAAAGTTGCAAGCCAACACTCCCACCCAGAGAGCGTTCCACTGAACAAATGACAGATAGAAATTTCCAGAGACATCCAAGGGGTGTTCATATTGGTGTTTCTAAAGCTAAAGGCTCTCAAGAATGTAATAGAAATGTACAAAAAGTTAGCTCCCATCATTCAGCACGAAGCTACATAAGGTGAATGTTTGATAATTCTTTTCACTTTTGCCTTGCAGAAATAAATCAATAAATAAAATTAGCGTGAGAAAAACTCTGATATATGCCTAGATCATAAATTAATTTATGTGATAAGTCTTACCACATAAATGTAACTAACATCAATTATATATGCTTTTAAAAGAATTGAATATTTAAAAAAATTAAATTTGTAAAAAAATTATTATCAGTAAGAAAGACAAATGTGCAGTATTATTTTCCCTCTTCATAGTATTCCTCCAACGATTCCGTCAGAAAACTATGTTGAAGCTGGTACTGACAATCTGTCCATACACTCAGAACTCAGCACCCCACCAGGGAAAATGGAGTGGTTGACAAAGAGCTTAAAGTTTTTTCCCAAAAATGAACTTGGGAGCTACCAATCCAGCCTTGGTACACAGACAGACAGCGATGTGGCAGAACCAAAATGTAAAACTGGTGCGTCTCTCACAACATCATTGATCAGTGTTGAATATTTCTGATTAATGGCCAGAGTTGCTGAATCTCTGAATGTTTCCCTTTCAGTTATTCTCTGGATTCAATGCCATGTCAGCGGGACTCACAATTTATGTTTAACAGTATTCATTTTGACTGAATCATCAATGCGTTTTTCAAATATTAATTTGATAATTATAAAATAGAGCTTAACAAAATCTTAAGTGATCACCTGCCTCATTAGTATTGGCGAGGCAGACAGAAATGTGAAAGAATTAAAATTTTAAAACATTTGATTGGTCATCATGGTATGATTGATCTATTAGTGCTGTCATTCACAAAAATACAGTAGAGTGGTGTAATTTATTTCATCAGCTAGATTCAGAGCAATAAAAGTTTTTGAAAGTATGAATTTATAAAAAGAAAATCTCAATGATAGATTTTTTTTTCTATACCAGTTAGTAAATAAACTACTAGATTTGAAATTTGAAAAAAAATTCATACCATTCAATCCTTGAAAATTCATTCACTACCTTTCTACCACAAATAATAATTATAATCTAGGTATAATCTATGGCAGTAACGCTATTTTCAAAAGGCACGCCAAATAAAATCACCAAAAGTAATTTCCCATTGGGATTTTTATAAAGTGCAATACTTGAATGCATGTTTTGTCAAGTAACTTTACTAGATTGGAGTTTCCCACATTGCAGTGGCCATTGTTTGGCAGGTTATTTCTAGTAAATAAGAAAAGAAAGAAGAGATTTGCACAGTGCTTAAGTTTCAGATCAAGATTTTAGAATTTCTTCCATACTCATTTCTAAAAGTGTGAAAAATTCAGTAACAAGGGCTCCAGTGGGTTTGTTATTATTTTAAAAAAAATTTCTTTCAGCGGTGTTTAACTTAATTATTCAATGAAATTGCTATGCACCCAGGGCCGGCTCAAGGCGGGTATGATGCGTGGTCTTCACACAGGCGCCAAGCTTGGCACCCAAACCATTAAAATAAAAATAAAAAATTTTCTGAGCTCTTCCCATAATTTTCCAGAGGACAACAGTTGTCTATGTTTACCCAACCTAAAAATGTCTAGCCCTGGCCCTGTATGCAGCTATTTAAAGAATAAATATTACAATAATTCCTCTGTGTTGTCTGTCAAAGATTTGTATTCTCTAAGGTCAATTACACAATTTTAATAAAATATCTTAATTCATTTTATGTGTATTCCAACAATTATTTTGTTATGAACTTTGTGTTTCCCAGTATTTGGAACACAGTGGCAATTTGGTGGCTCCTTCAGCAGCAGCGGTGGCATCATGCAAGCTAAGAATTCTGATGTAGCACTTTATGTGCCTAGTAATGCTATACCAAGAGGAGAATTTGTTGATATTTTTGGAGCCGTGTTTATTGAAACACAGGAGATTAGGAAAAAGGTAAGGGATGAATCCTAGATTTGTCATTTATCTGATAAATAAAATTGATGCCCAAAACCTCCCAATTAAAAAGGAAAGTTAACAGAGAAACACAAATTATGGCAGAAAATTCTAAAAAAAAAGTAGCCTCATGAACAATGGATAATATAGGGACTCTGGTTATGAAAACTTCAACTATTAAATGAATAAATGAAAATTAATTTAGGTAACACTTTGAAATGAAGAAACTTAATTAACATTCAGAAACCAGAAATTTATTTAGCCATATATATTATTACTAATATAACGATTTTTAAAAATGTTTTTTTTTTTTTTAAAGTTTAAAAAATCAGTAATATTTTTCCCTGGTTGGATACTTTGAAAATTTACTTAGAACTTTGGCAAAAAGGTTATAGTATTTTTCTGATTAGATGATAAATATAAAATAATTGTTAGGCCTGAGTATGAGTAAGCACCTTGGAAGGCCAGTTTGATCTATGAGCATTTAAACAACACTTATAAAATAAAAAGGGTTAAATATATTGTAATGGATCCGACTAAAGATTGCCTTTGAATTGTGGGTAAATTAGACATTGTCGACCAACTGAGAAAAACTCATTTTTATAATTGCAGCTTGAACAACTTTGAACTATTTAAGAATTTTGTGATTTGTTTCTTGTTTTTAATTAAATAAACAGATGTTGAAACATTTATTACAAAATTTCTTAATTTCTAAATTTATGTCTTATTTTATTTTCTAGTTAGAAATAGGGAAATCATTAAAATTTTCTCTCGTTCTAAAAAAAAAAAATACTGTGTGTCTGGTTTGAATTTGGCAAAATTTTGGAGTAAATATGAAATTTAAAAAAAAAATTGTTTTATTCCTAACCAGAAATTTTGTTAATGTAGTAATGGTTCATTATCCTATTGTTGATGTTCAGTTTGAGTTCCCAGCTGGTGAAAGTCTGATCACCCCATTAGTGGAGTACCATGCTGAACCCTCTGCTAATTTCCAGCGACCTCTCTGTATCCAGCTGCCCCATTCACTGCCTGATGACTTTGAAACCAGTCACATTAAGGTAAGACACTTAAGTTTCAACAACTTTCTCACACTCACTGTGATGATTAGGAACTTGATGACTTGAAATAGTCTGAAAGCAGGTTGTCGTTACTGTGTTCGTTTCTTGTTTTATTTACCAAAGTGTGCTTTAGATCAATAAAATTATAACCAAGAAAGCTTGACTTGGTAAATTTCACAAATCTGCTGTTTCTCATTTTAATTATTATCCCAGGCTAGGTATAAACATTTGTCCTAATGGGTAAAATGCAACACCAGTGGTTAAAAAAAAAAAAATCAAGCTTAAAAAAAAAATACAATCACGCTTAAACTTGTGTGTAGTTTTTAAACTGAAATCAAAATCTACAGGTGTTTGTAAGCGAAAAGGTTACCAAAATTTACCTCCTGTGAATTTTGTTTGTCCACAATCAAATGCTAGAAATGTTTTCAATTCATACAGGTATATACTTTCACAACTGATGACAGAGGTAGGGTTTTATCTCTCAGATGTGTTCCCTTTAAAAACAAAGTGAATGATGACAAAAATCCAGACGGCTATTGGGAAAAAAGTTCAGACGCACGTACCTTAGATATCACAACTAAACATTTTAGGTATTTATTATTGTTTTTGTTATTTGCAAACCATCCAGTAACAGAATATTAATATTTTAAAAGAAAAATTTTAATATAATGAATTCTTAATGCTCAACAATTTTTGGAAAGCACTGAATTTATATTTATGGTTTCTTATAGTGCTGACTTGTCTTTAGACCATTTAAATTGGACAACATTTTGAAGTACTAACCACTTATAGAAAAGGGTTGCAATCCTCACCAAAAATGCAATGAAAATACCTCAGGATTTCATTAACTTAAATCCAGGAATTTTAGATTTAAAAGGAGGCCAGATGATTAAATTTAGAAAAAATATTGGTTTTCAGTTACTTATAAAATGTTTATATTAATAAAAGCTCATTATGTTCATACTTAGCATTAGGAAACTGTCCATCCTATGCATAGTATTTTGGTCTAAAAGATTTAATTTATATTACTTAAACTAAATTGTGAATGGCAACAAATATATACAAAGTTCAAATTGTTGACAAAAATAAATAACTAAATAACTATTGTTTCATAAAATTAAATTTAAAAATAAATACCATATTTCTCATTAGTAATTGTAGAAATTTAAAAAAAAATTGTTTTATTGATCTATGCACTAAAAGAATTTCTGTACCAAATTAAATCTGTACCAACTTATTTGATTATTTTAAAAACAACTTTAAATTGTGAGGGGGGATTTTTAATGTATTTAAACATTCTATTTTTTTTTATTAATCAAATATAGATACTCATAATTGTTTGATATGTATCACATTAACTGAATAAAGCAAATTCAAACTATTCAACCAAGGATAATCAAAACTGAATGCTATAACTTCGACATTGGCACATTCTTCTAAGCTTAATAATCAAATGATTCTTTCCTATTGAGTAATTTAGAGTATGCAGACAGTTCAAGGAGCAATGTACCATATTTTATATTGTTTTGTTAATCTTTTTGAAGTTTGATGATGAAACTGCTTTTTCCACAGTGGCTATTTTTGTTCACTCTGTGAAACATCAAGTCTGCCTTCCATTTGTACAATGGTTTTTGGGTCTCATGTCCAGATGAATCCTACTCGAAGAGAAGTCAGGGTTATGCTCTACATATGGGACAGACGGCTGACCATAAGAGACTATTTAGAGGTAATAATTTAAAATCTGTGAACTGTACCAAGTTAAGTTGCCCAGAGCTCCATCATCTAAGGAGTGACGCCATTAGTTTTCAAATGGAATTGTCTATTCATGCAAACAATTGTCTTTGAATATGATCTTTCAGTATACTGTGCAAATAGGATGAGTTGCTTGGTGTCTTATGACATGTAAGCCCTTGTGAGAACAAAATTTTATGGCTGAACTGTTTATATAGAAGTAGAAAGTACATTTTCTACACTCTCACAAATTAGCTTATTCAATTCACCTGTCTTCTTTATAGAATTATCTTTTTTTAAATATCTTTTACGATATTCTTGAGAAAAATTGCAGTCAGTTAATAATTTATTTATTAATTTAACAAGAAATGAAAAACAAGAACCAGCAAGATTTAATTTTCCCCTCCACCATAATAAACAACTCTAATACTATGTTAATTGCTGGATAAAGTTAATACTAATGCAACACTTTTGGTTGAAAACTAAATGATCTTTACATAAGGACATATGATGGATAAAGTTAATACTAATGCAACACTTTTAGTTGAAAACTAAATGATCTTTACATAAGGACATATGATGGATAAAGTTAATACTAATGCAACACTTTTAGTTGAAAACTAAATGATCTTTACATAAGGACATATGATGGATAAAGTTAATACTAATGCAACACTTTTAGTTGAAAACTAAATGATCTTTACATAAGGACATATGATGGATAAAGTTAATACTAATGCAACACTTTTAGTTGAAAACTAAATGATCTTTACATAAGGACATATGATGGATAAAATCATTTACCCTATTTTAAGGGATTGAACGCAGTGTTGTTGTTTTTTTTGTAATTCAGAGATTTCGTAAGTTAGAATCTGATGTGGACAGGCAGCTGTTGACCGACATGCAAGTACCATTACTGGACTCTGCTTCCTCTGAAAGTCGACTGGTCATGAAAATGGAACCTATGGGGGAAGACAAGGAGCGCACCAGCTGGAGGCATATCTGTAGACCAAACAGCAAGTGGCCATTGTTTAAACCACTGCAGGTATACAATTAGCCATTTTTGGACTATTTTTACAGAAACATTCTCACTAGAAACATTTTCATAAAAGCCCTTTAAATGACATCGGCAATTAATTTATTAAAACCTAATGATTTTAACCAAGTCTTCAGCAGTATCTGCTGATACCTTTTCACACATTTATAAAATATTTGAGATAAATAAGCACTCTTTTTTTTTTCTTGTTTATGTATTGAGATCACCTTGAAAATATTTATGTTCATTAACAAAAATTTTAAGATACCTTATATTGAAAAATATTTGCAAAGATTTTCTGTTGATTATCCCTGAATTTCGGTAAAATAAATGAAACAATTCCTAAAGATTTATCCCAAAATTTTTTTAATGTGGCAAGTTGTCGGCTATTTCATATGGGTATAGCTTAAAAGAACTTAAGTAAATCAAGTCCTGTCTAAATTTTACTAAATGGTTTATTATGTCAGGTTCGGAAACTGAGTGAAATCGTCCACTGCTGCCGGCAAACTGACCCTATTCGCGTAGAGTGGGCCCTGGAAAATGTGCCAAATCAAATGCCAAGTTCAGTTTTCCAATGTTGTATTGATATCATGCATGCACACGAGTCCACGCAAGACTACGAGACAGCTATGAGAGAAGACAGCGATGACCTCATAAGGACATTTTACATCAGAGATCTCAAAGTCACAGGCGTTGAGGTTTTTTGTTTTTTTTAAATAGTTATTTAAAAGTACATTTTATGTTATCATTTTGCTTCAAATTTTTGGTTGGTTTTGCCTGAAACCAAGGGCCACTTAAGTCCAAGGACCACTTAAGTCCAAGGGCCACTTATGTCCAAGGGCCACTTATGTCCAAGGGCCACTTAAGTCCAAGGGCCACTTAAGTCCAAGGGCCACTTAAGTCCAAGGGCCACTTAAGTCCAAGGGCCACTTAAGTCCAAGGGCCACTTCAGTCCAAGGGCCACTTAAGTCCAATGGCCACTTAAGTGGTTCCCGGTGAATTCAGGTTCCCGGTGTTATGTCCAAGGGCCACTTATGTCCAAGGGCCACTTAAGTCCAAGGGCCACTTATGTCCAAGGGCCACTTATGTCCAAGGGCCACTTATGTCCAAGGGCCACTTAAGTCCAAGGGCCACTTAAGTCCAAGGGCCACTTAAGTCTAAGGGCCACTTAAGTCCAAGGGCCACTTAAGTCCAAGGGCCACTTAAGTCCAAGGGCCACTTAAGTCCAAGGGCGACTTATGTCCAAGGGCCACTTAAGTCCAAGGGCCACTTAAGGCCAAGGGCCACTTAAGTCCAAGGGGCACTTAATTGTGGTGTTTCTGCTGCTATTTTCCCAACTACATAGTTATTTAAGTTATGCATTTAATGTAGATATTTAATGCTGGAAGAGTTAGATGTAGATTTCAACTAATTTATCACATCTATCTGAACTGCTTGAAATTTAAATCATTTCATTTGCTTGTTCCACCATTTTACTTGGCCTTTCAGTCAGACTTGCTCTATACATTTATTACTTTTTGTATTTCTATCTGATATGCACTAATATTATCAGCTAAAGTCATGACAAGTTATAATAACTTGAGCTGATATTATTAGTGCATATCAGATAGGGATTAACTACTAACTATTTCAAACATGGCCGTATACCAACACAAATTCCAAGTCTTCACATATCAATTCTTTATTAACATAAACACTACACAGAGTAATAACAATCATTATTGGAATGATGCTTGAATACAGTTAATGATACTTCCATTTCTCTTTAGAAAATGACATGTGATGTCACACATACGTTTTATCTTTCTGCACTCATGAGACAAAACCTTCATAACTGCTTTTTCATCCATTTCAATATGGTGGCTCAAATAGTTCCTTACTCTATAATTAAATGTATGTATCACTACACTGACATGAAATAGTGCTTTCTACCCAGCAGTAAGGGAACATCAAATATCACAGACCTGTTTACTCTTACAATTTTGGCGTGTAATGTACGATTTTGAGGTGTATACATAATATATACTGTATATTTATTTTTTACCATTAAGTTGATGATATTGTACGATTTTTAGAGTTTGGGGGTAAACAGGTCTGATATCACTATGTTACCATATCTTCTGCAGGAGCCACCAAAAAGCCAAGAGTTTCACCGTGTTGACATTAAAAGAACCTTGTCAGAGGTGATGGACACTGAGGAAACAGAAAGACTCTGCCAGGAATTCGGTATCACAACCAGAGATATTGGAAATTTTAGAAAAAAGTAAGTTTTTTTGCCTAAGTTTGCTTTATGTGCTTGTTTACCGACTTACACGCCTTTTACCCTACCTGCGGCATAGGAAGTCTTCAGGTGCCAAGTGCGATCTCATTTCTATGGTTTCCAGTTGGTTCCAGGAGTATCCCATCCTTAGGTGTCAGCCTAAAAGCTAATCTCTCCATGCATTCTTTGGCCTTCACTTCATGAGATTAGGAAAGAGGCTTAAAAATAATCATGCAGATTCTCAGATGAGCTTTTGAAAATGTGTTTTCTATGCGTGTAAAAACAGTTTTAATGAATCCTCTTATTACAAAGAATCCCTATCTTAGCTACCATAATCCTAAATGTTATTTATTTTGAGATTTTTCTTCACAATCAATTTAAAAAGAAAATTCATATTTTTAAGATTTTTCATATTTTCTTTTTATTATGTGCAACTTAATTTTTATTGGGTTTATTTTATTGATAAGATTGCACACTGTTTTTTTTTTGTCTGTGCAAAAAAGGTTCATTGAAATATATTCCCTCAAATTCAAAAGATTGTTATGTGACATCATCTAATAAATAAATACTATCTTTTCTAGGTGTTGCGTTTTAGGAGCCATTCAAATAAATTACTCTCTTGTAAACATGGGATTTTAATGTTGATATCAAAAGACACTTTAATCCAGGGATGGCCAACCCAAAACACCTTGCACACTATTTTGATAGTGACTAAACCATTCGCTGGCCACATGTCATAACACCTTTTATAAAAATACTAAAAGAGACACACACTAAATGGTTTATAGAATTGTTAATCTCTTCTAGACTAGCACTAAACTAATGTGACATCATTTTATCTTCTCCCTCGTTCTTTAAAAATATATATTTTTTGTCTCTTGAATGTATAAGTTTATTCGTGATAAATCAAGCATCTGTGGGCCACAATATTTGACGTGGCGGGCCGCTTGTGGCCCATGGGCCATGGGTTTGCCACCCCTGCGTTCATCAATAAAATGTATCAAATATTCGGCTCTAAACAGTCCCCCATTGTTTTAGTTCAATGTGGAATCCAAAAAATACAGATTGCTTTTTTTAAAACCCTATAATTGTTTCTGGGAGTTTCTATTTGGTAAGTAAAAAAACAAAAGGCATTGCAGGTTTCATGTGGGACACAATGGCAGAAAAAGATACAAGAATTTAAAGTATAATTTACAATTGCTTTTGAAAAAGAAGTTTTGCAGACCTGAAAAAGAAATTTTGCAGACCTATGAACTTATTTTGTTTGTCTACTTTTAAAAAAACCAAACAATTAAATGCGATCATTTTTAATTTTTTCTTGTAATATAAAAAAAAAATATTCTAAATTTTACAAATCTGGTTTTGTCTTTTGAAAAATAAGGTTTTCTGCCAGTGACATACTACAAATAAATCTAGTAGAAGAATGTGCACGGAGACAGGGCCAGGAGAATTTTATGCAAAAATTGCCCATGGTTCTGGAAAAACTTCGGATGACACGGGTGCTCCACGAGCTAGAGGATAGAAAAGTCAAACTTGAAGGAATTTTTCCACCGCAACCCAAGCGCCCATCTCATGCAGCTACTACTACACAGGATACAACTAAAGTTAAACAATGTACTGAAGTTGTACAAATGGGGAGCATGACTGAGGCCAAGTCTCTATATAATGTGTCAGAATGCAGTGGGCACCCTTCTGATCCATCTTCAAAAAATGTAAACAAACCAACTGCATGTAGAAGAGAGCAGAGAACAAAATCCTGTCAAGAGTGCCCTGACCTTAGAGTTAATTTGAATCAACATGAACTCTCCAAAGTGTCAACTATCTCATGTGATGGAGGTACAAAATGTCAATGCGCAGAGAAAACACGTACCTCCAGTAGTGGCTCGGACTCTGTTTTGAAGGATAGCTCTGTCCAATCAGAGCTCCAGTCATATCCAACGCCGACCTCTAGCTTGTTAGCTGAAAGGGGCACTGATCAGAGCTGCTTAGATAGTGGAAGATCTGCCAGCTACACACAAACAATGCCAGTCAATAAAGATCTCCTTCCTGGCTATCCTAAATCACTAGTTGCCGCCGAGTTGCAGGACGACCTTCAGATATCTGATAGTGGTCCTCATGCCATTCCACATCCTGAAAATGGAATGACACACTCACATGGTGATAGACCTCACTCTTCTTCTTCAAATCGAACTGTATCAGCCCCGAAGAAGTCAAGTAGTAAACCACGATTACCTGATTTGGAACAAACACAGAAAAAAGAACTGTATGCAGTACAGACCATAGTTTGACCAAAACTCATCAATGCAAACATTCCACTTAACACATAATTTTATCATTTTGTTTACATTTTTAGTCAAGATCATTTTGTCTTCCTATTTTTTTTAATAAATGGTAATGAATCAGTCATTGCTTAATCTATTAAACCTGTTGCAGACGGAATATCCAAACAAACTGTAAATTCAAATTACTGTTATTTTTTTATATGTTTTGACCAGTAAGTCCCTCATCATTATGTTGTGATTTGATTATGAGCCTTATTATTTTAAAATATAAATTTTACCATTGTTACATATTTGTTTTAAAGAAATGGAGTTGCTTACATCTATTTAAATCTGCCTTTAAAAACATAAATAAATGAAGCATTGTGAGAGTGCTCAGATCTCATTGTGCACTTACAAAATATATATGTAAATAGGATTCTTTGTCATTAAATTACAAACATGTTTTAAAAATAATCTTCTTGGCAATGAAGTTATTGCCACCTCAGCTATTGTTAGAACTGTTTCATAATGTCTCAACTGTGTTGTGATGCTCTCATTAGAATATTAGTTTTAGGTCACAGAATGTATGGAAGAAATGGTCACTGGCCCAATTTAAAATTCAATTTTTTAAATTCTCCAATACAATAAAGTATTGATGTTTTTTCATTAAGCCCCTATAAACACTGCATTTGAAGCAAAAAAAGTTTTAAATTAAATTTTGATCCATACACCCGATAATAATTTATATTTTTTACCTATTGTTTTATAATTCTATAAAGAATAAAAAATCCTTTGCATTCTATTTCAAATTAAAAAATTGTTATTAAGATTGAAATGTATCTACAGTTTTACAGTTTGGGTATAGTTCAAATAATTGTTTGTAGTAATGTTAATACTAGTACTCCACACTCCCTTCTAATTTTTTCATACAAATAAATTGATGTGTTTTGTTTCAATGATTATTTTATTAATTTTTTTACAATGAAATTTATATTTTTATATATACATAAATGTTAGAAAATGTGACTACATCTAAGGTTGTATAATGCATTTGACTGTGTTCATAAAACTATATTTACTTGGTTTTTGTCAAATTTTAGCAGCAGAAATAAGTTATGTTAGTCTATATGTAGAATGAACTTTACGAACAAATGTCATTGTGCTTTTATTATTTTTTTGCTTGTTAAAAAAATTGAAATTTTAACAAATTTGTAATGTTCTAAAAAATTAATCTTTTTATATTTTAAGGTCATTTATTGTACAGCAGTAGTAAAAAAAAAATATCTATATTAAAAATATATCATGTGTTAGTGTTGTTAGTCTATTATTAAAATGAATTTCCTTTTGCTTTTTCTTCCGTCACATACTATTTAAAAAAAATATTTTCATTTGGACCATTAAATTGTAAATAAACTTGATACAGTTTTACTCCCTACTAAGTCCTTTTCCCCCCCAGCATTTCTCTCTTCCTTCACAGAAATTGTGCCCATTTTGTCATCCTTTTTGGTGCATTTTCATGAGAAGAGTTAATGACACATCAAAAATAGTACAGAAATGGACACAAGGAGTGAACCACTAATCACAATAAAAATGTGTATCACGAAATCTATAATGATTTTAAAATTTAACTGATTTTGACACAGTCATCGAGACTGCATCATAAAAATTTAAAATTTGTAAATTCATTTTCTTCCCCGGCTAAATTGTTCCCCCAATTTCTGTTATGTCCCTTGGATGTAGCACTCACAGAACCAAACATTGAAAAAGGCAAATCTACTTTTATATTTATGAAACTTGAGGTTAACAATATTGAGCTTTTCAAAAGACCAACATTTTCATTGTTTATTACAATATTGAGCTTTTCAAAAGACCAAAATTTTCATTGTTTATTCATAGAATGCAACATGATTTATAGCAAAATGAATCAATCTCCAAGAATAAATTTCAGGTTTACTTGATACTGATACTGGCATGCTGAAATTTCATAATTTGTCATTATGGATGATTCTGGACTTCCTAACAATGCATACATTTAAATTATATTAATGTACAGTCAGGGTATGTGAGACAGTGTCAGAGTGTGTGAGACAGTGTCAGTGTGTTGGAGGCAGTGTAAGGGTGTGAGAGACAGTGTAAGGGTGTGGAAGAGTGTCAGGGTGTGAGACAGTGTAAGGGTGTGGAAGAGTGTTAGGGTGTGTGAGACAGTGTCAGGGTGTGGGAGACAGTTTAAGGGTGTGTGAGGCAGTGTAAGGGTGTGTGAGGCAGTGTAAGGGTGTGTGAGACAGTGTCAGTGTGTGGGAGGCAGTGTAAGGGTTTGTGAGGCAGTGTTAGGGTGTGGAAGAGTGTCAAGGGTGTGTGAGGCAGTGTAAGGGTGTGAAAGTGTCAGGGTGTGTGAGACAGTGTCAATGTGTGGGAGGCAGTGTAAGAGTGTGTGAGACAGTGTAAGGGTGTGAAAGAGTGTCAGGATGTGTGAGACAGTGTAAGTGTGTGAAAGAGTGTCAGGGTTTGTGAGACAGTGTCAGTGTGTTGGAGGCAGTGTCAGGGTGTGGACGAGTGTCAGGGTGTGAGACAGTGTAAGGGTGTGGAAGAGTGTCAGGGTGTGTGAGAAAGTGTAAGGGTGTGGAAGAGTGTCAGGGTGTGAGACAGTGTAAGGGTGTGGAAGAGTGTCAGGGTGTGTGAGACAGTGTCAGTGTGTGTGAGACAGTGTCGGTGTGTGGAAGAGTGTCAGGGTGTATGAGACAGTGTAAGGGTGTGAATGAGTGTCAGGGTGTGGGAGACAGTGTCAGGGTGTGGGAGACAGTGTCAGGGTGTGTGAGACAGTGTCAGGGTGTGGGAGACAGTGTAAGGGTGTGTGAGGCAGTGTAAGGGTGAGGAAGAGTGTCAGGGTGTGTGAGACAGTGTCAGGGTGTGGGATGCAGTGTAAGGGTGTGTGAGGCAGTGTCAGTGTGTGTGACAGTGTCAGTGTATGTGAGGCAGTGTAAGGGTGTGTGGGACAGTGTCATTGTATGGGAGGCAGTGTAAGGGTGTGGAAGGCAGTCTTAGAGGGTGTGAGAAGACCCAGAAAAATCAAGTTTATTTGCACTTTTGTATTAGCCTTTGATACCGAGTGGGGAATGGGGTGCGAGAAATACGTTTTGAAGTCGTGATGGAGTCACAAAGAGGTTAACAACACCCTCAGTAAGTGCAAAGAGAAATCGAGAATTGCAAAAAAATATGTTTTTTTTTTGTGAGTGTGTGCTAAAAAGTTAATCATCTTTTTAAGAATCTTTATAGTATAGCGTACTATGACATAGAAAAATACTTTATTTTTGGGAAGGAAGGAGTATCGGAGGTGGTTTCACTTTCATACGACAATGAAGTGAAAAAGATTAAAATGTATGGTCAGAAATTCGGTCTTTGCCAGAACATCGGGAAATTTTATTTCACCTTTGGTAATTCAGTGCGTCAAAAATCCTCAGATAACTCAACATTTCAGCATTTGCATCCCCCCACCCCGAGGGAGTATTGATGCATTCTAGGCCTACAAGAAAATAGTTCTGTTTCTGCCCTGTTGGCGGGGACTTCATTTGTCCCAGAATTTAGCAAGGCAAATGACATACATAACATATGGCTTCTTTGCATACCATCAAAAAATAATTCTTTATGTTTGAAAACAAAAGAACAGGTTGGCACAAACGAAGATGCCGTCTAACTGTTTCAAGCCATGGAGAGTTCTTCATGCAAATGAAGGTGTCTAGACAAATAAACCATCTCTTTCTTTTTCCTGTATCGTTTTAACAAAGTAACACAATGACTTAAAAATCACACAGGGCCCAGAAAAGAGGAAAATAGTTGTGTAACATGATGTTGGAGGAATACTGTGTCTCATCACCTTCTCCCTTACAATCACTTTTCTCTTTACCTTAAAACCAGTGATAACAATGAATTGGGATCAATGTTGGAAACAAAGCATTATTAATAAAAGCAGATGAAATGGTTGTACCGGTACTTAGGCTGTAGCACTCTAGGAATTTTAGATTGAGTAGCATCTTTCTCTTCTTAAATATAGCAAAAGTTCTTAGTTTGTCTTGGGCTAAAGCTAGAGATTTAAAATTTGTGTCTTGCAAAATTCATTTTTTTTTATAGTCGCCGGAGCGCTTCAGGCTTTACCCAGATGTATTTATTTTGTATTATATTTGAACATGCGTGTTTTATTCACTGATGCCAGTAAGTCCAATGTATCTTTCAATTGCCCTATCACGGACATCTTATTTACAGACTATTTACATGCAGGTTGCATCACTCTTCTACTGGTCAGCTTTGTTAAAATTCAAATGTATTTGCCTTGAACCTTGGATGTTTGTTTTGTGTGTGTGTGTCATTCTTACTTTTTTATATTTCTCTGACTCTGCCTCTCTTATTTTCTGCTCGAAATCTTCCTTTCTGATTGAAAACTCCCTCTGCTCAAAATCTTCCTCTCTGGTTGAAAACTCCCTTTCTTATTGAAATTTTCCTTTCAGATTGAAGTCTTCCTCTCTGCTTGAAATCTTCATTTCTGCTTAAAATCTTTCTTTCCGCTTGAAATGGTCCACTGCGTTTGTTCCACTTTCCCCATTATTTCTTCCATCTTTCATGCAGCTGCTACAAACCATAATATTTTTTCTTTTTTTTAAAACTTTTGAAAAACTGTGTTGTTTATTTCATCTTCTTTATCTCTCGATGTAAGTATTTTATTCGCAATCATTCTAATCTTCTTTACAAATTTCTCTCTCTTTCTACACTCAGTTCCTGGGCAATGCTGTATGATTAGAGTACCCTCTATATTTATTAGTATTAACTACTTAGAGCAGGGGTCGGCAACCTTTTGTTAATATTTTGCCAAATAAGGATTTCTTATTTATTCAGTGTGCCAAGAGCCTCTAACGTAAAAGGCTATTATGCTTTTTTTTTTTTTTTAGTCTTTTTGTATTTTTTTTTTTTTTTTTTTTTTTTTTTTTTTTTTTTTTTTTTGTTTTTTTTTTTTTTTTTTTTTTTTTTTTTTTTTTTTTTTTGTGTGGGGGGGGGGGGGTGTTCTCCTGCTCGTGACTTTGAAAATCACTCTGCATGCCAACTCTGGCTCAGGTGCCTTAGGTTGCCAACCCCTGGAATTAAAAAAAAATGTTAAGTTATATAAAAAAAACAACAACAACAAAACTCTCAAAGATGTTTGTATTAGTATGTATTTCTTGTTCTCCAGAATGTAGACATCAATATTGCATCAGTGCATGTGTACATGTTACACTTGTTCAAACAATTTAGTTGTTCATCAGCACATTCTTAGCTTGGGACCAATCGTCTCATTAGTCAACCGATGTAACCCGACGATACCCTAGGTTGGCTTGGCTAGGGCTGTGCATTTTAGCTGAGCTGGCTTTGCCCTCGTGTTATAAATCTTGTCATGAAAGGGATTGACGTAGGTTTCTTTAAAATTTCCAGGAAGTAGGTCAACATTCAATTTACTCTCTCCTTACATAATTGACAAAGCGATATCATGTTTAAAAAGGAAATAAACCAATGAGCGGTTACAAACAATGTCTCATCATAAAAAAAACGGGTTCATTGTTTGAGTCTTGCTATGACCAAGTCGTGTGTTCACTATGAAGTGTTAAGATAAAACATCGTTCAAGAGCGTTTTGCCACGTCATCAGTCAGGCAAGCCGTTTCGGATTTCACCTAAAAAGATAAATTTCGCCCTTAGCTTTGAAAAACGGGACTTTTAATTATAGGCCTAATAATCATTATAATACTGTTTAATATGGGGATTTAAAAAAATGCCACAGTAAACGTTACTCGACGTAGAAGAAAAAATTATTGATTTTAGAAAAAATGAAGCAAATTTTTTTATATTTTAAATTTAAAAAAAATAATATATTTTTTTAATTTGAAAACTAAACAAAAACAGTTCATGGTTATTATTATTATTTTTATTTTTTTGTCCCAGCTATGAAGTTGACACTTTCTTGTTTTGTATTAAAAAAATTGAACATCTGGATTTATATGGATTAGAAATTGAAATTAAGTATTGTTGATTTGAATCTTTTCCCTTTAAAATCCACAAAAAAATACTTGGAAAAAAAACAAAAACAAGTGCTGTAGACATAATTTGTTCGGAAAGTTCAAAGATGTTGACTTAGTTTTTTTTTCTAGAAGAATTTAATTCTTGACTATTGACTAGCAAATCTCTAACAGCCTGATATGGACTTTTCCAGGCATAAATAAACTAATTGTGTGCGTAAAAACTTATGCACGTCGTAAAAGAATAACAAAATCTGACAGAGCTAAACTTAACTAAAGGCCGTGGAAATCCCTCTAGCAATTTCCGGGCATAAATCCAACCTTAGTTAGCCTCCTGGAAAGGGGGGGGGGGGGGAGGGGCTGGTTTGCTGATTGCAGACAAAAGCAAATACAAATTAATGGCCGTGGCTATCAAACTTCACAAAACAGTTTTTTTCTGTAATTCTATTGGCCAGCGTTTTCCAAATTTTTTTTTTTTTTCGTGACCCGGTTATTTTAATACTTGTCCTTTATGACCAACTAACTTTTTATCACCTATTCTGGCCTATCTATAGTTGACATATAACAAATATGAATTTCCATGCGGTTTCATGTATTATACTAAAGAATTAAGTCATAAAAAAATGTAAATAAATCAAATTACCAATAGTTTATTAATGAGTAGGTCACGATAATGTAACCTAGATTTTTTATTTTATTATTATTATTTTTTTGGTCTTTTGGTGACCTGTTAATTTTACTTTCGTGGCCCGTTACCGGGTCGCGACTCGGCATTTAAGGAACGCAGCTATAGGCTATAAATAAATGTTGGTTACAAACACGCTCTTTTGTACTGGTCACCTAAAGTAAGGATACACCGACATCTGATGTAATGATGTTAAATAAATACATTTGGTGAAATAATTTTACACAAAAAAAAACAAAACAATTTGACAAAATTTAAAAAAAAATATATATATAAAAATTATGGGGGAAAAATGGGAGCCCGCTCCCAGAGACCTAAGCATAGGCATAAGAACTATTTAAAAACAAAAATGGATGATTGTTAAAATTGTATAAATTTTTTTTTTAAAAATTAAATATGAGGTCATAAAACAGATAAACAAACTTGAAATAAATGGTCTACCAATCTTACGACAACATTGGCTGTCTTCAAAGCTCCGTAAAATGATTGTATATTGGAGAATAGGACGTTTGCAAACTGGGATGTGTTTTCAATTAATTTGTGTTTAAACAAGTGTTCTTCACTTTCTGATAATATAAACACTGCCACTGGACATACCATAGTGAGACCAAAAGAAAAAACAACAACAAAGGGGTGGGGGCTTGGGGCTTGAATAAGCATATTGTAAAAAATATGACTCTTAAAAGTTGTGCAAATTGTCAGTGGTCAACTATACAGTCATTTGTGGATCGTACAAATAGGGCCGAAATAATTAAATGATTGATAACTTCAAAAGTAATTTTTGACTATAATGATTTTGACTAAATCAATCTTTAAGAAGTATATTTTGAGAATAGTTTTGTGATATCTTGTTATTTTGAGTTAAGAGGAACAATATAAAAAAAAACAGCTAATTTTGAGATGGTCAGTCTTCACGTGTTGATAGAAATAATTTTTGTTTTTTTGTTTTTGTTTCGGTAAAAGACAAGTAGAAACCATACAGTTTGAATTAATTTGAAATATCTTGTCATTCAGTGCAGATCTGTCAAACAAATGGGGAACTTTTATGATGAATTTCAATATATTTCTTAAAATGGGAAGTTGTGGGGGGGGGGGGTGGACTCCACCATGAGCGTGTTTAGGATAAAGAAAAAAGGACCCCCCCCCCCCCCCCCACAAAAAAAAAAAAAGACCCCCCCCCCCACCCATAAAAAACAACAAAAAAGTGAGGGTTGAAGATCTTATACAAATTTTCTCTACTGATTTGACACGATTTCTCTTGGTCGGATGTTGATAGAATAATACAAAATACGTTTAAGATGCGCGGTTGATTAATTCTGGTGTCATTCGTTAGTAAATCTAAATAACAAGGAAGGCCCCGCATTAGCCTAGGGAATTAGAGATGCCAAAATCATGATCGCCTCAGAACAATGAGGCCTAAATCAACACAATCGCCCCAGAACAATTAGGCCTAACTCAAGTCAAAGCAATGTGCAGAGGTCATCTGAAAAACGTTAAAACTAAGAAAAAAATATTAAAAAATGACACTGACAAAAGCATGTTCAGACTGCTGATGCCAGCAGTCAAGCAGGACTCGACGTGGTACGGAAGAGTTATCATGGCAGTGAATGATTTTGTCGAACAGACCGCCCTTTGTCATTGGACGATACCGTCCGACATGAAAATAGTCCTTCAAGTGTGGTGGTGGGAAAAGACTTTTATATTCCTAACACGTATACTAGAATTTATTAAAATGTATTTAAAAAAATAAACATTTTAAAAAGAACTGCAAAAGGGGCCTACACATTTCCTTATTTTCGAATGATCTCTTCGCGGGATCTTTACGCATGCCTTGGCTCTTGCAGTTTTCGAAGCAGTCGTAGTCCTAGGAGGTTCAGTAAATTGAAAGGCAAGCAGTCACTCTCTGTAAATTTTTAGCTTGTTTCTAGGTTCCACTCATTATAACCGCCACACAGACTAAAAGAAAAAAACAACAAATCTCACATAATCCCTAGCTGCTAATACTCAGATCGCCTCATACAAAAGTTGGACACAGCGACGGGATGGGAAGATCGTGCAAAAACAGTATTGCACATGTCATAGCACAAGCGCAAGAATACATAACGACCTCACACACATAATTTAGGTTATTATTTACATGAAATGGCACGGGTACTACGTAGTATGCTAGTGATCTAGAAATGTAGCATGGATATGAAAATAACTGTTGGGGGGGGGGGGGTTGGAAAAAGGGGGGCGGGGTCAAAGGTCGTTAGATATGGACATCGTTATTGTGTTAAATAATTTATTTCATTTTCCTCGCACGGGTCACTTTCTGTCCAGGTCACTCACTCACATGCTTCCTCACTAAATGGAAGGTGTTGGGGGAAACAAAAATAGGTTGCGGATTCAAAAGTATTGAAGAAAGGAGTAAGCATTTCAATCAGAATATCTCATCTGCTGGGATGTTATTCAGCATGCACACACAATTCTGCCTGGACAAATGGATTGGTTACATTAAAGTAGTCAACTATTGTTTTCTGCAGCCGGCATCTCCCGGCTGTGTCGGTCGTTGTTTTATGGATCTGTTGATATCTATATATATATTGGTGTCAACACTGAATTGAAATGTCTTTTAACGTCAAAGTTCGAGAAGTTATTTTTAAAAAAGGCTAACATCTTTATAGTCGCCCCTGTTTATGCCAGATAGACTAATGATGCATTCATGTATGTAATATGCCTTTGATCACAGATTCCGGTTAAGATCTCTGGCCCACAACACATTTACAATCCTCTGAAATCGTTTTGGTGTACATCCTGGAATTTCACACGTGTTTATTCAACTGTGAAGAAATACCCCATCATATATGTACCCCACTGCCTTGAAAGTGCGACCAGAAATCAACGAATATCACAATAAGTTGCCTAACCGACTCTTCTTAAAGCCAGATGTCATCGAAGTCAACTTATTTTGGCACGCATTTCTTTCATGTGCATGGCAGTTTTATTTGGAACTCTCTTGTTCACTGAAGTCAGTTCACGTCAGTTTGCATATATAAAATTGAATCCAAGCTATCCACAAGGATAACTCTACTTCCCCCTTAGCATGAGCCGAAACCACAACGTGGATTAGAACAAACTCCCCCGTGGCCGGGTCAGCATGGTCTTCATGGGCGGATCTCTCGTCATTTGATGTCTTTCATTTGTGCGTAGTAGCCCGGCAGGATGAGGGCGAGGGTGATGCCGATGGTGACGACGACGAAGATGAGCAGGAGCAGTCGGTCGATGATGAGGGCCAGCTGCTGCCACTCCACTTTGATGGCCTCTTTCCTGTCCTGGTCCTCCAGCCGCATCTCGTTCTTCTCAATGGTTTGGTAGACCTGTGATAAACATTCAGCTGTGTTAGCCGTTCCCAAGAAAGAAATACTTCGTCTGATCACCAATAATTCATCATATCAATGGGGGCAACAGTGTTTTTAACTAGTTATTATATTGCCGCATTTTTTCCTTTCACTCCTATACTTATTCTCAGCCTCTTCTTCTGCCTGAACCTCACGCTTTCTCCTCTTCTTTCTTTGACCTCACATTTTTCTTCTCCTTATAATCTTAGTCTTATTATTAGTCTCAAGGTGTTTTTTTTCAACTTAATGTCTATAAGAAAGGAAACAAAAAAAAAAAACGTTTACCTTCTGTAACACTCGTAAAAACTGTCTCTCCGTGTTGTCTCCACTTGGGGTTGAAGGTGAAGGGGTAAACTTGCGTGCAAAACGAGGTGATATCCCGCCATTCTCTGGCCTCCTGTCCATATCATACCTTGAATAGTAGTCATTGGTTGGCACAGGTTGCTGATTTGACGGGACGTACAATGTGGGTTATTCATGTAATAATTACACAGTGCAATCTGGCATGCTACTTTATATTTCAATTTACTAAACGAAACAATTAAAAAAAAAAAAACGAGGATATAACTATTTTCTTTGGTGTCTTTATTTCTTTAGAAGAACTTTGATAAGACAGTAACAAGATTGCTGTGCTAAATACTACCCCAAAACTGCCCAGTTGCATCATTGAGCAGTATTTTTTTGGATGGGATTCGGTCTATCAATCAATATTTTCAATTCACCAGCATTGGCAGGATTCTGATTTTACTTGGCTTTAGAAATGGCGCCTAAATGTCAGCTTGCAGACGACTTTGGCATCGCGAGACGGGAGCTGGATTATCAGCCAAAAAGCAAACACGATTTTGTGGGCAACAAAAAAATATTTTCCAAAAGGGCATTGAAGAATGTTTTCTTTTTTCCTTTAACCCCCCCCCCCCACATAATAACACACGGACACACGTGTCCAAAACTAGGTCGAAACCCAATAAAAAAAATTTTTCCAAAAGGGCATTGAAGAATTTTTTCTTTTTTCCTTTAACCCCCCCCCCCCCCACATAATAACGCACGGACACACGTGTTCAAAACTAGGTCGAAACCCAAAGAAATATTCAGCTTAGAATTAACTATGCCCATAGGCAGTGGCGTAGCTAGGGTTGGTGTCACTCGGTGCAGTAAACTCATGGTGTCACACCCAACCCCTTGCCCTCCCCCGGACTTTCACGATGCATTTTTTCTTGTTAAAATAAGTCCCCAGTTTAGCAATGACAAGAACAAAAACACATTAATGGAAGGTCGGGATTTAAATGTATTTAAGAACTGTAACATTTACTTAGAATGGCCCATTTCTATCAATGGAAATCTTTATTTCTCAGAATTTAGATACATATACCTTCCTGTCATTTACGAAAGTTACCGAACACTTCAATCGGCGTTGAATCATGGTCAAAAGGGTGTTTTTCTGACCTAATAATAAGGGAACCTCATTGTTGACGCATCAACCTTGAACTTGTAATAAAGCAACTGGATTGATTACAAGTCTGGAAAATTTAAGTGTGATTGTTTATCCCTTTTATGAAATTCCGTTAGACGGAGCAGTGTGTGCCCTGTAAATATGCTATTTTTTTTTAAATTTGGTGTTATCCCACTGAGATGGTGTCACCTGGTGCAGTCTGACCCACTTAGCTACGCTACTGCCCATAAGGTCATTACGCTATGCACATACACCGATGCTGCATGAAATTCGCTTCATTCTGTGTTATAAGTGTGCTAGTAAAAACGCTTTAGCGTAACTGTCAGTTTACATGACTTGCACGTGATGACGTCATTTAATGTCTAGTTCTTGAAACGAATTCAACCAGCCGTCTGGTTTTAAGTGTTAATTAATGGGCGATTTAATCAGGAGGCAGTGACACACTAAACGGACATGACACATATGGGGACAGGGACACATTTTCTTTCATTTGACAGGTTTGAGTGATCTTTGAAATATGTCATCTCTGAACTGAATGTTGCTTTTCATCTATTTTCGTTGTTGAAAAAGTTGTTATTTAAAATGTAAATGATATTGCAACCCATATTCTCCACATGCTCTAATTGTTTTTTCTCTTATATATATATATATATATATATATATATATATTAAATTAAGCATTACCGTAAAAGTCTTTGAATTCAAATAAATGGGACTGGCCATTAAACAAAGTTATGCAATTTTTCTATCTAATATGTGATTGCCTTTCTCTGGTTGAAATTAAAAATGTCTTTATTTCTTTTATTTTCATGGTAAAATCAATATAACCCAGTAACTAGTAGACTCAACAAATTCGTCACGGAACACAAGAAAGCTACATGAATTGTAATTTAATCCTATATAGAAATTTAATCCAAAATTTAGTTCCAAAATAGTCTCATGGAATCATCACAGAAGCAGACTGTGGGGATTCTAGATGGTCTTTAAAAAACACGTTTTTCAACAACAAAAAAATGTTTAAAAAGTTGTAAGTTTGGGTTAATTTCCCGAATAACTTCATTTAAAGCTTTTGAAAATATGATATTTCAAATTTGCAACTTAGTCCAAATAAGTTCAGGCGCGGTTTAGCGCCACTATTTCCTTGTTCCTTGGGCAGCTGTCTATGCAGTATGCCAGTCCTGTGGTCACAGACTCGTATCATGTTGTTGTTCGTCCGTCGAGGATCGACGATGACCATCGAGTCGTCTGGTGACTGATGAATTGCGCGGGTGACTTTTGTTTAAAGTGAGGAAGAGTTGCGCAGCGTCAACCTCACTCTCTCGTCCGAGCCCATCATATCCAGTGGCAAGACTCTACGTCAAGACGACCAGGGATGGGTACGGTTGCAGGAATTGACATTGTATGCACCTTACGGGACTCCAACTCCGGGTTTGAATTCAGTTTCCTTCTCTTAGATGAGTTGCCGACCAAGGTTAACGAGTCTCATCCACCCGGGGTGATGTTTTTGCTTGACCGTCCTTTGGCTGAAATTGAGGTTTGCTCAGTTTAGACCATTCGGCCACCCAGTCACCCATGCAGTGAATGACCATGGCGTTCTACGTGTCTGGTCATGTTCTCAGCGATTCACACCACTGTGCTGTCTCCGCCTTTTGTCCGTTGACCAAGTAGTGGTTCTTCCGCACAATTTGCCGGATTCAGTCAAATTAATATCTACAGTCTACAGAATGTTTACATTTGTTTTGTTTTTTTAAAGTTAATCTGAAACAAAATGATGATTCTGTGAAATTTCCAATTTTTTTTAAAATGGTAATATATTTTAAAAACTTATTAGAGTAATTAGAAAATTTTTTTTTTCAATTTAAAATAAATTACTTTTGATAAAATATAAATTTCAATTAATTGGTGTGCTTTCATCAGTAATCAATAAAGACAGGTAATAAACTCAGTATAAAAAACCAAACATCCGAAGCTTTACAAGTTGAGCTATATATTTTTTTATATTTCTGATCAGATCATAGCAGGTATTTACCCAGTAGCACAGGTCAGGGAGCCCTATTCTGTTGTGGGATATTTGGCCCAGAGACTGGACATTCCTAAGCTTCTCAAGCTAACCCCTCCAGACATGTCATCGGTAGAGAGGGATAAAGAAACCGGGGAGTATCTTTGGTCAGCTTATGACATCTGTGAAGGTAACCATTTTAAAATAACCTGTTGATTTGTTATTAGAAATGTTGAAAAACCAAGCAGTAACTCCATGGGCTTCTTTGAAGAAGTTCAATCTTTTCTAATTTTGTTCTTAGCTTTTTTTATTGTAAAATTATTTATGAGATGGTAGAAACTCTTTTTCTTCTTGTCTACTGTACTCAATTAAAATAACAAAATTAATAAAACAAATTCTGTTAGGAAATGAAAAAAAAAAAAAAAATTTCCTGCCATATGTTTACAGAACATCAATGCTTTTCTTTTATTTTTATTATTACCACTTTTGAAACAATTCAGTTTTTATGAGTTTGTTCTAAATGTGAAGAAGGCCTCTGACATGTGCGCAGAAGTCTACTAAATTCTAATCTTAATCTGATCTTTGTTTTTGCCAGCATTTGCTATTAAGAATGGGTTTTTAACATCAAAGGCTGGTCGCCCAGATGTGTACAGAGCTGCCAATAAATTGCTCAGACTTGCCGTGGAAGGCCAGCTATGTCTGTGCTTTAAACCACCAAATTATGATGAAAGCTCAGGTAAATTATCTGAGGGAAATTTTTAAACAATTATTGGAATCTCAAGTTTTTAATATTTTAAAAAAAATTAAATTTATGGATGTTATTATAAAAAGTATTTAGTACATCAGATCTGTTTGTACAATATCATCAGAAAATTGTTCAGTACATTATATTTATAGTAAAAAAATAAACATACAGTATATGTAATATAAACACTTCGAAATCGTACATTGTATCGGTACGCCATAACCGTAAGAGTTAACAGGTCTGGTACATTTTAAACAGTGCTCCAGACCGCTGTGCTGCAAGATATTTGATGAAAAATAAGTTTTTTTCATTTAGTTAGCATACTATTATTACTATATTTGTTTGAAAAGGTATATTTGATACAAAACAGCTCTGTTTTTGTATTCTTTAAAAAAAACCTTTATCATTTTCAGCAGCAGTGTGGTCCATTTAAATTTTGCTGTTTATTTAACAAAGAACTAAGCAAAATTTTTGTACATAACTTATCTGGCACACACACAAAAACTGTTGATTTGTTTCTTTCTCAGAGCAACTCATGACAGATCCTGAAACTTCTAAACTGTCTACAATTTTTAACAAAACATCAAACCTTGAAGAGGCTGCTAATAACAAAGAGGAAGAGAACAGTGATGAAAGTTCTGATGATAAAGAGGATGTACGACATGCTGGTTACAAACATGGAGGGATGTTCGATAAGTTGCAGGATCTAGCTGATGATGATGATGAACTCTCAGACCCTCCTTAAATTTAAGTTAAATGGGAATTAATGTCTGAAGTCACGGAAAAGCTGGTGCCAACCAGATAATTTACATCATGTGCCTTAAATCTGGCCAGTGAAAGATTTTTTCAAAGCTTTAACTTAAACATTCAGTTGTCAGTTTTTAATGAAGAGCATCTTAATTTGCATTTGATTTTTTAAACTTTCTAGGGAGATTATTTAGTATTTTAGTGTATTGATCTGGATATAAAACATTCAAATCCGTACCAAATACCATGCTGTTAAACTTGAACTGTTCTTCCAATCCAAACTGTACAAGTATTATTGGTGATTTTTCACAAAAGATTTCATTTGGATAATCTTATTTCAAGAGTATTTAGTGACTAGAAATTAATTGCTGAAATTTTTCCAGAACATTAATTGTTGCAACAATTTTTCATTTTAAGGGTTCTTTCTAATATGTAACCATTTACACTACCGAAACTCAATATTTCTAGCTGTTACCAGGAACATAACTTTCGTATTAATATGTTTCATGTTATTTTTAATCACTATTTGGTAAAAAAGCAGTAAGACAATTTCAATTGTGGCATAGTATTATTTTCATTTGGACATTTATATTATGGGTTAAAGTGTTCTAAAAATATACCAAAATTATGTAAAATGTTTCAATTTTTCTTGATTTCTAAAAATTTCTACCATAATTTATTTATTTATTTATTTATTTAGGCATTTTTATATAGCGCTTATCATAAAGCTCTAAGCGCTTTACAATTATTAAAACATGTGAACTAAGTAAAATAAAAATTAATCTTCCAGATGAGCTTGTGCCACTTTATTGACAAAATGTTACAATAATATCACAAGTATTTTCAGAAATTCCTCTTTGGATTCAATTATTTATATTGAGTCTTGTGTTGTTAATTAAGTAATGGTAAATATAGATCATTAGAAGTTTTTTTTTATTATCCAATGAGCATGAACCACTGTCATTAGACACTGTATAACTCAGTATCTTAGTACCGATATTCTTAGTTAAAATTCACCAAAAAATAGGCTATTGGGTAATGTCTCACAGCACTCATAATTCACAAAGTTTTAATTCAATGTTTCTTTATTAAGTTTTAGAAGGGCTACACATTTTTTGTATTTAGAATAGACATGGCCTTCTTTGTTTTCAAACTCCTAAAACAAATGTACTTATTTATAGATATTTTATAGCAATATGGAAATCATTAGTACCATAATTTTAACAGTTACCAAATGTCTAGCATAGTTCCGATTTAACTTTATCTCAACTTAATTTTTTTGTGTGAGATGACTGATATTTAGTGCCCACTTTTTGAGCCCTTTAGAAAGGGTTTACAATGGTTCTTGGCTACAAAATGGAGTATTTTGATAACTCTACATATTATATTTATTCTTAAACTAGCATGAGCTACCAAAGAAAAATTATATTTTCATAAATAAAAGAGACGTGATGACACAGGTTACTAAAAGACAGTTTATTTACACTGATTAATTTTGACAAATAATAACGAAAAACTTGAAACATATAACTTAAATGCAAATATAAGGTAATATTCATTAAAAAAAATTGATGTTTAAAATGATTTGAAATAATCCAGTGAGCATCTCAGATTGATCTACAATTAAATGACTGAACTTGAATATCTAAATATTTAGGTTAAATATGATTTAAAAGCTGGTTTTATCTGCCAAGCTGTGACGGAGGAGTGAAAAACCCTGTGCCTTGTTTACTTGCTGCCCTGGATGGTGCAAGTCCTAAAAGTTTCTGGATGTTCTGAAATAAAAAACCCAAAAACAGCCAAGTTATTAATCACCAGACAAGATTTAACATGTAACAGAACAACAGGACAAAAGGTACATGTGAGAACTTATGAACTCTTAGGAATATGAAAGTAACCCACTTATTTAAAGCTTTCCTTTCTTTCTTTTTATTCATCTCAAATACAATATAAATACTTCTTACCTGTCTAATGGACATGGTGCAGAGAATGTAGAGGAAAATAAATGAACAATGAGTGTAATCTTCACCAGGGAGATTTCTGTGTGATATTCCTTGGATGAAGGATATAGGGGTGAAAGGTAGATTTGCCACAACCCTTCCATCAAATCTGAAATACATTGTATTTACTTTTATTATATAATTTGTTTAAAGCAATTCTTATTGTATTTATTTGAATGATTGGATGCATAAACTCAACTTTTTCTGTGAATTCTTTTTAAATAAAATTAATTAGTTCAGTTATTTTGTAACAAAATAATTTTTTTTTTAAATTTCTTTAAAATGTTAACTTATTCTTTTAAATAAAATTCATTACTAAAACAACTATAATTAATTGTTTTATGTATTCTGCACACAAGCAATAATGTTGAAAACTAAAAAAAACAGTAACTCACATAGAATTAAACATGCTAAGAAGGGCTGTAAATGCAAAGCCTATTGCAAACATGGATTTCATTTTCACCTGAAAGAAAAAAAACAAAATTTTAACAAAAAATTTGGTACCGGGTAATACAATACTGTTCCAAGTATATACCACGTGTTTTGCCCATAATGGGGTTTACAATGGACATGGTGTAAACATTGTGTAAAAAAATATAAAAATACAGGTACATGTGAACTACCAAACCAAAAGGGTATTGCATGTAATAATAAGTGTGTCCTATACTCTGAAGAAGGGGTCTATTGAAAAATACAGTATTTATAAATAAGCATTAGAGTAATTGGTCTAAAATTTGCATTAAGCTGTGTAAGCCACATGCAGACAAGGGGGTTAAAAAGATGCTAAACTCAAATGATGTAATGCTGTACTGATTATTTACATACCAAAGACAAATCTCTACTATTGGTCTTCAGCTTTTCCTCCTGTCTTTCTAAGAATGAGAATAAAATTGATAAGGTAAATTTAAATAATGATGGTCAGTTAATGTACACAATTTTTTAAAATAACGACGTGATGAGTAGTTATATTACCGGTATTAACAATTAAGTTGGCAAAAAAATTTTTTTTTTTTTTTAAAATTTAAACTTACCCAGCTTTTTCTTTTGTACTCTGTCATTAGATTCATTCTCCTTTTGTTTTTCCACTAAATGGGTTTAAAAAAATTTTTTATTTAACATAAAACAATTTTACAACTTATACTATCAATAGCATAATGATTTACAATAGTTTCTTTTCCTCCCAATTTAAACAAAAAATAATAAAAAATACATAAAATTAATAAAGCTTATTGATATTGTTACATTACGTAAATATTTCATGCAGATGCTAAATAAAATATAATGCAATAATGTCTATCAAAATGCATGCATATGAAAAATCCTTACATTTTTTACTTTGTTTTTCAACTTCTGCTTTCAATTTTTTATACTTCTCTGTTCTGTAAACCATTATCCATGTTAATCCTGTTGAAATCATTAAAATAAATTCAAAATATTAATTATTTTTTTATACCTTTACATATTAAAAAAAGTCCCTAAATATTTTGTCAATGCAAGTAGCTAAATTTTAGTACTTGGACTTGTTTCTTTTCATTGATTTATAGTAATATTATTAATAGGGCTATTTAATATAATTTAATTTTGACTAATTAACATTTGATAATGTAATTCATTTCATTATGAAAATTATGCTACATCGTTGTTATCCTGCAATCTAAAACAACATTTTTTACAAAAATTTAAAGTCCCATGTTTTTACTTTTACTAACCACTACCAGTGCCTAACAATATGCATTGAGGCTATTAACATTGTACACTTAACAGTTCAAGTTATTTATTTATTTAGGCATTTTTATATAGCGCTTACCATAAAGCTCTAAGCGCTTTACAATTATTAAAAACATGTAAACTAAGTAAAATAAAAATGAGACACTAGGATAGTAACTACTATACCATAGAAACAATGAAAATGGCTATAAAATGAGGACACTTTGACACGTTTTGGCCTATACTTCAGGATCAACCCGAAACAGAAAATGAGGCAGGGCAAGGAGGGTGCATCACAGGTCATAGGCTGACCTAAACAGATGAGTTTTAAGGGACTTTTTGAAAATGGACGAGGTTTCACAATGACGGATGTGGAAGGGGAGCTGGTTCCAGAACGTGGGCCCATGGAACTAGAAGGAGCGTTCACCGATGGTCTTAGTTTTGGTTCTTGGGATTGAGAGGGTTCTACTGTCAATGGAAGAACGTAGTTGTCTTGTGGGGATAGACCTAAGCCGAATCCTAAGTGTGTATAGTAAATAACATTAGCCTAAGCCCAAGCTACATCAACTGACATCATTTTTAACTCAACATACTATACACTTGATTTTGATAATAAAGTTTTTGAAATCGTATGAGTATCAGATATATTTCACGTTGATAGACCTATGAACTATTATGACTATGATTTGAATGATAATAAAGTTTAAGGACATTTTGGCTTTGCTGTGTCCGTGTTGGATTGGAAATGCTAGTTTTGTGTAGGCCTAGACTGAATGTAAAATGGCTGCAACAGTTTTTGCGCCATTTTTCGGTATGCGCAGACCGCGTGCGTGTGAGAGTTTTAAAGTCTCTAGCCTAGGGCTTCTACTCTAGACTCTAACTCTACGGCCTAGTGGAAAATAGCAGGATTTTTGGATTTAAAATTAAAAAAAAGAAATGTCCCATTCTTAACATACTGACTCTGAAAAGAATCTTTATAACTTATAGCTTTATAATTTGGCATGTAATTGTAATATTTATGAAATTGACCTTTGTATTTTAAAGTTTTTTGTTCTTTCCAACTACTTTAGTACCAGTAAGTAGTAAAGTTACAAACTAAGTAGGCTATGTCGCCTATGATGTAAATCTAAGGCATGATGTAGTGTAAGGTTTTAAATTTAAGGGCTCAGACTTAGTAAGGCTAAGTAAGGCTAAGGGTAGGTGCAATCTGATGTCTTTTCTGTGTATCTGATATCTGGTTATAATCTTAATAAAAAATCGATTTCAAAATAATAATTAGTAAGCTTAATTACTAAATTAGTTTTTTGACTTCTCGTATTACGTTTCGGCTTAGGGCAGATCCGACCGAAGTTAAGTCACTGACTCGCTCTCACAATTTGGGAGGAGGGTTATAAATAAGACATTATTACATGAGCAAGCTTATAAACAAAACAAAAATAGGTTTAGTTCATTTTCTTTCTTTAAAGCCTGACCTTCACCGAGAAATGCCGTGCACACTGAAATAAAAACTATAAGTATGCAGTCTGCAAACATTTTAGTTCATTAAAGATAAGGGCTATATTTCATGTGTTGAAAAATTAAGACACGTAACATCAAACTTAATGCAAAAGTAAATGCACTAATAAAATCAAATCAGGTATGTCTTTCAGCTAATAGTGAATTTGAATGATGCCGCGAAAGCTTTATTATTATTATGACATGTGGAAGATGGCAGCTAAAGCTTTTAAAGGAAATAATGCCCTCTCTATGAACATTTTAGCAGAATGTTCCACTTCAAAAGCCAGGGCGTCTGCAATGACATTACCTCATGCGATAGTAGACACCCCAGTATTCATGCCAGTCGGTACTCAGGGAACACTGAAAGGCCTTGTTCCTGATCAACTCAGAGAACTTAATTGTAAAATTATGTTAGGAAATACCTACCATCTTGGACACAGGCCTGTATGAACCAACTATAAGTCTAATGATAAAGCCTGAAATTAAGCAAAATTCATTTAAATTGTCAGCATATGTCATAAAAGTATTATGACTAAATTATGAGACAATTTAAAGTTATTTTCATAAAATATAAGACCATTGTCAGCCATTGTGTCATTGTCATTGTGTGACTTAACTGGCTGCCAGTGTAAAAGGATGTGTATGTGCGAGCGTGGGGGGGGGGGGGGGGGGGGTGGGGGGGGTAGGGAGAGGGGGGTGTGCAGAAAGAAGACGTCAGCTGGGGCGCCAGCCTCAGGGTGTTTCAAAATAGTAGATTATCATGTTAATTTTATATATGTTTATTATATGCCTAAATCAACTAGCATAGGAAGTGGTGGCTCTTTTTTATCTGAGTCATGAGGCGCATCATTTTTAGTCCAAAAGAAGTGACCCAACAATCAAAATAAAGTCATAAAGTTAATTTATGGATTAAAAGACACAGGCCTAATTTTTTGTTCATGAATTATTATTACTTATTATTTAACATGGATAAGGCAAGGTGACTTAAGTGACTATACTATTTGTACTGTCTTTACCAAGAACTGGTTTTTGGACAACTTGTCCTGTTAAAATTTAAAAGCCGTGAGTTGTAACTTGTAACCAGTGCAGAGTACAGTTAAATATAAAATAAAATAAAAATTATAATACTAAGATTGAGTTCATGTGACATATAGGCATGCAGAAATAAATAATAAATACAACAAATTTTTAAAATATGTTTAATCCAAATTAGCATAGGCATAAGTTCAGTTCAGATCAAAAAGTATTTTCAAAAGAGCATCTCATAGACAGAAGTCAGTTCTCTGTATGAAAAAAACAACAAATACATTTTATTTTTTAATATGTGCCTCTAAATTTGAAACAAATGGTTATCTTAGACATTGGAAGGCCAAAACAACAAAAAGCTTTTAGCTAAATTCTGTAAATCCTTTGTTATCCAGACCTAGCAAAAAAAAAGAAATATGGGGAGAAAAAATATAGGTTAAACAAAAAAAACCAACAAAAACTAATGTGGTAGCAAAGAGCTGCTTTTTTTAGGTTCTTGGCTTTTTTTTTATATCAGTATTACAAGATATCTTTTTTTTAATGATTGTAAAAAAAATCATATCTTAATAAAGTATTTTAAACAAATAAATAGTTAAAATAAAAGTTATAAAACAACAAAACTTTTTAATGACAACTAGAAGTAAAAATTTAAAAAAACTCATCCAGGTCGCCACATAAATCACAGATGCTAATATCAACCTTTACAGTTTACCCTTGCTTTCACACATTCAAAACTGTTGGAGCAATAAATTAGACATTGGACAATAAGAAGCTTAAATCCTATTTGTCTGTTCAAAATGACCAAGTTCAGGATCAGTAGCCCATCTAAATTTAGAAACAGCGCTGTTTCATTGATATCATTCATTAGTTATACGACAGTGTAATACTGTAGTAACTACTTTGAGTAGTAGATCGTAATTACATTTCCGTGTGTGTAATTCTTAAGAAGAACTGCGATGTAAGTACGTGTTCTCTTAATTTATATTAAATAATTTAATATTACTATCAATCAGTGACTAGCATTAGTTATTATTCCTATTTATTACAAAAGCATGTTGAGTTATTTGTGACTTTTTGTACAGTTTTGTTTATTCTACAAGTTGGCATGTATTATTAAATTGTACTAAATATATTTTATGCCTATTGTTTATAGGGTCTACTACTACTATGTATTATGACTATGTATATTTTTGGTGTTAGTGAAAACTAACAGTAGTATTTGCTAACATTTACGCCATTAATACCTTATTATTAATTGAATCATCTTTTCACTATCGCACTCGATTAATTTTGTTTGCACGTGCAACCCATCTACATGGGTTGCACGTGCAACCCATCTACATGGACATATTATATTGTCGTTATGGTCTGTACAGGCACATGTTGCTGATGTGCTGTTTATGTTGGCCACTCTGAAATTTTCCCTGGAAAGTCCTGCAAAGCTTTAAATTTGGTAATTTTAAGGTTCAGTGCAACTGTTCTCATTTTGCTTTTATTTCTCTCAGGGTCCAGAATTGTTAGAAAAAGCTGGTGGTCTTCACAATTTTATGAAGTGGGATCGTGCTTTACTAACGGTAACCTATATTAAAAAATTAATACTACATTTTAGATCATTTTAAATGAACATCTAGGAATCTTTAAATAAAAGGTTTATTTTAAAACATACTAAAAAGCCCTTGATCCCCCACCCTCTCCCTCTTTTTTCTACCATAGTTTTTATTATCACCAGGTTACTATGATTCAACAACTTTTTTTTCATTACCCTACACTGAAAAAAATTCTATAATATTAAAATCAGTAACCATATCTATATGAGGGTTCATTAATTAAAGCAACCTAAATTTAATTATGTTTGGCTTCAGTCATCAAAAAGAATGATAGTTTTTAGTTTTATTTCAACAATAGTTTTTTTTATCCATTCTCGTCTTCTTTGCCTTTGCAATTCCAAGTTGAGCATAGCCCATTAATAATTTCTTTCCAAGCCTTCACTTCCCGTCTCTTGTTATCTTTTCTAACTCTTTCCAACTCTTTCAGATCTTTATTACCACCTTATCCACATTTATTCACATGGTAGTTTTTTTTACTACTATACTGTCCTTTTTATTTTAAAAATTAATTTTTTAACTCAACTTGAATCAACAGGATAGTGGTGGTTTTCAAATGGTGTCATTGCTAGAATTGGCGGAAATCACGGAGGAAGGTGTCCAGTTTAAATCTCCTCATGATGGCTCTCAAATGTTGCTGACTCCGGAGAAGTCCATTGAAATTCAGAATTCTATAGGTCTTTTGTTTATACAGAGGATTCTTGTTAACTGGCACTCTTAAGGCCTACATAATTTTGACCCAAATATAACTGATGCCCCATTTATCTGAATTTCATTGTGAAGCAATGCTTGAAATGAAGGATCATAATAAAACAAAGTAAATTCAGTGTCAAAATTACTGTAAATAATGTTAAAAATGGTAGAAAAAAAATTGTCATTGTGTTATAATTTTTCCAGATTAATAAGACACGAACAAATTGTGTCAATATAACAATATAAGTTAAGCTTTAATAATAATTATATATTATGCACAAGTAAACGTTTCGGCACATGCCTTCATCAGTACAAACAAACAAATAAGTATAAATTAAATTTACATAATATAAATATAAATATCCTACCTAAAAAAAAAAAAAAAAAAGAAGAGGGCGAAAAAACAAAAAAAAAAAAAAAAAAAAAAAAAAAAAAATAAAAATATAAGTTAAGCTTTAATAATAATTATATATTATGCACAAGTAAACGTTTCGGCACATGCCTTCATCAGTAAAAACAAACAAATAAGTATAAATTAAATTTAAATAATATAAATATAAATATCCTACCTAAAAAAAAAAAAAAAATAGAAGAGGGCGCTAAAACCAGACAAAAACAAAGTAAAGAGGAGTAGAAAGGAAGTGATTTGAACATAATTGTAAAAAACAAACAGGAAACATTTACTTGTGTATAATGTATAATTATTATTAAAGCGTAACTTATATTGTTATATTGACACAATTTGTTCATGTCTTATTAATCTATTTTAAAGCTTTATTTCAGTCCAATACTTTTTATAATTTTTCTAGGGTGATTCGCTCAGTACTTTTTTTTTTATTAACTGCAATATTAAGTGCCTCCCTACATGAAGTAGCGGTATAATTAATCAATGGATTTTCTGGTCAGTGTCTCACTGAAGCTTAGAGTTTTAATTTTTTTTTTTGGTGTAGGCATCTGATTATTAAAAATGCTTTGTTGGCAGTAGTTAAGCAGTTAAAAAATTTAAGATATTATCTCCTGCCATTTGTTTTATAACATGAGAAATATCCCCCACCCCCACCCCCTTTTCTGGTGTACCACTTAGCCTGAATCCACTGTACTATAAAACTGACTTTATTTATTTGAAATAACTCTGTTCCTATATCATCACACTTATGCAATGGACCCTGAATAAAAAAGTGGCTAATAATTAAATAAAAAATAAGAAACATGTAGCTGAATAGAAAAGTTGCTAATAATTCAATTTAAAAAAAGAAACGTAATTCTTATTTAAATGCTAGTAATTGCTAAAAAGCATCATGGAGAAAATTTTTGATGGGCGCTTGCTCTGTCATGTTTACTGTGACATTTATGATTTAGAAAATAAGGAAGAAGCTTTAATATTTATAAGAAATTCTTTTAAAAAAAAGCTTTGTGGTCCTGTATTATTTTACTCTGTGATTGCTAGAGAATAGTTTTTATAAGTGTCACATTCAACATTTAGCTAAACATTTTACAAGAATTTGATGAATAACTTTTAATCTCTTTAATAGGTGCTGATATCATTATGCAGCTTGATGATGTGGTTCATTCTTCTGTTAGCGGACCACGGCTTGAGGAGGCCATGTACAGGTGACATTTAAAAAAGCCCTTTTATAGTTCAAAATTTTAAAAAAATCTACAGTAACTTGAGTTACCCATTTGTAGTTTTTATTTCCAATGTTGTAGAAGGCAAATAGAAAATATGACCAGTATGAAAATGAAACAGTTTGTTGTGACATGGTTAATTGAACTTACAAAAATTTACTCACAGGACTATTCGGTGGTTAGATAGATGTATCAAAGCACACAAACGACCCACAGAGCAATGTCTGTTTCCAATCGTGCAAGGTGGATTAAATTCGGAACTGCGAACAAAATGTGCACATGGTAAAACTGTAACTGTACCTAACTAGTTTGGGTAGTCTTTGATTAGTTTTCATACCAAAAAATATTTTTTTTTACACAAATCTGCTCTGACCCATGTTTTGGTGACTGGTTCATAATCTTATAAATTTGTTAATGATTTTAAATTACGTTTTTGTTTCAGAACTAATAAAACGTGATGTTGGAGGTTATGCCATCGGGGGTCTGAGTGGTGGAGAGGAGAAATCAGAGTTTTGGAGAATGGTGAAAATATCGACAGATCTGTTGCCCAGAGATAAACCTCGTTACTTGATGGGAGTAGGGTGAGGGTCAACATGAGTGATAAATAATTTGATTGAAGGAAGTTTAGAAAGTTCACAGGCCAAATTAAAAAAATGTTTAGCTAAAATAAGTTTAACCAATAAGCTGAACTATTTTTTGAATTATAATCCCACTTTTGTCAATTTTACTAAACAACTATAAAAAATTTGGACTACTTTCATGTTTAGATTTGCTGTTGACCTGGTTGTTTGTGTCGCTCTTGGGTGTGATATGTTTGATTGCGTTTTTCCTACACGCACAGCGGTAAAATACAACTTTTTATGTTTTTTTTTATTACTTTAAATCAAATTGTGACTTTGAATTTAAGACTCTGATTGATCTTTTTTACCCTCATACCATCTACCTATATCTATAAAGGCAATATATATAAAGAGTACCACTCACTGGATGTTAATTAAATTATTGTTTATGTAAGAAGGCACATTCATCTACTAAAAATGGCTGTATGATTGTCAGCATGAGTTTAATTCTGATTCAATTTAGGTTTATTTTTCAAATGTTGTGTACAGTGTTTAAATGCAAAAATGAAAATGATTTTTATAGATGTTTTAAATGTATATATTTTAATTTTTAATCATAAAAATAAGGTCTTTAATAAATGTCTTTGTTTCATTGTCAGAGATTCGGCTGTGCTTTGGTTAAAGCTGGTCAACTCAACCTGAAGAACAAAATGTTTGCCAAGGATTTCCAGCCCATTGACAGTGAGTGTGAGTGTTCTACATGCAAGACGTACACAAGGGCTTTTCTACACACTCTGGCCAACACAGAGCCAGCAGCCTGCAATATAATCACAGTTCATAATGTGGCGTATCAGGTAATGCAAAGTTCATTATGTAGCACACCAGGTACAACTGTAACTTACAGTTTATTATGTAGCGATCAGGAATAGCAATACAAATTCATAATGTAGTGCAACAGGTACAACTGTCACAGTTTAAATGTAGCATACCAGGTAAAACTGTCACAGTTCATAATGTAGAATACCAGGTAAAACTGTCACAGTTCATAATATAGCATACCAGCTAAAACTTTCACAGTTCATAATGTAGCTTGTCTGGTAAAACAATAAAAGTGCATCACATGTTTTGAAACGAACTCCAATATTTTTATATAATCAAACTCAGAAACTGTTAAATTGACTAATGTTTTGGTTTGCAGCAAGTATGGTCTTATGTAGAGCAAACCTCCAAATCATGTCATTAATTTACTTTAAATCCTTAACATTTTTTGCAAGTTTTCTGTGAACATGTTCTATGTTTTTGTTCATGTAAATATATTATGTAGTTTCCAAGTGTTAGAATATCATGGTGCATTGCTCTATAATTAACTTATACTCTGGTCTTTTTATCAAAGAAATAAGCAGAAAAAGTAATATTTTATCACACTGAGGTCATTCTACTTCTTCTGGTAAATATTGCTTTGTTCAACTTTTGCTGTCCATATGATTATAAATAATTTTAAAAAAAATATATCTTTCAATCCGCCTTATTTTACTCTTCAGCTCAAGTTAATGACATCAATGAGACAAAGTATCATAGAGGACAAATTCCCAGATTTTGTTCAGACATTTTTTGATGATATGTTCCCTAAAAAAGATTTTCCTGAATGGGCAACTGATGCACTGGCCAGTGTCAACATTCATCTGAGATAGCACATATTTTATTCTACTTTACATCAAACTGTTGTCAATGTTTTAAACGTTAAATTTCTTGTGTCTCTTATATAATATTTATACTGTTGGCAACAGGGGTCTGTCTGAGAGAATTTTAATTATAATTGTTGTATAAAGGAGATATGCTTGTACTAAACATTTGATGATAACGTTGCACAATATTTACAATAATTTAAAAAAAAATCTTAACTCATGTTTAAGATATACATATTTATCAGTGAATGCATTTGAGGAATATATCCATTGGGTCTAATAAAATCCCATTTTCATCTAATTAGAATAAAGTTTTATGTAAATATTTTTGTCTCATTTATGAAATTAAAAAAAAAAGTGTCTTTCAACTTTCATAAATACCACTGAAATTCATAATTAATAAATTAGTAAAACATCTTAAGATTAAGAGATGTTCTGATTGAAAAAATTGCATAATTCAAGTATCATGGATCTTGTGACTTAAACAAGGTATTCTGTGCAAGTTATAACAATCACCCATGATAACCTAACCTAGATAGTAGCAGCCGCAGGAGTAGACAAACTAAAAAGAATTAAAAAGCCAGTTCCTGTTTTCATCAGGGTTATGTTATTAAAAAAAAATTATTTTAGTAATGAATTTGAAAATTCAGGTGCTAGGTAACCTCCACCATATATTCACCTACTACGGAATGGACCTTTGCCGTTTGGTTGTTTTAGTTTTAGATTTCAAAATATAACTTAATTATCCCTTGTATTTTAGGTATTATTAATGCCTGCCCTTCATCTTGGTCTTATAGTCCTAGCACTTTAGTAAGCCATGTTTTTTTTGTGGGTCTTTTTCCAGAAAGTTATCAGTTATTTGATAATAAGGAAAAAAAAACAAGAATCGACAAAATAATAGAATTGACATATAACAAAATTTATTGAAAGCATTGCATAAATACACATTTTAGAAACACACAAGATATCACAATTTCTGATGACAATAATAAGCAATGTTGATGAGCTCAGGGCAAATCAGTAAAAAAAAAGAATACAGATAATCTTAAACTTTAAAAATGAAACAAGAGTGGTAGAAATGTATGACTCTAACTATAGGCCAAAAAAAATCTGTTACCTAACCCATGACTGTAGTAGTAGGCTTATTCACAGATGTAGCAAGTTAGTAAGACCTATTTAACATTCTAGAGAATTCAAACTTTAGACATGAAAAGGGGAAACACTTCAGTTATTAAAAAAAATTATGATATTGAGCACTCACATAACTGAGTGCATAAAATGCACAGGAGCTTTTTGAGCTGAAATCTGACCAGGCATAAAACAGCTAAAATCTGACCAGGTATAGAGCAGTGTGACAATAATTTTTTTCATTGGAAAGTCTCCTATCTGGTATCAAGCTCTACAATGTTTTTATTGACTGCTGTAGTCTTTTCACCCAATACACTTTGTCAACATCTTAAATAATTGCTGATAAGTTAAAGGATTTCAAAACTTCTGATGGCATCCTACAACCCTTTAATAGCAAAGCAAAAGTGATACTGGCAGTTGTTAAAATTTTAAACCAAAACACCACACCCCCCCAACAAAAACACAAAAAAAAAAAAAAAAAAAAAAAACAAAAAAAAAAAGATGAAGAAAAAAAGCAAGTTAAAATAACATAAAAATCTACCATTTGATATTGCAAGTATAAGTAAAAATACCTTGTATCAAAATTCAATCCAACAATATAGATGTGAACAAAGAGATCAAGTATCAGATAAAACTTTCATATCCATTCTCATACAGTCATTTTTAACTGAAACCAAGAATTCAATGTAAAGCAAAATTAATCTTTTTTTAAAAAAAAAAAAATGCCATTTCGCATTATATTATGCAAAATTAGGCAGTTCTCAAAATAGATTAGGAAATTCTCCAAATAGATTAGGAAATTCTCCAAATAGATTAGGCAGTTCTCAAGGACCCAAGGCTATTTTTTTACATATGAATGGAGAACAAGGTTCCATTAATAAAAGTTCACTAAACATTTTGTCTCATATGTTGAAACTCTTTTTAGATATGCCCAATTGTTGTACCGGGTATTCTAAAATTCTAACAATGATGGCCAGAGAGTCAAAGAAAACAACAAACTGTTTGACCTTTACTCAAGGTCTAAGTACTGATAGCAAAATTCAGGAAAATGACAAAATTTTGTGATTTTTTTGTTTTGGTTGTTGATTTATATTTAAAGAAAGACTAAAATGGTATTAAAGATTATAAATATTTTATTACCGTATAAATATTCTAAAATTTTATCCACGGTCAGTAACACAGTAACTCCAAAACCCTGTAGCCATATTAGTAATATCACAATGTGAATAACTGAGGTAACTGGATAAATACTTTTTTGGTAATTTGATTTTGCTAATGTAAATTGTAATGTGATGATTTAAATATATTTTAAAAAAATCACCACTAATAATTAAAGAAGCATTAAAAAATGTAAAATGTTGTTTCCGTTGTACATTGTAAGCATATCTCAGTTTCATATATATAAAACATTTAAGCACTATGAGATCAAATATTCAGGTGTCTCTTATCAATGAAAGACAGATTTCATGATTGATTGGGAGCTAAAATTTGCAGTAATTATTTTTTCTACCCATACCTAAATTTTTATGTGTAGTAGCATACCCTATATTAAATTTAAAATTACCTAACCATTTACAAGAGCTACAGACACATACAGTAATTTTAAAAACAAACAGATATTGACATTTCCTAGATACATGTGATGCTCACTTTATACGAGTTGCCTAATAATACACAAAAATGTAAGAAATCTCTTTAGAAATGGTTTAGCATTTCCATCTCATTTACACTCAGGGGTTTCCCCTTCACTTTCACAAAACTCACCAATTTGTCGTGTCACACCTGCACACTGCAACAGACACACTAATGTGTCTTAAAAAGCAGTTAGGACAGCTTAGGTTTAAGGTGTTTTAAACTTTAAGCTAGATTACAAAAATCCTTTATTAAAACTTAAGTCAATGATATTCTTTTTTTGTTGATAGAAAGTGGCAGAAAGGGTGGAACAGAGACGTCATAAAAAAAAAACCACTACAGATTGCAAAGACTGGTGGTAATGGTAAGAGAAGAGGTAAATAGAAAAAGGACATCGGATTGGAACAATCAACCCGACAATGCAATAAAGTGAGCATGTGAACATTACACAACATTGCATCAAAATGTCAACTAGCTTACCTCTTAAATATAAGTCTCTTCCTATTTTTTAAAAATATTTTAAGATTCATTCATGACTACAGATCTTGGACAGAGAGTCAAGCATATGATAGCGCTCATTATTTTAAGATTGTTATTATTAAATATCATATTTTCATTTGTGACGGTAGTTTCCAAGCAAAAGTCAGCTCTGCACAGATCTGAGTGAGCTGTGATTTAGGCCCAGGCACCATGAACCAGTCCAATATTTTGTTTTCATTGACTGGTATACTATGACACAAGACAGATTGAGTTAAGTGGGCAAACTGAAATTTTAAGTTTGTTTTGAGAAAAAAAAAAAAAAAATTCATTGTTCCATGTTCCAATAAATTTATGGAGAAATAAAATTTTATAAAATTTCGATAACTTAAACTTTTTTTGTATGCTTTTTTTGGACATGTAGATTTCTTTTGATAAGCAAGTAAAATGAATTACATGGAAATAAAACATTAAATATTTTTTTAAAGAAAATATATTAAATGATAATTAGCAGCTGCTAATTTTGTCTTTCGAAAAAGGAAATTGATTTTAAAAAATAAATTATTATGCACTTTATCTTTGCCACAAACAAACGAACAACAGAAGAACAAAAAAAACAATAACTTATGCTGATGGATCATGAAACAGTTGTTTTTTTCAAATAAGGGTATAATGTCCTGTCATTTACTTCTATTTTTATATATGTATCTATATAAATGTATAAACATTGCCAAAACTTTTTCTTTCCTTTTAATCAGAAAAAGGAGGGTGGACATTATAAAATTTATTGCCATATTATCTAATCATGTTACTTAAAAATATTTTAGAATCATTAAATTCCAGTATCAAATATCACTGCAAAGTTAGTGTATTTCTACCCTCCTCAGTTACAGGTACCTTACAATGTTCCATGTTACATACCAGGTATAAATTGTTTCATCCATATCAGAGCACCTTCAAAAGCTTTCTTTTACACCATCCACAAAATTTAACTAAAATTAGGAAAGGACTAAAAAAAAAAAAAAGGCTTTACACAAATGATAAGTGGTACAAAATTAGGAAAGAATTATTTCTACCCTCCTCAGTTACAGGTACCTTACAATGTTCCATGTTACATACCAGGTATAAATTGTTTCATCCATATCAGAGCACCTTCAAAAACTTTCTTTTACAACATCCACAAAATTTAACTAAAATTAGGAAAGGACTAAAAAAAAAAAAAAGGCTTTACACAAATGATAAGTGGTACAAAATTAGGAAAGAACCTAACAGTTTCACTTTTACCTATTAAAAGTTGCTTACTTTAAAAAGAATCTAAAAAAAACAACAAAACATCAAGTGACTGTATGCTGCGCTGCGTGTATGGATGAAGATGAAAAGGTTTAAAAGGAAGATAAGCTCTTTGCTTTAACTTTAAAAAAAAAACAACAAACAAACAAAAGCATTGATCATTGATGGTAGAATTTTGTAGAAAATTTCCCCAAGCGTGCGATGTAAAAACAAAACAAACACAAAGAGTAATCTCAATAATTTTATAAGCTAATACATAGAGTCTCAGATGTTGCTCAGCATCTTAAAATTATTAAATACAAACATCTCTTTAAAAAAAACACATAAATATTATTCAATTTAATTTCATAACATCTCAGTAACAATTTAACCCAGGATATATCTCAGATCTGCCACACAAGCATTATATATATATATATCAATCTTACATTCATGATATCAAGAATGCATAAATACTTAAACTGTCCAAAACATTGCTCCACACTGATATGCACACACTTCTGCCCATTTGAGCCCATACATTCACTGCAATCACATCTCATACACCCTCAGTTTCTATATACCTCCATTCCACACACTCTTGCCCACATCAGCTGTCTGTGTCTGATGATGGCTCTCTATTAAAGGGTGTCAACTTTTCTGAGTGATAAATCCTAGAAATCTGCATCAACAAAGGACCGGTCTCCGGGTCATTTAGCCACTGGCTGGCACTAATGGGGTTTTCTAGCATCTGCAGGAAGGCTGTGGACCACAGAAAGTGTATTGACATCGGCTCTGATTTAAACATCAAAACAGTGAGAGGAGGCTAAAATAAATCAGCTTTAACTTGGCTTTAATTTCGAATTTTCAAGAAATTAAAGAGTGAAGAAAACAACAGAACTGAAACTACTGTGCCACCATTAACATGTGTATGAACACCACCCCCTTTTTTAATTGGTATCTCTAATTAAAAGGGAGATAATCTTTGACAAAGAGGGCTAATGAATAGTGATTAAACATTTCCTTTCTGAATTTGAATATTGACAAAAACATCAATTTTAAATTCATAACAAGAGACATAAACAATTGTGATTACTTCCATACAATGGCCACCTTGAAAGAGATTTCTCAACTGTTACCATACTTTACTTTACAAGACTTTACTCCTGATTTCAATAATCATGTACCTGGTATACTTAAATAAAACCATAGTGTGTCACAAAAAGGTTGTCCATTTTTGATGTTACACATTACATTTCCAATTTAAGCAACCCATCCACTGACCTAATAAACACCTGGGGCTGTTGAGTCCCAACTGCACACTTGGGTGAGCCAAGATGGCCTTGTAGACGGGGCTGTTGGGGTCCAGACCCTGGTCTATGGCATCAGGTCTCTCCTTCCTGTCACTCAACAGCCAGTCACACTGTTGAGATTATCAAAAGAGAAACATTGCACAAAATGAAGATATAAAATAAATTATTATTGCTGCAGTGTTGATGACAGGAAACAAATGTATGCTAGAAAGAATCCGCCTGTCTCTACAGCACATCCCCACTCCAATTTACATTTTGTAGACAGCACATCAGCTTATTTATTTATTTAAGCCCATATTTACATTGCAATAAAGTCATGTCACCTGGCTATAGATAAAATTTACTGTAAGTAATGATTATTAATCATGTAAGAGAACTTCTGAAATTGATTTTTCAGCTCTTTGCTTAAGTCAAATTACCAACATCAACTCAGTTGTTCTAGTGGTTATTTTTTTGTTAAGATGTTTTAAGTTTACATTATTGAAAAAATATCACTTCTTTGAAGGCTAATTACCAGAGCCAACAAAATTGTTCTAGTGATCATTATTTTTTGCCTAAATGTCTTTAGTTTGCATTATTGAAAAATATCACTTCTTTGACCTGAGGTAATTAACACGACTCTTAATTAATGTTTTTCCTCTCAAAACTAGCTCCTCAACTCGAGAGCAGTGATGAAACAGTGAGTGGCAATACTGAGCACATAAATGAAATGAGATTATAATCCAGGAGAATTTTACATTGAAACACGTCGGCAGAAAGGAAAAAACCAAAATGAAAATAATTAGAAATCAACATGAAGAGCGACAGGTTATAATGATAAACTCACAGCAGAATCTTGACTGTTGCGTGATAATCTTAGAGCATGTACAGCTTCCTTTTCAGCAAACCCCATCTCTATCAGATTTTGGAGAGCCTTTAAAAGTTTTTAATGAAAAATATTTGTATTGTAAAATTACATTTTTAGCCCCACTTAACAATTATTAAATAAAAGACATATGAAAAGATTTAAAAATAAAACATTTAACACCTATATAAAAAAAATGTAGAATTAAGCATTTCAAATGCATTCAATGATATAAATATCATGCATGTAATCAAATTATTTAAAATTGTGACACAATATTTCAATTCACTTTGATCTTTTAATGATAAAACTGTTATGAAATTGATATGTGCATTGATTTTTTTAACTTTCAGTGTGTCCCTACCCTTGGATTGGGGCGAAATTCTCTGCGCTGGAAGGCACGGATGGTCTCGAGGATATTCTTGAATCTGGGAGCCTCAGCTCCCCCTGTAGCACCAAGTTCAATGCCAGGAGTTAGTGGCTCAGTAGAAAGTGCTGTAGTTTGGTCTGATACAGTGCTACCTTCAACATCTCCCTCCAGGTCAACATCTTGACCTGGCAGTGGCTTGTCTATATCAGGGTCACTCTCATTGGTCAGAAGCCATTCCATGGCTGACATCACGGATTGTCTAAAATAGAATAATGATATTCAACTAAAGTTATAATGCCATTTAATTTTCATATTTTTAAATAAAATTTTTCTTATAAATGCAAATTTTAAATATTTTTGTACAGCCCCAAATATATACACTGGTGCAGGGGTCAGCAACCTTTTTTTGAGGAAGGAACCATTTTTAGAAAAATCATATTTGGGAGCCGTAGGCAGGAGCTAATTGTTTAAACATCACTTTAGATTATTAAAAATAAGACCTGAATCTATCCCTTCAAAGAGCCCAAAGCTGCCGGCCACTCCATTCAAGAAGGAATAATTAAAACACTCACTGATTCAGCAAGAGGGCTTTCTTTGCTCTGCTTTCAGGGAATCCCATATCTGTCAGTTGCTTGACGTTAGCTTCAGAAACACCAGTTTTCCTATTAGGGGCCTCATTAAGCATATCTGAGATGGAAGCAGACAAAAAAAATTGGTAGGTTTCTTCATACTAAGAACATTTTTAATGGCAAGCAAAAACTACACGTCTGAATGTAAACTCAAAAAATGTTCTTTGGTAATAGAGCATCATATTTTTTATGAGGTTGGTCAAATATTCTATGTGTGAATTCAGACTTCCTGTTATCGCTGCAAGGTTTCAAGTAAACTTAAATTTCACATCATGCTATTGTACTATAAAAATGTCCAAGGTTGACTGTTGCAATTTTTAATTATTCTGAATATTGGTTGATTTTTTATTTTGAGAAAGACCATAACTCTTCATCAAACACCTTAAACAAAAAAAATATTAAAAAACCCTTGAATTAACTGCTGTTATTTTTAAAAAATCAACTTAATTATCCTTTAAAAAAAAAGATAAAATTTAATGATGAAACTATTTAAGTCATCGGTTACATCCTGCAAGTCACAAACAGCCCAAAGAAGGCAAATTTTACCTTCAGCTTGTTTAAATATCTTGGCAGCCTCTGGATTAAGACATAAAATACGCTGGGAAGCCTCTATTAAAGAAATGAGTATTCTGCGCAGCTCACTTTGAAACTTAAATGAAAGAAAAAAAGTATGAATACAAATTACATCTCTTCAAATGTCTAATATTTATTAAAAAAAAAAAAACTCTTAAGAGTAATTCATTTCGAAGCCTAACTTTCAATGCCTCATTTCAAATAAAAAATAAATAACTCCAACAATTTTAAGCCAATGAGGTATATAATTTTTCAAATAAAATAAGTAAAGTAGCAGTAACAACAGTTCTACATACGTCTAAACTGCTTGTAGGTTCTTCTTCAGGCAACTCATGATTTTTCTTAGGCAGATGTGATGTTGCCTTTCGTATGGTGGCAATGTCTGGAGCCTTCTTCTCATCTCTTAATCGATCAGCTTCAATCACCGGCACATTCATTCTTTTCCTCAACAAAAGTAACTCATCTGTAAGACCAGGAGCTAACATTGAAAATGAACAGCACTATCCCAAATTATGGAATCATACGCTTGTTATTTTCATAACTTCTAATATTTACCATAAATATAACAAGATCATACCCTTTTTGGGGGTATAACATAGAAAAGAACACAAAAATATAAAAAGATGTTTTTAACAAAATTTTTTTAGGATAAACTGAAAAAAAACAGAGTAGCAAATAATTTTACCAAAGTCTCGAACACCCTGTAGTGCAAGAGTGCTGTCATCTGCCAGTGTTTTTCCAGTTCTGACTAGCACCAGTTTAAACATCAAGGAATTTTTTAGTGGATCAGCCGACAATCCTGTTAATGCCGGAGGAAGATCAAGCAAATGTTCCAGGACCAATTTCACCTGTTAGAAGGGTTCATATTAAATTGAGAATTTAAAAAAATGGTGGCCTATAAAAAAAATGCTGTAGTAAAAGGATGTAAATAAATGAGCAAGATGAGATGAGGTTAAATAAACAGTACTCCAAGTCAGAGGAGAAATGCTTTAAATGTTTATTTTCTCATAAGGTGATTAATACATTTAAAACAAAATATTAATAACATTGCGAAAGGTTTACGGAAAAAGATTTAAGTTGGAATTACTTTGTCACAAGTCCAGTCCTTTCCAACATCAACAATAGTATCAACACCATTCATATTTGTCACTCTGACCTTCATCATAGCAGAAGGAGGGAACAAGAAAGAATCAGACACAACCATTTAGATGATCAGGAACTACTTTAAGTTTTCAATTTGTATGATCTGGGAAAAAAAAAATTTATCATTGATTGCTATTTTTCAATAAAACCAACAAATAATCATATATATCCGAATATGACCAAACACCAATTATAAATATTCAGTAGCATTATAGTTTTCAAACACATGAAGAAGAGTTGCTTTTGGTTTAACATGGATCTGAATTAAACTTTAGAGTATTAGTATTTCAAAACAAAAAGCTAAAATTAAATATAAGTTATTCAAAATTATATCCTCATCAATCTGCTGCACTTATTCAATAGTCTTTTTAGAATTTACAACAACAAAAGAAAAAAAAAGTTAAAAATGACTTTTTCTGATCACAGGATCGTTGCCCCCACAATAGATATTAAGTGACATGCAATCTTTTTGTATAAAAAATTATACACTGGCTCTTGCAATTGTTAGTGCCTAAGTTAATTAAGAAATTTTAAAATCTATATTATATTATTAAGTCTTGGACCATCTTCAAAAGTAACAACCTATTTTAAAATTAAAAAAAAAAAAACTGACTTCTTATTCGACTAATTTTTTAACTGTATTATTGAGAGAACTGTAGGACATAAACTTACAACTTTTTGCTTTAGAACTTCAAATAAAATTTTATTGAATAAATTAAAAATATTTTATAATGTATGTCATAACTTTAAAGTCAATAGCAATGGGTTTTTTTCTTCTTTCTCCAGGTTGGGTTCAAACCCTGGATCAGCCAAAGGCCCCTTGGGTTTTGGGTGGGGGCGGGAGAATGTCAGGGGGTAGCCTATGAATTGAGCCTAAGTATAAGTCAGGGTTGCCAACACAATGAATGAAAATTAATGGATAAATATTTTAAGGCTTCGAATTTGTATGGACAACATAGTAAAAAGACTTATAAAATAAACTACCTTTTTTTAAAAATTGACATTCTAAAGTTCTTACAGAGAAGCCATTTTTATGTGACAAATGTACAAATATGTAACTGCCGCATAGATGACATGCATATATTAGTACCTGTAGCTTGGAGATTTTTGAAGACTTTTAAAGAGAAAAATGTCTTAAAATTCCCTTACATCCCCGGTCAAATGGCATTTGAGTGCAAGAACCACTGTTAACACAAAATTGTAATTTTTTATTACTTTCTTATTTTTAGAAACTGATTTAGTACAGCACCACAACAAGTTTGAGGTTTGCATCTTGAAAATTATTGGTTAGTAATTAAAGTCACTAATACAATAGCGGACATTTGGGACAAATACCTAGTGTAGACATAGACATAGAATTAGGCTAGCTCACTGACTTGGTTAATCCATGCCCCCCATGGGCATAGCATATTTATTAAATTGCCATGGCAATGACTATCACATTTATGTTAGAACTAATAACTAAAAAAGATCAACTCAAGATTTGAATCATGATTTGCAGCTTACCCGTAACTATATAGGCCTACAACAGTGGCATCACTAAGGGGTTGCAGACCGCAACAGGTGGACACCTCCCAGGAGGATGACACCAAATTGAAATTAGAAATTTGATACAATTTGCTCAAGTTGATTTCATAACAGACCATAGTTAGATACAATAACAGGTTGACACTAGACAAGGGTGCCACCTGCAGAGCAAGGTGCCATCAGAGTTGGTTGCAAACACAACAGGGTGCCAACTGAGCAGACTGCCACCAGAGCAGGGTGTTGGGAATCTCTCTTAATCCTCTCAAGTATTAACCATGTAATTATTTCTCACAATCTGTGTATCTGTGGCTACACGTGAGAGGAGCTTTTCAAAACTGCTATATACCATATGTATACACGTATAAGTTGCACAAGTGGGTAGATCGCACACATAGTTTGGTGTTGTCGAAGTGAGTATTTTACATTAAGCTGTAGATAGGCCATAGTCACACCTTAGGGCGTTACATTGCCCTTTTTTAATGTAACATTAACTAGATATTTGTTAAACAGACTTATCGGCCTGAAAACTGAAAAGCTATCGTCATAAACTACGATTAATAAGCATTAAAATCTTTCAAAGAATAATTGACCTCTACTCAAAGTGTGAGTAAGGGCAAAACGGTTTACCTGATAAAACAATTCTCAGAGTTTAGCACACTGTCACTGGGTGACAACAACCCTAGAGACTCCTTACCTCTGGCCAACAGATTTAGTAAATTACTCAATTAGTGACATTTTGATGTTCAGTTTAGCCTATCCAGTTTAATAATTTACTACACCGCCCTACACTTTACTTACTCACGCATATACTTATTCTTTTTTACTAATTAACTTCTTGAATTATTGTGTGACTACACTTACTTACTTGTCCCCTTGACTTAAACTTCTTACACACTGTATCTACTGTAACATATTATAATCAATATATGAAATATTAAAAATCTTAGACAACCTTCAATGGCACTGCTTCATTTGTGATTTGTGCCGATCATAAAAAAAAAAGACAGGTATCATTTATTTTCTCCTAAAACTAAAAGCATCAATCATAACATTGCCAATGAATTGATGACTGAAAACCCCTCAGGTAGATCATTAGAGAGGGGGAGAGCAGTCATAGAACGGAAGTTTGTAGTCTCACTTGCGCCACCCTAAATATGATTGCTTCCCCTTATTCGCCTAAATTATTTTCTCAGATATTATATTTATTCGGTACTGTGATAGTGTGATTATGCTTTTTAACAATTTGAAAGCGTAGCTAGTTACAAAATGGCGACGTGACACAATAAATGTTGATTTCTGTTAGTTAGTACTTTATTAACACAGAACTATTAGTAAAATGAAAGAAATATTGTCGAAGCAAAATTGAAAACAAATAAAATATGAAATAGGGCTTAAGTGTCTTAAAAATATATAGACTACCTATATTGAAAAGTGCTATTATTTCTATTCTATTTATAAATAAAATAAGTTGAGGAAGTTTAGTTTAGTCTTAAACTTAAACTTAGTCTTAATAGGCCTAAAAGATACAAATTACAATGAATATGAATGATGAATTTTTGGTCTTGAAAAGCTTGAATTGAACTTGGTATCTCATAAAAACTCCCTTACATCCCCATCAGGATCACTTACCCATAATTAGTGTCATAAAATAATAGCTAATACTAATATACAGTAGTAGGCCCATAAACTATAAAATATAGGCAGGCATTAAAGTTAAAGTAAAGAATAAGGAGTTGAAGAAAATGGAACAAATAACACAGGATGAATTAGATTTAGAGGAGCCAAATGAAAGCACTAATAGGCATTTGGCTGGAGATAGTTATCACCATGACCATGTCCATCTGGATGAAGAAGCAACTCATTTGCAAAATGAAGTCATTACCCTCAACAAAATAAAATATGATGATACAGAAGCTGACATCAACTATCAAGATGATCCAATCAAACTACAATCAGAACCATATCATCTTGTACTTGATGAAAATGACATTAATAATAAATATATTGATGAAAAGTTGGAAGACATGGCTAGCTTTACAAGTTCTGCTGCTAGCAAAGAAGTAGGAACACAAGAACTGAAATCTCCCACAAGCAATAAGTATGGAATTGATGCAGGCAAGTTAAAAAATATTTAACTTGTATTTTTCTTTGCCTAGACCAGATATTTAGTGATGAAGACATCTAATGTAATATAGCAACCTATGTCTTTGTATCATGTTATCCATTTTGGCCAGTGGTTGGAGGTAGTAGTACAAGTAGTAAGTAGGGAAAGTACCCAGGCACTTAATATCTCACTAAGCAGAATACTTATCAAAAAGCATATGAATCCTAAAGTTTTAAAATTAAAACCATATCATTTACTTAATTGTTAATTTCTCACTTCAAACACCACTTCTTCCGAATCAAATATTTTCTGAAGCCACCTTAGACTAGGCCTGAAATTATTTCTATGTATTGGGTATGGATAGAGATGTACCTCAAAGCATTTCATTTTAAAACACATGGATAAGCTGAAGTGTTATTTAAAATTGATTTCTTTTAGCTGACCTGAAGTTCCACAAATATTCTAAAAACTTACGATAATATTCATTTTGCTTTTGTGTTCAACTATGAAATTCAACAAATTATAAAAATACAAAAATAATTTCTTCTAACCTGATTACATTTAATGATTTTATATAAAATGAGATCTCTTAGTAATTAAAATTCAATGGATGCTGTTTAAAATATCTATTAAATATCATATTAAAAATTTATTCCCAAATCAATTGTCCACTAAAGGCAAAAGGGATGTTCCTGATATTACAAGAGAAGATGAAAGAAAACAATATAATGAATTCAAAAGCGATTTACCAGCAACAAAAAGTTACAAGGACAGTGGTAAATTAACTGCAACTCCCACAGAAAATAATGGACCTCAGTCAGTGCTCACTGCTATCCCTAGAGGTCAAGCTAAAGTCCAGCAAATAGTTTCATCTATCACTCAAGCTAAGAAAAGAATGGATGAGCACCCAATAGTCAAGCCAGCACTTCATCGAATACCACCAAAGTTGGTGCGACAGGCAACTGCTAACAATCATTCCCCTAGGTAGGTTAAAATTATCTATAAATTTGGAATTATTAAGAGTAGTGTATCCAATAACAATTAACTTTTCTTGTATACATTTACATTTAATGTCCCTGATTCTACTGTATAAACTTTAAAAAATTTAACAGTGTTTTTATATGTCATTAAAGGCAACAAAAGTCTTACATGCTGTAGTACTAAAACAATTAACAAAAATCAGAAGCTAACTAAATCAATTACTGCACAGTTGATAATGATTGCTACTAGAGCCACACTGCTGTTTTTACCTGTTTCAATTCATTAGTGCTAGAAATTTGAAGGGGGATAGTTAAAACATCCAAAAGGTTAGCTGGAAACTTGCTTGTTTGTAGAAAAATTCACCACACCAATTATTTAAACTTAATATTTATTTCAGTAATAGTTCATAGAAAGTTTAGATGGTTAGATTAGTTTTGCCTTTCTCATAATGATGCAGCTAATCCCAGTTTAATGTATTTGGGTGGCATGGCTGAGCAGTTGAGCTACTTTCTTGAGAGACAATTTGGAAATAGAACATTTTATGTTTTAAAAAAAGGAAATTAAAAAATTACCATTAATCAGATGCATTCTTAACAATAATTAAACATTTTAAAATACTGTTACTCATTTTTCTATTATTATATTATTCAGCATACATCCATTTTTATCCTTGTTAAGTTAAACATATTCCTTTCTACAGATCTTCCATGGCTAAAGGACCCAGCCTTTATTACGAAGAACCTAGAAGGCCTTTGAAGGTTATTTCATGGGATGAAGCTACCAATACTAGGCCCCCATTGAGAATTGACATGGAAGGTCCAGGACCTTGGTCTTATTCACCTACTAATAAACCACTTAATGAGTCAAATGCTCCTGCTTATACATTTGGATCAAAATGTTACCCAGAGAAAGGTTTGTGTTTGCAATGGCATGATCTCAAGCTTTATTTGTTTTCATGATTGCTTCCTGATTTTATAGGGATATGTATGCAATGTATTTTTACAATCCATTTATCTTGTGATTAATCCTATAGTCCTAGTGTTTTTGTTCATCTTCATTTTGTTTGTACAAATATTTAGTATTTCTTACCATGGTATTTGTTGGTACTGGGTTGCAATAATAACATTGTTTCTCTTGAAAAAGTGTTAGTGAATTTGAATCAACCAGGGCCTTTCCAGGCGATGGGTTAATTGGGAATTGACTGGAATAGACTGGTTATACCAGTAAGGCAACTATTTAATAAAAAAAGTTGAATTTAGAATGACCAATTAATTTATATATTTTTTATGAAAACTTGTAAGAGTAAAGTTTTCTTTTTAGCCTGATGCTAAACTGACAAAAAAGAAAAAGAAAAGCCGTCTCAAAAAAAATATAAACAAAATAATGAATCAATATAATTCTCTAGGTATGAAAGAGTGTATGGTATAATGGTGAGTTCAGTAGCATGCTAAATAAAATTATTGTTAACTGCGCTAAATGAGATTCTTAAAAATATCGCAGGTGCCTTGGGTGTGTAATATTTTCTCTAGTTTTATGGAAATAGTCTCAATTTAAATATTGTGTAATAAATCAAGCTTCAACTTCAACATACCTTCTTCTGCTATTTCATGTAATAAATCTGCAGTGTAAAAAGTGATAGGGACATTAAAATGTTAAAATAGTTCAGGGGCGTGAAATAAAGTGGGTAGTTGCTTACGGGGGGGAAGGGGGCGTTTGGTCAAGCACTAATTGGGATTTTTATTAAGTGCATTACTTCTTTGTTACTAGGGTGCGTGTTTTGTCAAGACACTTTAGTATATGGGAAATTCACACATTGCTGCCACCATTGTTTTGATGGGCTGTCACTAGTAATTTGATAATTTGAGTTTAAAATTTAATTTTGCCCATGTGATTCTACATTTAAAAACTTGTTATGGCTAAGATTAGTTGAAAATATTTTGATGTTAAAAAATTGAAAACTATTTAATTTTCCTGAAAATTTCAGTGGGTGGAGCAAGAACCTCTTGGGCCAAGTCATGGTTTCAGTCCAACCACTCATGGCATATCAAGGCAGATTTCCACAGAGAAGGACATGTTAGTATTATATTTTGTTTGAAAATCTCTAAAGTAATATGGTACATTCCTAATTTAAGTCCATGAAAAGCAACAATAAATATAAGAATAAACACCACACATAAATGGATATAGTATAGGTGTACAAAACTGCAAGCTTCAGTCTTACACAATGGACTCTTCAATGTGCCCTTTTAAATGAAATTTATTTTTAATTGCTGCATTCCCACCAAAAGAGAAGGTACAATATGAAATCTTAAAATAGCTGATTCAATGAATTGTGAAAATGATTCTTGTACATTATTGGAACATTGAAAGTAAATGTTTAAAAAAAAAATCTATTTAGATAATTTTACAAATTCTTATAAAGGCTACAAGGTATGGTTTAGATTGAATGAAGATGAAAAAAAAAATTATCTTGGATAAAAGCTTTTATCAGTGGACAGAATGTTTGAATAGATAAGGATAAAACAAGTAAAAACGATGATAGAGAAATAATCTAAACAGGATAGAGTTATCCCACTCAGATAGGTTTACACCATGAAAAATAGCTAAATATTTTATCACTAGACTTAAATATTTAACATGTTCCCAGTGGCCAACACCGAATCAGTACCACAAAGGTTCTCTAATGGGACCAAGACAAAGGACTATGCCTGAAGCCCCAGCATTCACATTTGGTCATAAATTTCAGCTCTCAAGTCCGAGATCAGGTTTGTTTAGGCTAAAAATTAAGTTGTCAGTAACAAAAGCTTAAGTTAACCATATAATTCTGGCAAGGAGTAAAGCGTGCAGCACTTGACAGTAATATGATGCCATGCTAAAAAAAAAAGACCTTTAATAATACAGTGCTTTTGAAACCTTTAGTTGTAACAGACCAGAATGAATTTATACACAATTCAGAAGAATAAGTGACTCGATAAATGATTCTTGAATTTTCTTTTTTCATTAACATTTTCAAATTCAGCATGAAATCTAATGGACAAGCTCTGGTCCTCAGACCATCATTTTGAGAAGCACTGCTTTAAATTATCTATTGAATATTGCCAATGGTTTGTTGAATTTTTTGTTTGGGCTATTGAACTTTTCCAAAGTAAGTTTTCATAAATTATTATCCAGGTCATGTTGACCCATCTCCAAGCGATTACCAAAGAGAAATGGCCGATAGACTGGTGCTGAAAACTGGGCCTTCCTTTACGCATCAGTTTAGAAGAGATGGAACTATTTTGTGGGGATCTTGTGGTTAGTTGGTTAATATAGTGTCCACTTGGTTACTGTCTTTGGCTTATGATAAGCCCTGTTAAAAAATGTTTGTTTTTAAGCATGCCAAAGGACCCATGCCTAGATTGCTACTGGATCAGAATGATGATGATGCTCCTTTTAAATCTTAAATAAAATCCTTTCTTTGATAAAAATCAGTTTTTTTACTGTTTACAAACTCTTCAAGTAGTTTCTAATTTACTAAACATGTTTTTATTTTGAATTTATTGATATAGTAATTCTGTTTAATGTCATAAATTTTAACATATGCATAAATTATTTTTTCAAGTTGTTTTAATAAAAAAAATTGAAAGCTGAAAAATATATTTTTGGCCACTCCTTTTTGTGTAGAGCCCAGTCCAGGCCCTGCAGCATACTACCCTACGATCAGACCTCGTACACAAAATCCAGCATACACTATTCAAGGGATCCGGAGAGAGAAGTCTCAAATGCTTGGTCCTTTCTCTACCATATAGGTGAATGTGGTAAATTCCAATAGAGATGAACCACTCTACCTAATGAATGAATACATCACTGAAAGTGTATTTTTTTGTTGATTTGTTTATTTAACAAGACTCTCCAACTTACTTCTGCCAGTGGCAGTCACTCGTTTCTCTGGTTGTTTGCCATAGTAAATAAACTATTTATTTTGTGGTGCACATATTTCATTTTGCAGATGTAATAGTGTCATAATTTATTTAACCGGGACTATAAGTCACACATAAATATTATGTTACCATTGGCTTTAAATATATGAACAGGAAGGAACATAATGTTATTTATCAGATTACTCAGATTACAAATGACAGTTTTATTTCTTTAAGATTCCATACACGCCAAGAGATAAAACATATTATATACATAACAGGAATGGTAAAAATAGACAACAAGACAACAGTCTCCAATGCTTTCAAAATCTGTTAAATTTTCTTATATTGTCAATCTATTACTTCATTATTTTGTGTTTTTAAAAAGAAGAAATTACTGTAATGTAATTTTAACTTTCTATGACTACCGGTATTCAAAGCGGTCGAACATAGTCAACTTTACTTAAAAGAAAACATGAACAATGAGAATTTTGATGTCCTTAATTGGTCGTTTTTTTTATATACCAGTAAATAGAATATATACTCTGCATGACATAACATGCTTGAGTTGGATTGATTAGAATAAACCCACTAACACATTTGTCAATAAGTGAATCAAGATACATCAACTGTCTCTGTTGAATTTTTTATGTGATATTGCCTTTTTACCACTTCTTTCACAATATGCACCAGTGTATTCATTTATTATCTTAAAAAATCAGATTACTTTCAATGATTGAATGCCCAGCTTATCATACATTTTCCAATATTTTTTTTAAAAATTAAGTGATTAGAATGCCTTAAAAAAATCATTATATTTAATTATGGTCTGCTTGGATAACATTGATACAATACATTTGCTAACAGTAATTCACTTCTTTCATGAATCTTTGCCATTTTTGTCAGTTAAACAAAAATGAGACATTATTATTTTAAGTTTATCCATTAATAAGGCCTAACCATTAAATTAACAGATTTTGAAGTATAGTGATTTATGAAAATCAAAGTTATGGAGCTTTATATAACACAGTACTTCTGAATTTGTTAAAACAAGTCTTAAAAGCAATGAGTCTTATTTAAAATTCAGTAGTTATATATGAATATAATTTTATTTTGATGATATAATTTCATAAATTGTAATTTTTTTTTTAAAAATCCTCAGATTGACTTTATGTTTAAATAACTACATTATTTTTTTAAAGTGACACCTGGAAATTTTTTGTATATAAGATACTACTTTTTTGCATAAGTTTTAAACTGTTTCTTTTTTTTATTCACAGGTTGGATTTTGTTTTTTACAAATTGTATTCCATTTTATGCATAGTACAAAGGGTAACGCTCATATTTGCTCAACACTAAAAGTATTATTGTTTTTTATGACATTTGACTGTGATATTTTTTAAAATATATTTGTACCTCATGTATTATTTTTAACAAGTTAGTATTTTGGGGAAAAATACATCCTTTTAGAGTATAAATGAGCAACTCATTGTGAAAGTAAGAAAGCTGTTTTTTTACTCTGAAAGTATTGGTTTCATGACTTTTTTTTGGGTCATATTAAGTTTTCTGAAGAAAAAAAAAACATTTTCAAAAAATTCGTAAAAATTGTTAATCTTTACATCTTTTTTCCTTTGTATTTTGTAAATATTTCTTAAGCTGGAAAACGAACACACCTGAGTTGTGACAGGGGAATTTTTTATTAAAAATTAAGAAAAAAAATAAATTCCTCAGGAATAAGGATTTCCAAATAAAACCAAGCAGCTGTTCCTAATAAAATGTTAAGAAATAGTTCTTACTCTAGTCCTAATCAGGATTTTTAGAGTCAGGTTTTATTTTTACATTATTAACTATTCCACTTTCAGATTAAATTTTTTTTTTTTTAAAATATCGTTACTTTTAGGCTAAATGTTAGGGATAAACTCGTTTTCAACCTTTATTGAGATTGAATCAGTGTTGTCGTTAACTTCCTCTAAATAAAAAGAGTCTCAATCAAAGTCCAAGGCTTTAGAAGAGTATGATAAACAATTACAAACACAGATCCATGTACCCCCAAGCTATGCCTGCCCCCCCCCCCCCCCCGGGCTGTATTACATATTACGCTATTCATACACCAGCCGACTGCACCAAAATCATTAATGTAGCAAGAATGTCTGGTGCTGAGGTCTCCATAGCCTGCTTACAGTCAATACATTAGCTATCCAGTGCCTACCTGTCGTCTGATCATCAGTGCCCTCCTCCATTACAATGAGTTCCCGCCTGCAGTTTTGCCCTTGTTGGTCGTGGCCATTCTATTCTCATCGCGTACCTGACACACGCGACATTTTCTCTTCCCCGTCTCTCATTGTCTTCAGACGTGATAAAAAATCTGGGAGATCTCCTTGTGCAAAGTCGCATCAATACTGCCCACTCCCACTTTGGGACCAAGCCATGTGGACGCAGCCGTTGCAACACTTTCCCTTTCGTCGTCCAGACTCAACACATACCCTTCCCTAATAGCAGTTTTCAGATAAGGGACGGCTTCCTTTGTATTAGCCTCAATGTTATCTACGTCATTGTTTGCACCGCTGCCAGATGTCGTACATAGGTTAGACAGGACGCCGACTCTCTGACAGATTCCAATGTACTGCAGTGTACAGTCTTTAAACACTTCTATAGACGCAACCACAAGGGGCTGCAGATTCTACTATAAGTGCGATCTTGACCTTCACCAACACACCAAGCCGGGTGAATTTGGAAAACAAGCTGACTCAGACTTATGGAGCCTTGAAACCACATGGCATGAATTTCATGTCCCAATCACCTGTTAATTGAACCTCGTCTTCGCCCTCCTCCTCGTCACAACCAATCGCAGTGGACTTACATTTCCTCTCTTCTTTTTTTCCCTGTATTTAATCTCTCACCTACTTATTTTCTATAACATTTCTCTTTCTGCCCTCGCGGTTACTATGTTTCATCTTATTGTTATTTTCATTTAATTATGTTTTTACTGTTGTTTGTTCAGTTATGAAAGCTTCCTGCCGACACGTTCGTTGCTTTGTTGCGTTCTTTTTTCCCCCAGGTTTTCCCACACTTTGTTTCATTCATTGCCTTGTTGGTCCAGATGAATGTTTTAAAGTCTTTTTGATGTTAAAGCGCCTGTCTTCCACTACAATTTAGATTCGGTATTTCATAACCGAACTACGAGCACTTTTTATGTAGCCCTGCATGAGTACAAAGCAGGAAGTAGCCTCACTAATATGGCATACATATTAATCTTTTTACGCCTTTCTTCCCACCCTGAGAACCGTGGACGCTCTGAATGGGAGAGCAGGGACAACGTTTTGCACGCTGATTATTTGGGCTCAAGATATCACATCAATGAGAGTGCTCATGAGTTGGTCTGATGTTTACTGAAATGTGCAGGTGGGAGAGTCTGACCAGTTGATAGACACGGCTAGGAGAACCAGCGTGCAAAAAAAAAAAAAGAAGTTTAAACAATTGGGAGTGTTCCCCCAGAAGCAGGGGTGGACTGGGGAGTTCAGGCGGCCCGGGAAAAAATCAAAGCGGCCCGGGAAAAAAACAAAAAGCGGCCCTAGGCCTATCTTCATGACTTTCATTTTTATTATATCACCGGTCCTAGCGGCCCATCGGGAATCTTCCCGGTGTCCCGGCGGCCCAGTCCACCCCTGCCCAGAAGTACTGCAATACTGAGACTGAGGTAGTCACTCCCAATTCTGCCCTTCCGGGTCTCTTGGCCTTGCGGCGCTCTCTCTCTCTGTATCTGTAACAATGATCGTCCCGACCCCCCGGCCCGACATTTAGCGAGATGCCACGAGCCACCCAGGAAGATTCGGAAACTTCATGGAAACAGTTACTACACTTTGATCTTAGCCAAAAGGGCAGAGAAGCGATGCTAAAATACAAATAATAATAACTGTGAAACATCTAAAGACAGCAGTGCATATTTTTTGGTACTTTCATTTAAATGATTTTTTTTTTAATTTGAAAAAAAAAAAAACAAACAAAAACAAAAGACACCTTTTTCTAATCGCTATCATATACATCATAGTTATAGATAATAGATATAGAAAAATGGCCGAAAAATGAAAATTCGAGATTTATTATAGTTTTACAATGAAAATATAATAATTTACATAATAATGTTACAATGTTACATGTAAACAAACATTATACTACAAACATTTTGTTTAAGCATAGAATTATGTCCCTTCTAAGCTTTTTTTTTGTGTGTGTGTGTGGGGGGGGGATGTTGAGGGAAGTGGGGTTTGAATTATTTTATTAGCATCCCTTAGACTTAGACCACAACAGTTTTCTACTATTTAGTATCCCGCTAAAGGTGGTGTCCTACACACGCGAGCCGTAATTCCCTCATAGGAAGCCTCATTTCAACAAAAATCCCCACTTCTTTTTTTTTGGCACTGTATGACTGGAACTCCCCAAAGGGAAAATAACAACAAAAAAAACCATCTTGGGTGAATGCCATAATGACATAATCATAAATGAAACAATCCCGAAAAACAAAGTTTTTCACATAAATCCTTTAAAAAAAGGAAAAACGGGGGGGGGGGGGGGGGGGGGGGGAGGGGGGTCGCTGAAAAAACATGCACACTAGTAAAGCACTTTATAAAAATCCCAATAAGCTCTTTCCACTCAACGCGCACCCCCCAACCTTCAAGGATCTCAACTGAAACATTTTTTCTTGCTCCTGAACAATTCTAATGATTCGCCCGCTTTTACTTGGCAGATTTATTTCATCAACTATTAATTTTTTTTAAAAAAGGTAATATTACGCACCAAACGCAATAAAGAATCACATTTAGCGCATATATCGGGAATTTTATTTTGTATTCCCCTTGAAAAACAGGGGAAAACTGACTTTTTTGGGAGTGAGGCTGAAAATTTGAAATAATGTGTCGTCATTATTTCTACATCCTTTTTTCATGTTTATTATTATTATTATTTAACTTTGAAGTGAGGGTGTGTTGATGCCTATGGACATAGTGTCCAAAAATGTTTAAAAATCATGACATTTTTTAGAATTGTCTCAATCATACTATACTTCGCTGGCTGTTGTGTTAGTAATAGGAAGTTACTAATTTAGTGCATTTTTTAAAATAAAAAATATTCGGACATTGTTCAATGGTTGAAGTGGCTAAATATAAGACAACGTGTCGATTCTGTGTACTCTTTGCTGGTTTCTGTTGGTTTAAAAGCCGAATGCTCGCTGATGGCAAAACTTGGTTTGCGCGAAGCTATGTTACTGGCGGGTGACTTGGCTTCGACGGGCGTTTTTTCTGATGGTGCTTTGGTTTCTGTGACTGTGACAACGCCTCCTTTTAGAGTCAAGTCACAATCACGTAAGAACGAAGTTGTTGTGGTGTGGTCCGACGGCAGGGACGAGAAGACGTGGGGCTGAGAGTATTTCCCTTCCTCAGGGGACACCTCGGAAGTGACGCAAGCGTCTTTGTGTTTCTTTTCAAGTGTGTTGATGGCAGAATGCAGACTGGGGTACGGAAACACAAAAGGGTTGGTGTTGTGAAACATTTTAAGCCGTTGGTGACGTCGCCATTTCGCCCTACGATTAGAGAACCAGACCTTAAAATGGAAAAAAAAAAGTAAAAGAAAAGAATGTTATAATAATCTCCAAGACAGAATATCGCTCATGACCCTTTTATTTATCCTTATAGAACCTGCATAGAATACAAAATTGCAACTTTGTGCTACCGCTGCCTACATGACCTGGCGCCATCTTATCTCAAAGCACTCATGACGCCTTATGTACCCACTAGACAGCTCCGCTCATCCGATAGTGGCAAAATATCGATACCGTGTGTTCGCCTTGAGACTTACGGAAAGCGCACTTTTGCATTTGCCGGCCCAACAATCATTTTAAAATCATTTAAGAAACATGTAAAGGCTTTTTTTCTTCTTTAAATAGATTTAATTAAGAAAATCAGAGCACTGTGAGCATGATAAAATATCATGGATACAACTTCAAGCGCTATAAAAGTATTCAATCAATCCATCAAAGAATCAACAATGCTCAGAGTGGGGGAATTTCTACCCTCACCTCTCGCTCAAACCTTTGAATTCAATCTTCTAAGTGATCGGAGTCATACTTTTTAAATATGAGACGATTCTTAAATAATGGCGTATGCAGCAAAGCAAGTACGGCCAGATCATGTGGCCATTAAAATGTTGACCTCATGCGGCCATTTGGTTGTTTGGATCCCTTCTCTATAGCCAGAAACAATGTCATTTACCTGAACTCTTGCTTCTGAGAGATTTGTTTTGCTCGCCAGGGATTCCCGTGTTGCTACGCCCGGATAGTGTGTCTTCTGCAAGCCAGAAAATAAAGTATCGTAAAAAAAACACAGCAGATCATTGGGAGACCGGAAAAAAAATGGTTAAATTATAAATATGCTTTCGTGCTTAAAGCTTACAATCACTAATTTTAACTGGTACGAACTGCTTTTTGCGTAAGTAGTTCAGCGTCTTAGTTTAGTCTAGATGTACTCAGTAACAACACCGAGATCAAAATCAGATATGATTCTTTATTCAACAACAGCGTGCCTTCTTTCTTCCACTATCTCTCTGCAACTCATTAACCACCAAAACCTTGACAACCAACAACGTCATCTGTCATACCCAAATACGTCACAGATACAGAGAACATAGCAACAGCTACACAATTAATCTCCACACCATTAAAAAAAACAACAAAAAAACACACAAATTCATTGAAAAAAATCCTTAACAATAAAGTATATCTTCGAATATATGATTGATTGATTGATTGATTGATGGAGATAAAAAAAAAAAAGAGAGTCACCCCGAATTCTTGTTCCAGCATATCGAGTTGTGTCTGTGAGAAGGTGGTCCTGTTTCTCCTGAGTTTCTGAATGCCGTCATGGTCCATGAATCTCTCATGTAAATTCAGCTCTGTAAAAATGTAAGACATTATGGCCGAGAGCCTGCGTGCATGTAATAACGTATTTGGGGGTGGGGGGTGCGATTGAAATTTATAATACACAAACGTATAGTCAAATGTCTGGCGCCCAGTGGCGGATTCGGAAGACAAAGTGGGGGGTGGGGGACACACACGTCAAAGTCCAATGACAGAAGGTGTCCCACAAAAATGAATGTGAGAAATCAAAGGCTTCATGACGATTACCGCTATCAAAAGAGACTTTGGTAAAAATAACCAAAAATATTTTTAAAATAATAAAATCTACTACTTACAGTCAGATAAAACGCAAAAGGTTGGGGGGGGGGGATTTTTAGACCTCTCCTTTAATATTACATCCACACCTACTCTGCAAGTGTTGCACCAATCGTCAGCAGGTCATAAATTCTAGTTTTATGCCCAGTTCAGATGATCAAAATTTCGTCCAGTTTGCTTCAAATTTTCGTCAAATTTCTGTTTGAACGCATTTTTTGAACGTTTTTTTTCCTTCTAAATAGTGCGTTTAAAAAGAAATTTAACGCAAATTTGGCGAAAATTTGATCCTGTGAACTGAGAATTTAGGAGTATTAATTTGCTGTTTTTTTTACTAAAGACTGAGGAAAAACCAATAGCTAGGTTTTTGTTTAACAATCAATTTGAAAAATGTACGTCTTTCCTTTCAGTTTCAGAGACATGACCGCTATTTAACTCTAATCAGCATGAAACTTTGTAGAATTTCTATACAAATCATCTAGTTCTGCAATCAATTCTAGAGACTTGACGCTGTAGTAAAAAAAAATCAAAGGTGCTAAATATTTCTTACCATCCTCTTGAGAGATTCGATCTTCGTCTTCATCTGACAGTGACATCCGGCTCGAGCTGACTGACACCGGAAGTGATGGATCCGAAAGAAATTGACTGGCTCTCAGCGAAAGCGGGGCTGCCGACGTCATCACTTGCGGGATCGCCATTGTTGATTGCGCCGCCAAAGATGGAGTTGGCGGGATGGGAGAGGGCGGGATCATCGACGCAGGAGCGTGCCACCAAGGGGTGAAGAGAGGGTGAAGCACCTGTGATGCCATTTTAGCGTACTCCGTGGCGGCCTTCTCCGCAGAGCGATTTCTCAGAATTCTATTTATTGAACTCACGCTCGGGACGTTGTGCTGTGTGCAGATACCTGAACAAAACAAAGTTATTTAATTTAAAAAAAATTAATAACACTAAAAATGACATCTTGGTAAATTCAGACAATCCGCGCCACGACCGCCATCTTCGTCGCCACGACCCGTGAAAGGTCACCCTAAACCTAACATGAACCCTAAAACTATCCCTAAAACCTAACATGAACCCTAATCCTAACCTGAGCCATAAACGTATCCCTAAACCTAACCTGAACCCTAAAACTATTAAGTTAAATAAACACGTCAGATATGTCATGGCGCAAATTGTCTCCCTTAGCCCGCAATGTTGAGCTAAAAATCATTATGCAAATTACTGAAAATATTGGTAGATGATTAAGTCGTTGAAAATAACAGTTTTGCTCGCATGGTAAAGTGGAAAAAAAAAGTGTGTGGGGTGCCATCAGAGGGTCCCAGAATCTTTATTTCCCATGTAAAATGTGTCTACAGATATATAATATTTTGCGAAGTGGGTGCCTAAATTCAGATTTTGCCCCCCCCCTTCCCCCCCCCCCCCGGATGGAGCTGTCGCTTGTCACGGACCAAAGAGATGGCGTTCAATTTTGTTCCACCATCCATTATTAACTTCCATTACCCTTGTGCGAAGGGGGGGCCGAAATTCAGATTTTGCCCCCCCCCCTCCCCCCCCCCCCCGGATGGAGCTGTCGCTTGTCACGGACCAAAGAGATGGCGTTCAATTTTGTTCCACCATCCATTATTAACTTCCATTACCCTTGATTGAAATTAACGCCACTGTCACAATTTCTCACCCATCTCCGCATATGCATCACCAAGTTGCTATCAGTGAAGTGCTGCGTTGAAACTCATTCACGCCATTCTTTAACATAAACATGCGGACTAGTGAACTCAGTCAAAATTAAAATAAACCATTTCCAACTTCATTTACGTCGAGAGGTAGTACTAACTGTATCGAGCCTTGGATATGGGTCGGCAAACTGCGGCCCGCTGGCCGAATCCAAGCCGCAACCCGTTTTCATACGACCCCCCGAGCTAAGATTGGACTTGACATTTTTATACTTCTATAAAATTTCAGCGAACTGTTATGTTATGTGTTAAATGTATGCGCCGCTCCAAAATAAAGGGAGGGGGGAATGGAAACAAAGCTTACCCCTCCCCCAATATAATGACTTACCTTCCGCCAAAAGCTTGTCTCGAATCTCCCAAGCAAACATGGTAGGGTTGTCCGATTTATACTGTTCGATTTTACCAACCACGGTCGGGGTGGCCACTTTGGGTTTACTCCCTCCGATGGAACTGCAGCGGAACGCCAAGGGCTCGTACATTCGTGCTGGGGTTGAGGGAAATGTCCATTATGTGTACATGATATAACAAATGTCCATTATGTGTACATGATATAACAAATGTCCATTATGTGTACATGCTATAACAAATGTCCATTATGTGTTCACGATTAGAGACCGACCGAATTTCTGCTTCGGCTTCGGTTTCGGCGACGAAAGTGGCCATTTTATCACTTTTGGCCAAGTTTCGGTTTCGGCCGAAACTGAAAGTTAACTTTAGGCTTAATTTCTGTTTCGGCCGAAAGAGAAAGTTAACTTTCGGGGGTTTTTTCGGTTTCGGCCGAAATTGACTTTGAATTTCGGCCATCGGGCCATCGGGCCGAAAGTGACTGAGGTTTTCGGTCATCTGATACTCAGCGAAAGCGATATTTAACAACAAACTAAGCACATTTAAAAACAAACTAAACGATCTTTAAAAACAAATTAAGCGATCTTTAAGAACAAATTAAGCGATCTTAAATATCGTTTAGTTTGTTCTCAAACAACAAACTAAGGGACATTTAAGAACAAACTATACGAGCTTTAAAACAAACTAAGCGATCTTCAAGAACAATCTAAGTGATATTTAATAAAAAAAACAACTAAACTATCTTAAAGAACAAACTAAGCGATTTTTTCAGAACGAACGAAATGATCTTTTAAAACAAAACAAATGATCTTTAATAGCAAACTAAATGATTTATAATAATAAACTAAGCGATCTTTAACAGAAAACTAAATGTTCTTTAGGAACAAACTAAAATATCTTTAAGAACAAACTAATCGACCTTAAGTAACAAAATCAATTATCTATACGAACAAACTAAGCGATCCTATCTTTATGAAAAAACTAAGCGATCTTCAACAACAAAATAAGCGATATTTTAGAAAAAAAAACTAAACGATTTTTAATAACAAACTAAAAGATCTATAAAAACAAACTAAATGATCTTTAAGAACAAACTGAATGATCTTTAAGAAGAACTAAGCGATATTTAAGAACAAAATCAATGATCTTTTAGAACAAACTAAGCGATATTTAAGAAAAAACTTAGCGACTTTTTTTGAACAAACTAAATGATCTTAAATAACAAACTAAAATATCTTTAAACAAAAACTAAGCGATCCTAAAAAACAAAATAAACGATTTTAACAACAATGTAAGCGATCTTTAAGAGAAATAATGCGATAATAAACAAAAAACTGAACGATCTTTTACTATAAACAAAGCGATCTTTAAGAACAAACAAAACGATCTTTAACAACAATATGTTATATTAGATGTTTATTTATAAATAGTCACGATTATCTCTTTTTTATAAAAAGAATGGAAATATTTATACTTTCCCCAATCATTTTCGATGTATGCAGAATGTATGCGGGAACGAATTCCAAAATAAATAAATATTTCATTTTCGATTTCGGCTTCGATTTCGGCTTCGGCCGAAAGTCATTTTTAACTTTTGGCCTTTTTTCGGTTTCGGCCAAAAGTCATTTTAAAACTTTTGGCCTATTTTCGGTTTCGGTTGAAAGTCATTTTAAACTTTTGGTCTATTTTCGGCTTCGGCCAAATTCAGAAAATCACTTTCGGTCGGTCTCTATTCACGATATAAGAAATGTTCATTATGTGTTCATGATATAACAAATATCCATTATGTGTTTATGATATAACAAATGTCCATATCATGTGTTCATGATTTAACAAATGTCCATTATGTGTTCATGATATAACAAATGTCCAGTATGTCTTCATGATATGACAAATGTCCATTACGCGTTCATGATACAACAAATGCCCATTATATGTTCATGATATAACAAATGTACATTATCTGTTCATAATAAACAAATTGTTCAGATTTACTTGGAATTTTTTTTCCTACTCTATACATAATTAGATTGGAGCTCATACTTCATCGGCCAAAGTTTTGAAGCCCTTAGACAAGTACATTTAATATAATCTACCATAGGCGTGCCTAGGGGGTGGAGATGGTGGATTCGCCCCTGGCGGCAATTAGTCAGGGAACTCCATTAAAATCTGCAACACCTTACAGATCAGAAACAACATGACTTGTTGACACCGAGAACAAAGCGGTCAGTGGGTGTATTACAAAACATGGAATGTATTCATATATAAATGTGTTTTAACTACAGTGTGACACGGTAGTTGTGAAATAATATTGAACAAAAAGTTTTGCTAATTTTCGAATGGGTTCGTTTTCATTGTTTACTCTAACCAATCCATTACAGCATGCAATAAACACATCAAGGTACAACTAAACTCTAACTCCTCCCATTATCAAATTAATTCCCCCCCCCAACCCTTGTTTTTTTTTTGCATCTTTTTTTTTTTTTGTTTTTTTTTTTTTTTTTGTATTTTTTTTTTTTTTTTTGTATCTTTTTCTTTTTTTTACAATCTGATACTAGTGCTCTCTTCATCCATCGTCTACACCTGTAGAGTTTGACATTTTTTGCACCCCACGTTCACGATGACACACACCGGAAGTGCGCACCAAATCTGAATTCCCTCAAAACGAGACTCTGCTCAATTTCAGCGTGCCTAGATCGTGCCCCAAATCAGCCCACGTGTGACCCAGGAAAATACGATCAGCGCAGGTTTCTCAAACAGCCTTGCATGTCCCTGAAATTGGAGACAAGTGACACACAATAATAGAGCTTTGTTTTCATACGCGGGCCGGCGTCGAGACATCGGATGAATGGAAGACAAACTTTGAGCAAACATTCGGTACGTATCAGCCCCGGCCGGTGTCGAGGGGTACTGAGCACGACTGTACCAATTACATTCATTGATTGCGCAAGTGGGATACTGTATATTTGTCCCATGTGTACACAACAATGACATGCGCACACAACAATGACATTTATACAGATGGCTAGCCGCACAGCAGGACTTACATGTCCTATAGGGCTGATGACCATAGGACTACGTGAGCACATTTCTTCGTCCAGGTTTGTCTCGCGGTCAAGTCCCCCCCCCCTCACCACGACCCCCCACCCCAGATAAAAATATGTACAACAATAAAGTGAATATATAATCTATGTGGAAAAAAAAACCTACCAAGTGTCATTTTTACAAATATTTTTATAAAATTTATGAAATAGTGGAACCAATGAAATATCGCAATCCGATATAAATCTGGCAAATCTAGATACCTTTACAGACAATTGTAAATTCTAAATACCGAATTATTATTTTAAAAAAATAAAAATAAATAGACCGTCCCTTATTTTAAGCAGCACCACTACGTCCCGTTTTCCACTTATATCGGTATATTAAAAAAAAACAAAAAAACCTTCATTGTTTGCTACCAGAGTTCATTTAGGCATCTCGATAGGGGGGGGGGGGGGGAGAGAGGAAAGGAAGGGGGGGAAGGGGGCAAGCAGGCAACCAACCACCCCCCGAAGAAATCCAATTTTCCACTTATATCGGTATATTAAAAAAAAACAAAAAAACCTTCATTGTTTGCTACCAGAGTTCATTTAGGCATCTCGATAGGGGGGGGGGGGGGGAGAGAGGAGAGGGAGGGAGGGGAGGGAGCAAGTCAGCTACCAACCACCCCCCGGAGAAATCCAATTAGTGACCCAAACAGTCCCTCGTAGTAGCGCAACCATTTTCTGTCGTCATTTTTGCATTCTTGGTTACATAATATATAGTTGGTGATGGGCACTGCAAACCTAAATCAGCTCCCTGTGGCTTCATCAAGACATGTTTATATTATAGTTTGCCTGGGCGGAAGAACAATGCAAAAGTCGTATAATCCCAATTTTAACCATTTTTTTTGCACGTGCCACTTTTCCCTAAACTACTTGAAGGGCTAAAACAATTAGGTTGAGTCAGCTAAATGGGACTTTTGCACTTTAAAAAAATAATCGTATTAATACAGTATTTAAAAGAATATCGGTGTTATGAAATTACAGCATTAAAAAATAATAATAATAACTTTTTAAAAAATAAATGTTCCTAGACAGGGGCGTGTAACCCCCTCTGAGTTATGGAAGTGGACCCCCCACCCCCACTACCTTGAACCTTGTTTAATTTTTCATGTTATCTAATTCAGAATGAATATTAATGATAAAAACAAATGTACAGTTAAAAAACTGTTTGAGAATTATTGGCTAAAAAAAACCAACAAGATACTGATTTAAAAAAAAAAAAAAACTATTACAATTGCTCTAATACTTAACAGCTCGGTAATTTAAAATTTTCACCAAATCAAATAATTAAATCCAGATACTTTTTAAAAAAAAATGAATTTCAGCAGGCCTACAATTTTTTTTTCTCAGTTGTATAGCTGTAAAAATCAGCTTTCCGAGCAGTGGCGGCAATGGTCAAAATTGTGTCATTTCCATTGGGGCTGAGGCCGGGTACTGAGCCGCATACTCGGGATTGTCCAAGTGTTAGCACACCCGACACATACCCGGTCCCGGTAAAAACGGAACCAGGTCCGGATGTTAAAAAATTGTCATCTACTAGTTTCTATAATGTGTTCGATCCCATGGGGAGAAATTAAAAGTGCATGCATAGAAAAAGTACATTTTAAAAAAAAAATATTTTTTTTTTGTAAATTTCACCTGAATTTAATAAATAATAATAGAAAGCTAAAAAAATTCAGGGGTCACGTGAGAGTTTCAGAAATTTTTATGAGTGGGTTGAAGTTTTCTTATTTGAATTTTCATTTTAAAAACTTAAATATTATAGTCTTATTTCTACACTCTGTCTTCACAACAGCTACATAAAATATTTTTTTAAAAGTGATTGTTTTTTTCGCTATACTGAGGTGCGTCGCTAGGAATAAACGTGTAGCTCTGCATGTACGGTATTATTTTGGTTTAACTCAGATAATAGTGTCCATGAGTTTCAATGAGAGACAGGAGTCTCGAATGGCTAATGAAAATACACTTTTCTTTGTAATATTTTTTAAAACATAAAAAAAAATATTAAATTAATCAAAGGTAGTCCGTATTGTCGTGTGTGATTATGACCAAAGTGTTGTCGAAGACATTGC